ACGACCAACCGACGAAGACACACAGCCACCGGGCTTAGAGCGACCAACGCGTGGCATCCTCCCAGTTTGCAAGGAGATGGATTCCTTCATCGGAAGATGGAGAAATAAACTCTACGCAGGGTAAAGCGATGCAAAGGGATCCCCGCCCCTGGCTTCGCGTGTCCTATCCCTGCCAGGAAGATGCCAGTACCGACGGCTTAGGGGCGCACCGCTGTCCATCAGCGGAGAGGGTGGGCACGCAAGCTCACCGGACTGCTGATCAAGACCTAGGCACTAAGTAAGGCCAGATCCTTTCCCTCAGGCCAGGCTCAGGATGTCTGCGCGGTTGGAGCATTCCGCGCACAATGGCCATCGACGTAATGACACGTTCGGGGCCGTCGCAGCAGACAGGGTCCCTCCCAGCAAACATTCTGCCAAAACCTTGATGTCACCTTCCGATATCCGTCGGTCCTTAAACAGTTTTCTATCGCATATCCGCCTTCGCCAGGTTTTCCCAAATCATACACGGAGTGCCTGCAAGGCTGCAAACGGAAGATGCGAAGTAGGCAAGGGAGCTCGATCTAGAACCGCCGGCAGTATAACGCAGCTTGGCCCGTTTCAGATTAAGCGGGAGTGCCAATAGGATGAGGAGGATGATGTGAGCCCATTGTTGTCAATTAACGGGATGCCTTTTTTGGGACGCGCTTGGAAGCTGCAGCCACATGCAGATTGCTGGAACTGAAGCTGGCCCTGGGGTTGGATAGTGCCGCATCCTGATGGGCGAGTCGACTTCCATTTGCTTTGTACAACCTGCACATCCGGTTTGGCTGCTAGTCATTACCCCGCGGCGGAGGTAAGCGGACAGGTGTTAAGATGTCGACTTGGTGACTCGCGGTTCCGAATCTGAAAACTAACAATGATGCCAGGGCAGATAACACCGTCACCAAACTTCCGCTGACATACTACCAACACTGAAATAAGAGTTTGAACTACCCAAGCATCTCCCTTCGAAAGGAGGACCAGTTTCTTCTGCGCGAACGGCTGCTTTTCGAGTCAGTCGAGTTTGCTCCTTAACAGTGCCTTGCCGATTGTCTTCTGAACGCGGCCAGGTGGTGGCTCACGGGTACCTTTCTCAAGCATGAGACATGGCCAGCCACAGTCGTTTTTGTCATAAATGACCCGATATTCTACTTGAATCAGCGGAAGTGACGCCGCCTCTATTTCACCATTCAAAGATTGAGACACAGTTAAAGGTGAAGAGTCACTGGGGGGTGTCACAGTGCAATTATTCCGGAGACGTTAGTCCCAGCAGCGGTGCCAGCCTTGGAGTATTAATTACCCTGTGCTGACGACACCCTTATTCGCAGGTACGAGTCCCAAAGATGAAGAGACATTCACCTCAACGTCTCCATACATTACGATTTGTTTATATCCATTCAGGACCGCTTCCCAAGGACTCAGGACCAATGGGTGAGCGGAGCTGGCCAAAAAGCTCCAGGCTTGCAGTTGTCAACTGCCAGTGGGAGAGTATAATATGGGTGGGACGATGGTAGAAACGTGGCCATCGGGCTCGGACAGGGTAGTCCTTGTTGGCAAATGGCAGCGCTGAAGCTACAGGGCAGCCATCTCAACCTTACCATGTTACCATGGTATTATGACAGCACGACTGTGATTGTGCCTGGCAGAGCCAGAGCCCACCTACTGGTGTTCCGCGATTTGGCAAAGACCAAGCTGCACGATGCAAGGCACGGTGCAGAAAGCACCATGCTACATCCATCAAATCTCATGATAATTGCAACTAGAGACAGGGTAATGCCAGAAGGATATGTCGGTCTTGCGCACTATTGGTTCGACATAGCATGTGACGAGAATTGAACGCTCCAGTAGTCAAGCTTTCCTAGCGTTGAACAGCTAGCTTGCCTTCGATTGTGCTTAGTAGCTCGCAAGCTTGGGTGAGCATTATGCATCTCGAGTAAGGGAGACCACGTCCACGCTACCGGAGTCAAACGGCGCAAACCATAAGGCGGGAATGGAAACATTATCGGCAATCGCCTGGCGCCGACTATCCTTTGCACCTCAGCCGTAGCTTTTGGTGTCCATCTGTGGGGGTTTGGCGGGGTCTTCAAGACTATCTTTCAACCTGGTGTTTGACCAGGTGGTGAGTTTGTCGCTAAGAAATCACAAAGTGAATCAGATTTCTGGAAGCAGGACATGTGAACTGTTGGGTTTCTGGTTCTTGGCCCAGTCTGATGCAATGTAAAACAGCTTTTGTGGATCATGTCGATCGGGAAATTCCAGACTATTGGAGTCTTCATACCGAAGCAAACCCAGTGAAACTGAAATTTAGAGATCCCTCTGCTGATCTTTGAACAACTCAGGGCCGCCGACTTACTTTGACTACGTTGTAAGGTGGGCTTGTGCCTCGAACCAATGCAACTAACTAGCCCTACACGTACAATTTGCTAGGAGAACAAGTCACCTGCCAGCGGACGACAAGCCAACCCCTGCCTTGCGAGAGACAACAATGTTCCCCACGGCCCCAGAAGTCATCGACCTCGATCCCGCCTCGCGCAGATCTAAAAAAGCTGCGTTGCACTGTTGGAGTTGGCTTGAATTCTCTCAGACTAGACCTATCCCTGAGGCTTTTCTTCTCTTGGGATGCCGGTTGACGCCCCATTCCAACACTTTTTTTTTTGTCTCTTGTCACCGAAATCCATTCTTCACCGCTCTTTCATGAGGCATTGACCTCGGTGTCAATCCAACCTCACCCACGCCGTCGTAGCATGGCGACGTCAAACTCTCGGTCTCCCACGCCAGATATGCCTCGTAAGCCTGAATCGCGAAGAACCTTGGGGCCCCCGCGACTGAACGGTACACACGTACCGTATCCTCTCCGTATAGATACTCGGATGAGAATAAGAGAGCAACGACCTAGGTGCATGAATGGCGCCATGCATGAACATACAGTTTAGTCGCGAGCTGTCTCCAGTTCGGCGCACAGCATAGGCACAGATAGGGAAGACGTGCGTAGGCTCGCATCCGAAGGAGACTCACATGAACTATTTGATTCCCCCGTAGTATCCCCCATGTCCCCTTCCCCTACGTCGCAAGCAGGAGCCGCACATGAGAGGAGCTTGTTGGTTCTGCTGGCACTCCCGCCAGTTACCAAAAGCCCACCCCAGACTGTTTTTCATTCGGCGAGCAAAGGCGCTCGTCGTGAGAACATTCCCCCTCTCCCCTGTCGTGTCATGCAGCCAACGCACTGGTGGCGGCCGTGGCTGCATTGTATGCCAATGTTCCCGTCTGCCAGTGGAAGAAGGACTTTTATTTCCTTTCTCTTGTGGGCTAACTCAGCATGCAGTCAGTCATCCATCTTCTTCCGCGACCGACCGAGCGACAGACCGGACCATTTTGCTCCTACGCGAAAAGCACGACCGCCCCTCCCCTCCCTCCCCAACAGTCTGGTAGACTGGCCGAGATTGAGGCCTAGATCGAGGAACGAAGGCCGCTGACTTGCATAACGTTAACAAGCGGACTGTTTTATTTTATTTTATTTTTTTTGCTTCCCCTCTTGCCGATATGGGTCTATTCAGGCACATAACCACATGTAACCGCACCAACACTTGAGATGCCGGGTTTTTTGTTTTTTTTTGCACAACCCGTCCACTCCCTCCCCCCCCCCCTCTCCCTCTCTTCTCCCCCCCTTCCGCCGCCAAATCTTAGCGCAGAGCGCCGTCAGGTACTTGGTCGTCGTCGTACCTTGCTAAAAGGTTCTCACCCCTCTCCACCAGATGGCACTCTTTTTTGTTACTCCGCATAGACCGAGATTCGTTGTTCTCGGGTTTATATACCTTCTGTCATTGGATGAACGACATATCCCCCCTCCCCCTCCTCCTCCCCCTCCCCCGGTGCTCTGACCTTTCCGTGGTGGCATCTGGAAGGAATCGAGGGGGGGATGGGACGGCTGCTGACGAGTCATGGGCGTACGACTTCACGTGTAGGTTGTCTTTGGCGGCGATTCACATGTGTGTCTGTCGCTCCGGGGGGGGGGGGAAAGAAGAGTTTTGGCACAGCCACTGCGTTGATTTTACTCACTGTTTCTTACATGAGATTGAACGCCATGTTTTAGTTCCGATGGAGGATTTTCCGGGTTTCCCCTTGTGAGAATGAGGTGTATTATTGCAAAAGCCAGGGCGACGAGAGAGACTTGTCTTATACGAATGTGGTGTTGACTTTGTAATCTTTGTAGACTGCAGACTGCCGCCGGTATCCGATAGCCTTGTGATTTCCGGGTTGCCGAGGCGGAAGTCCACTGTTGTTGCTGCTGCCGCTGCTGCTGCTGCTGCTGCTGCTGATTGAATACCTACCTTTCGTCCATTAGTCTGACGGCGATGGCGGTATTGCGTCGGGGAGAATCTTGGAAAAGTGATGGCAGGGGTATTTATTATTATTCACTGGCGGTATCGCGTCCCCGGCGTTTGAAAAGGGGGCAGGCCGCGCGGGTTAAGATGGGCAATGCACTGCATATATCCATGTCGAGGCCCGTCCGGTCGTGGATACATACGTCTGTAGCACCCGTACGGACGGACGGAACTGGAGAAGTGGTGAATGTATGCATAGCCCCCGGCGAAGGATGGCATGTACAGATAGATGCCAGTTTTGAATCCTAAGAGAGAGAGAGAGAGAGAGAAACGGCTGCTCATGTCACTTTCATCAACGCCTCGGACAGAGCAGACGGCTGCAAAAAAGACTCATTTGATACGGTATCATTTGTGATATTCTTTTTTAAATTTTACCATTATGCCTACAACACAATCTGCTTGCTTCGGCTCGGGCCGTAAAATGTCTCTTCCAGAGTAAGCTCCAAAAACGCCTTTAATAATAGATACTAGTATAAACCCCCCCTTGGTCGTCATGGCTCATGAGCTTTAAACTGTTGCTGCGCTCCCCCGAGTTGGTTAAGGGGTCACATGTCTTTTTGGTTTTTACACATCTCCGCCTTTCTTTGGTCTCCAAGACTTTTACACATCCAGCATGCTCTTCACTTGTTGGGGCTGCTGGGACAAGGAGACGGCGGTGCTGGTGCTGTTGCTCCGCTGCCCGGGGGTCAAGGAGTTGACCGAGTTGTTGTCGGACTGTCTACCCCTGGCCTGGACGTCACTGTACGCCGGCGGGGGACCATCCTGCATCAGCTCTGCCGAGCGGTCCGCACGAGCAGGTCCCGAGTTGGGGAAGAGAAGCTCGGCTGCGGCGTTCATAGTCCGCTCCTGCCGACGGCGGTCCGACTTGCCACTGTACGTGGAAAACGTCGAGCCCTTTGCGGCGTCGAAGCCCGGCCGTACCGGGGTGGACGTGGAGCTGTTGCCGGCCATGTTGCCCATCTCGATTTCGCGGTCCGCCTGCTCGTGATCGGCATTCTGCGCATCAATGTTTTGTTGTACGCCGCGCGCCGTTGCGTTGCCGCCGCCCACTTCGCGGACGTTGCGCGCGATGCGGTCACGCAGGGACATCTTGCCGACGAGGTGGTCGTCTCTGTTTATGCGCTTCCACCACGCGGGCTTCGGGACGTAACCCATGTCCCGGTCGATTTCGGCCCCGCGTACGCGACGCTGGCGGATGAGCTCCTTGTCCTCGTTCGGGGAGGTGAAGCCGTATATGATTTGGATATAGAGAATCAGCAGCGCCGGACCGTAGCCTCCGGCGTAGACGGCGCCCAGGTTCGCTTTGGTGTTGAGGACGGAATAGTCCCATTTGAACGAAACTAGTCCCTGGTAGGCGACGAGACAGGCCGCGAGGGGGACGATTAGCACAAAGCGCCATGGTAGGTAGCGAATGAAGCCGCGGGCCTTGTTGACGATGCCCCGGTTGCGAGGGTAGTAGTGTAGGATCGAGTGTCGGAGGGAGACAATGATGGTGAGCCAGCAGACGACAAGGCAGAAGGTAGCAACTTTGAAGCGGACGTCGGTTGCGTTCGGGGCGGCGCGAGAGGCGGTTTGATCTGGGGAGCGCTGTTTCTCGATTTCGCCCCAGTTGCGGGGGATGATGAGGAAGAAGTTCTGTAGATGTCTTGTTAGCGACGGCATGTGCATTGGTGGATGGAGAGCGAAACATACCAGCCATAGCCAGAGATAATACCACAACGGAAGCCAGAACTCGAATTTGCTCCGCTTGTCACCCTCGCGCAGGGAGAACGGATCCGGATCGATGAATTGGCGCTCGCTCCAGCTGCCCCAGTGACGAACGGCCTCCCATACCAGCGCCATGGTAAACTGCTGCATAATATACCAGAAGAAGCTGTTGAGGATGATGGGCAGTCCGACGACCCAGAAGCGATCGACATCAATAGTGGTGAAGAGACTGATGAAGGCTGTGACGCAGACGAGAATGGCGTAGTACCACTGCCATCTCTTTCCGACGGGATAGAAACGTTTGACCGTCGGCAGATATTGTTTGCCGTGTTTCTTGAGGCAGGCGAGAATGAGCATTAGGGCGACAGCGAAAATCACACCAATTCCCACGCCGGCCTTTGCGCGGGGACCGATAGTACGGACGGGGTCGTAGCACCATGTCGAGTTGACGAAGGAGCCATTCGGGAACAGGTAGACGGGGGTATGAGGTTGCTCTGTAAGGAAGCAATTCGAGCCGTTGGAGATGGTGCCGTTGGAATAGAGGGTGTAGTTCCAGAAGTTGAGGACGGTACGGTTGAAGTGAACGCCGCCAAGGATGGTGTCGGAATCGTTCGCGCCAGCGGGGAGGGGGAGCAGGTCGCGGTGGAAGAGGTGAGCGAAGTTGATATGCATTGTGGCGGTTGCTGCCGGGTTGTCCGGAGGTATGACGATGGTCGTCGAATGTCCGCGATCGTCAATTGAGAAGACGAGGTCGGCGCGGGGGTTATTAGGACATTGCTGACGAGGGGGAGAGGGATAGGCTTCGCAGGTTCAGAGACAAAGGGAGAACGGGCGACATGAGGTGGATGGAAAAAGAGAGAGAGAAAAATCAAAAAGATGATGGCGAAATTATGATTATTACAAGATGATAGGTATCGGTATGTATGGAACGTTCGGAAAGGCGGAGTATGGATTTTTAGTCGGATAATACACTAGGTAAGTCAGCGTACCTTGACGACGGAGTTGATTAGTACCCGCTTTCGCTGATCATAAAGGCACGCTTTACCACAGTAGTAAAGGAAGAGAGGGGAGATGGAGAGACAGCCTGGTATGCGCGGGAGAGGACCTGATCCATGCGGAATGGTCGGGTTGTTTGTCAAGTGGTTTTTTGCGTCAAAAAGTGGAGATGCCGAAGCTCCGGACGAAAAAAACAACAACACCAGAGTAGAGATGATGGTGACAAACAATCGGCAGAGAAACAATATCCCGCAGTTCCATTTGCTGACTGTTTACGGCCATTGTTGGTTTAGTGGCGCACAGCGTCATCGGGCGCTCCAAAGGTGGTCCGGGCAGGTTGGTCGCTGATTAGAGTGTGGCTGGGGAGAAACAAAAACGGTGGAGACCTTTTAGCCACATCAGATCTTGCACCCGTTTTCACCAGCCACATAATCCGGGGCTTGTGTTATGTAAGCGTCCTCCCAGCTTTCTCATCCACCGGTACGTACCGTTCTCTTCCCGAGACAGGACACTTGGAGCTTGGGTTGTTCATCTGCAGCTTCAAAGCTCCAGTTCCACCTAGCCTTGTGCACCACCACGACGGAAACACCCTTTGTGTCGGCTGCATACGGTCAATGGCTCCCCAGAAGCCATCATGACGACCCACGACCCAGAAGACGCCTCCTATATCGACTATGAGACCTTCCTGTCTCCCGACTTCAACCCCGCCTCCTTTGCTAATACACTCGTTCTCGCGACTAACAATCCAAACGATGCACCCCTCGACCTCTCCACCCCGCTTTCGAGGGTTCTTTTCGATACCCAGGAGATTGACTCGCACATTGACCTCTTGACCACAAAGTCTGCGGCGCCGCTACTGAAATACACCGAAGAGCAAACAGCATCTAGTAAACGCATCATCGGGGAGCTCGACGCCCAGATCAAAAGTTTAAACGACAGCTACCGCCAACTGGAGAAGGAAGTCATCGATAAGCATGCTGAGGCTGAGGAGGTTCGTCAAGTGGCTACAAGGTTGTGGGAGACACTAAAGCTCGGTCGCTCTGTGGGACGATGTCTCCAGCTTGGTCGCCAGCTCGAGGTGCAGCACGCAGAGATTGCGAGTGGAAGCGTTAGCACAGCTGCTGCTGCTGCTGGAAAGAAGGAGGATCACAGGGCTCTTGTACGGTGCTCGCACACCCTCCTCTCCCTGCGCGATGTGCTTGACCGTACTGCCCCCGGTGAGGAAGGACACGGACTGGCCAGGGTGGATGCGATTCGCACTCTGAGAGACAGCGTTATTGCGCCAATTGAGAGGTCTGTCAAAGAAACGGCTGAGAAGATCATCCGCGACTTTGCGGTCCCGAATTCGGCCACCTTTTCACAGGGTGAGGAAACCAAGGCCAGGACCGTGTCCGCCATGGTAACCCTCTTCTTGCTCTCACCCATGCCTGCCATGAAGGGCGAGAAATGGACACCGACCCTGCTGTTGCAGGCTCTGGAGGTGTATTTCCGTTCTGCGCTCCAGTCATCAATCGCGTCGCTGTCGCGATCCTTGAGTCAGCTGCCGACCCTGGATAGGACCTTGTCTGAAATCTCGGCGAGATGCCAAAATATCGTTGCGCTTGAATTGGTCCTCGAATCGACTAAACTGCCAGCGCATCCTCTAATCACTGCGCCCCAGAAGCAAACAAACATGCTACAGCCGCTGCTTGCGTACCTCGAAACGGGCAGCCTGCCAAGCTACTTTTGGAGAACAATGGCGGGTAGTTTGGGCACCAGAGTACAGGAAATTGTCAACAGAGGTGGAGTCTCGGCGAGAACTCTTCGATCGAATAGGGCGAATGTGGGTGAGGCTGTGAGGGAGTGTGTTGTTAAGGGATGCCAGATGCCTAGTGCTCTGAAGGGGAAGGGCAGAGTGGAAGGCAATTGGGAGAGGGAGGTTGCTGTCATGGTTGGCAGTGTCGTGAACAACCTCGGACGATGAGTGATCATCTCCGATATAAGCTCTTGTGTCTACGCCAACTTTGCATGAAATGCCGAAACACATTCATGGAAGCGATGATGGAAAAAGCTCATTATTCAAACGTTCGTTGCGGTTTTAGAAACCACGCTATGCGATGTCTTGTGGACGAGCGACATTTGAACATACTCTGAGCTAACGTTCAGCAGATAGAGATACCTTCTTGAGCCGGTAGTGTCCTGTGAAACTATCATCAGCTGAAGCAGTTGATCATTTTTTGGTTAAGATCCTCTGCCAATAGATATGGATTGTTTACAGTAAAACAGCCAAACAAGTTGTTCAGGTCGAACTAACAAAAGCAAAATGAAAGGGACGAGACTCGAACTCGCGCGGGTTGCCCCGCCAGGAAACAGATGTTAAGCTGACCTTAACCTGGCGCCATAACCAACTCGGCCACCCTTCCATTGGATGTTGTAGAAATCTACCGCAACTAACTCCTAGCAAGCCTCCATTGGTGGGAACTTCTGAGATATTCGTCTGTGCTCCAGTTTTGTGGAGGAGTTGCTATATTCATACAATACTCCGATGTCCGAGAGGGTCTGGCCTTGAAGTGTGTAACACTACGTGTCCGAGGAGACCCTACGTCTGTTGGACAGTTGTTGATTCAAACGATTCTGAAAAACCTGTCACACAGATTCGGCATTGGTTGTGATTAGTATTCTTGACCGGTGCCAGAGCCATTCCCCGCCTTGAGATGAACGCAACTTGAGTCATGTCGATTATCAAGGGCCATACAAACGACTCGCTTACCAAGGCATGGCTACCGTCATCGCCAGAGTCTAAAATTGTGACGTTCTCCACGTTACCCCTGCCCCGCGGGCTAGATCGAGCCAACTCCCAGACGGCTCGATCTCAACCGCGGCCCACAGACCTAGGTTACCTCGGCCGAACTCTCACTCAATCACGGCCGACGATTCATTACTCGCAGGAGCACCGTAGCGGATATGGTTATTCCTATTCAAATAGATGTCTTTAACGTTAAAGTTGCACCTAGTTCGCTAAGCACGCCCTAGGCGGACTCCCTAACACCGATAGCGAGAACGACGGGGACGACATGAGAAAGACATCAGATCTGCGTACGGGCCCTGTTACATCGCTGACAAACACCGCCCTTGTCTTTTGCTGAGCAGCAGAGAAAACTGGAGTTTCACTAAGGCTAAAGAAGAAGCCCGAGAGTGCGCAAACCTGCAGACCCCAGGAGGGAGATGGGGACCAACAGGGTTACTGCAACCCCTTGATGACCTTCCAACAAACCCACACCCTGGAAAGGGTTCAGAGGAAATACAAAACCTGTAGCCAGCCCCGAGACCCAGAGAGTGTTTTTTGGTGGCAGAAAACAACAGTCGATCAGACTGAATATTGCCCATCATGGCGCTGCTCTCCTTTGCAACGCTTGCATACGCTGTTCCGCTGTGCATCTTTTACTACGCCGTTGCGTACTACCTCGGCCGCCACCGCCTTCAGCGCTTTGCCAAAGCCAACAACGCTACTTTCCCAAAACATGTGTCCTCCAACATTCCATTTGGCATTGGGTTCCTATGGAGAATCCTCGAAAATGGCAAAAACGGAGGTGACCTGATCGACGACATCTTCGAGAAGGACTACCAGACCAACGGGCCCACATACACCATGCCGGGCTTCTTTAGTCGTAGGACGCTGCACACCGTCGAACCTGCCAACATCCAGGCCATCCTGGCCACGAAGTTCAAAGACTTCGATTTGGGAGAGTTGAGGATCGAGCAATTCCGCCCTCTGCTGGGAACCAGCATCTTCACTGCAGACGGCCCGTTCTGGGAGCATTCCAGAGCAATGTTCAGACCGCAATTCTCCCGCGACAACATCAACGACTTGCAAAAGACGGAGTTGGCAGTGCAGTCGCTGTTCAAGGCTATGCAGCTATCCGGAAAGCAGAGCGACGGCGCCGTGGAGATCGACATCATGCCTCTGCTCTTCCGCTTCACCCTCGACACCGCCACGGGTTTCCTTTTCGGAGAGAGCGTAGAGTCGCAGATGGCTGCCGCCACCGGCAAGACCTCCGAGACGAGCGCCGCGACGGCCATGGCGGCCGACCAGGACGACAGCGACATGACCTTCGCCGAAGCCTTCCACGAGGCGCAAATGTGGATCACCCTGCGCGTCCGGTTCCAGGGGCTCTACTGGCTCGCGCCCGTGAAAAGAGGCCAGAAGGCCGTGGATTACATGCGCAAGTACGTCAGCCACTACGTGAAGCTCGCCCTCAGCTCCGCGAAGCCCTCGTCGGAGAAGTACAGTCTCATCGACGCCCTCGTCGAACAGACGCGCGACCAGTACGAGCTGAGAGACCAGATCCTGGGCCTCCTCCTGGCCGGACGCGATACCACTGCCACGCTGCTCTCCTGGGTGTTGCTGCTCATCGCGCAGCACCCTGATGTTTTCGAAAAGCTCCGCGAGTCCGTCATCAACGACTTCGGCCCCTACAGCGACGACGCGAGCCACATCAACTTTGCCACGCTCAAGGACTCCCAGTACCTGCAGTTTGTCCTGCGCGAGACGATGAGAATATACAACCCGGTCCCGATGAACCTCCGCAAGGCCGTCCGCGACACGGTCCTGCCGAGGGGCGGAGGCCCGGATGGGCTCTCGCCTATCGTGGTCCCCAAGGGCCAGACGGTGAACTTTGCGCCGTATGTGCTGCATCGGAGACAGGACATCTGGTCTTCGGACGCGCTGGAGTTTAAGCCTGAGAGATGGGAGGGTATGAGGCTGGACTGGAACTATATCCCCTTCAGCGGCGGGCCGCGTATCTGCATTGGACGTGAGTTTTAACAACCCATCGTGTGAGGAGAATTTTGACAGCGAGATTGACTGACTTTGGTGTAGAACAATTTGCCCTCACGGAAGCTGCGTTCCTTCTTGTGCGGCTGCTGCAGAAGTTTGACAAGATGGATTGGGTTGGCCGCCAGGGCAAGCCGAGGAAGGACGTTCACTTCACCATGGCGCCGAGGGATGGTGTTCCGGTGAAGTTGCGTTACGCTAACTGATGAATTTGATGTTTGTGGCTATGGTTATGCCCGACACTGGGTTCGTTTGAATGATAGGTTTGCGATGATGCGATTGCTCTGTGGAACGCGGTCCCAGCTTTGAGGATTCAAGATGGGTCTTGAAATAAGTAAGCATGGTCGGAAGATTGTCAGGGATACACACAACTTTTGTTTCTTAATCATCGTGTCAAGATTGAAAGGCTTTTTGTATGCAGGATTGATGTCATAAACCTCCAGAAATTGTACAATCTACACCCGGCATGACTGACCTTTTTTTTTTCTGCCGATAAGCAGACTGAGCTCGGCTAACCTAGAGACTGTTGAAAAGGACCTTGTTCAACATATGAAGTATGCTCGAGGGTGAATGACCATCTGTGCTTCTTGGTATCGACATGTCCAATAAAACGGTTAAGGCCGACAATCGTGATTAGCTACTAAGATGAATTTAGATTTAGGTTTAGCTTGATCCCTACCGGAAACGAACATATTCAAAGACACTTGAACTAGTGAGACGTGCCCAAATTGGAAACCATGCTGGCGTAGGATGGTATGAAGTTGACATACCTCGACGTACCTAATTCAACAAAGACGGAGGCTCGAAATCTATCAGCAGGATACAGATCGAAGGCAAGATCCAGTGAACTGTCTGCATGACGCTTTCATCGAACATATGATAATGAACATTTTACGGTGTGGTATATCAAACATGACCACGCGCTCATCTGGACACCAATCTCCAGTCCATCTCTAAACGCTTTCAGCTCCTCCACAAATTTCTGCCACGATCTTTGCCAAATTTTCAGGCTGGCTGGCAACAGGTGCGTGCCCGCTCTGCAGCTTGTGCACATTAATATCCCGTCCAGTGGATCCCTTGAGGAACTCAACCATTGCGAGTTGGTGTTCTGGTAGAACCAGCCGGTCTTCCTCGCACACGATGTAGTGGACCTCGACATCGTTATATCCAGGGTACGTCAGCTTCTCTTTGAAGCTTGGCGTAGAGTGCTCGGACATTTGCTTTGCAGCCTCCAACGCCTGACCGGGCGGCAAGTCCGAAAACGTCAGAGATGCGGTTCCTTCGGGAGTAATGCGCATGTAGTCGTCCTACATCGGTAACATGTGAGCAGAGAAAACACTACAAGGTAGTTTACGTACATCAACTGTCAGAAAATCAGGGACATTGGTGCCCAAGAAATCAAAGTTGCCCACGCCAACCGGAGGTACTATGGCTGTCAAGTAGATGATCTTGTCGATACCTCCTGCCTTGCCTGCTGCCTCTCGCGAGACCCGAGATAGTTGCTGGAGACTTTGAGTTCCGGGTATACCACCGTAAGAGTGCGTCAACAAGATAACTTGCTTTCCCTTTTCTAAGAGATCAGACACCACCTTGACGATCTCAGCCACATCGTCACTCATGGACTGAGGGCCTAGGCCTTCTCGGATGCCAACTGACGGGGTGTCAACCACCTCAGACTCAATACCATGCTTCCGCAAAACTGCAGTAAAAGTATCGTAGAGTTTGGCCGGCGCGAATGACCCGGGGACAACGACAACCACGGGCGGTACTTGAGCGTGATCGATAGTAGACATGGCTGATGGGTATGAGCAGTCGTCTTGTCTTAGCTTAGACGAGTTTCTACGTTGGATGAAGCATTTTCGGCCGTCACAACCCCTCATTTATATCATCGCTTTCGTCTTCCACGGCTAGTAAGCGCTAAGCATGGGTGCAACGTCTTGGTCAAGGCAAAAGATCGGCCGGGTGCCTCGGTTTAGCCTCCCACCCCTCCTAGCAGCTTAGTGCTTATTGCTGTCCAGATACTGCTAATCGTATAGTCCCACTAGTGACGACTGTTGCCAACCCTTAACAGCATGGGTTCACAATAATAAACTGGGCACTTATACCGCCAAGGTAAAAAGTGAGGCAGAATTCTGGAGCTCGGCTGTGGGGATTTATGTTGACGTATCTTTTTTATTTTTTTAATTCTTCCTTGCGGGGTGTAAACGGACAATATCATACAAGTAAACATGTCCTGTTTCCAGTTCTGGCACAGGCGCAAATTGTTTACCGCTGAGAATATCAACGACATGCACTGATTTACTCAACAGACACCGCATTGAATGTGGCCGTTTCTTACCTGTTGAGGGTTGCCACGTAAACGAGCAACAGAATCGTGCAGCACCGCCCCGATAGTCCATAACTGGGCTATCTCATTTACGTTATTCACTTCGTTTGGTAGACGGCTCTCTCAATCATGGTGGAACAACTAACCCCACGTTGGGGATGTCAAGTTGTCGGGGTATCCAGGGTTTCTCTTGTCGCGAGCCCGGTCAGGAACTCACCAGAGGTAAAATTGCATGATAAGATTTAAAAGATTTATATAAGTCACCCTTATTTGACCACATCATACATGAGAGATTCCTTAATCACCCTTTCTTTGGGAGCTTCTGTGCCTAGTTTGCAGCCCATCTAAGATCACCCGGTCCTCGCGTCAGCTCATCCTTGTGTTCCAAAAGCCATTCCCTCACAGAGGTAGGTTTCCTTCCAATCGTCCTCTCAACAAAATTATTCAAAGCCCAAATTTCTTCATTGGCCTCCTCAAACTTGAAGAAGTTCCACAATTCCTGCACAAGGTGAGGTCCCATGAAAGGGCCATAGAACCCAGAGAACGCCTCAAAGCTCCCGTCATAGTTGACCTTCTCTCCCAAAACTTCGGAGATAATGCCAGCTAGCTCTTCAAACTTCAGCCGGTCCTGGCCATTATTCATAGTATGAAAGGCGCCGATGTGCTTGGCGTTGGCGGACAAAAACAGTCTTCCGACAACTTCTGCGATATCCCTTGGATCCAAGAACGGCACACGATGTTCCGGCCAGATTAGCGTGTTCTTCGCCAGGACTGATTGCATCTGGATTGATAAGTTATCTATAAAAGTGGCTCCGCAATTGACATAGGTAACGGGCAGACCGCTTTCGTCAAGTACGCGTTTGGCGACGCGATGCTCGACCGGCAAAGATCCTCTGCCGAGCGTGGCAGGTATGCGTGATGGTGAAAATTCGGGAAATAGACCTGTAAAGCGGATGATGTGAATGACGCTGCTGGCTTGCTTCAAAGCAGACACCAGGTTTGTCATAGGGCCTTCTTCTACCAGCCCCGGAGGTGTGATGATGAAGACACCCTCTATGCCGGCCACCGCGGCCGAAATTGACGCGGAGTCCGCGTAATTGGCTTGAACGACTTCGGCGTTGGGAAATGCGTTTCGAAGTGTCTCTTCTTTGGATTGATTGCTCGTGGCAAGGCGGAGCTTGATTGTGGGCGCCTCCCGGGTTAGAAATTCGGTCAACGGCCGACCGATGTGACCCGAAGCCCCAAATATGAGAATGCTGGTCGGAATTGCTTTCGTGAATGCTGGCATTGTGAATGGATTGCAGAAATTTTGAAAAGGCATAGAAGATTGAAAGTGATGTGTACTCCATCCCCCTCATTCTAGTTGGAGGCAGATATATGTGTTTTATATCAGATGAAGACAGTCTTTCGGCTAACGGTTTCAATGAAAGACCCGTTCGCGGATGGATAGTATCGAGTCGGCGAAGGACGGACCCGAGTGGTAACTACGCAGGAGATCTTAACAACCAATCAGAAGCAATAACAGCACTATCTCATCAAATATGGTTCGTCTAAAGTCATGATACTCGGGACTATTCTACCTGTTAGAGAAACTACCCCGAGATTTTGATGGCCGTACAACCTCAACTCGCTGATTAGATTATTCACATTGGCTATTATAATATGAAAAAAGCAAGCTAAATTCGGATTGTTTCTTGGCAATGAGTGAACGTAAGAACTGATGTTTTCGCATAGCTGCCTTCTTTTATCGATCCCAGTATAGGTATCAAAGATGAATAAACAACATTAATAATAGCGTGCTTAGTCATGTTGAGGACGTGCCCTGTCCCAAACGCCTAACGGTGGCTCCATCTTGGGCGTCAGGGATATGACACTTAGTTGTACCGCTTCTCATACTTCAGGTTGTTAACATCCTCTGGGGTTTTTACCATGACCCTGGTTCCTCTAATATCCACCCTGCCAAGGAGCTGTTCGTATAGAGGGGCAAAATCTGAGCAGGTAGTCATATGAAAACCAGCAAATCTCTCTGAATCCGGCTCCAATTGGTACTGAACCCGATAGGCAAGATAAACCTCGTTGAAACGAATCGCATTCCCTTCGTTCTCCCGAGAGGCTGCAATGGCAAAGCTATACAGGGCTCCTTGTGACATGGCTGCTGCTGCGGGTGTGCCAAAGTCACCGGAGGCACCGGTGCACATTGTCCAAGTGCTATCCGCAAAGCCTTGTTCGAGCAGGTATGGCACAGTAGCATGATAGGCAACTGAAAGCTTGTTAGATAATCATTCCGTGGGCATTGAATTATTATTTGTGCCACTTACTGACGTAAGATTCAAAGTTCACCGCCATGACCTCGCGAAGGTCCGCAATCTTGAAGTCTAATATGGGATTTCTTGCGTAAGAACCACCAGCTAGAGCAATTATGTTAGCTCTGACCTGACCGGCTGAAAATCACCGATTCCACGTACGTGAGGCCCAGACATGCTGGAAAGCGGGAAGCTTCCCAGCTCGAACTTGGTCGACGATGTCATGAACTGATTCCTCTGAAGTCACGTCTGCCTCCACAACCGTGATGCCTTCACGGCTACCGACGTGACGGAACATCTTTTCCGCACCGGCTTGGTTGCGGACGACAGCAATGACATGGCGATTGGCCCGCCGAGCACCAATGATGGCAGCAACGCCTATGTTGCCAGATGCGCCAAACACAAGAACAGTTTCGGTCATCTTGTCTCAGTTGTCAGTTGGTTCTGTTGAGAATTAAGGAAAAGGCAATCGGTTTTTGGTTATTTTAAGGCTTCAAATCAAATTTTAATCAGTTTACTGAAGGTGAAGACGCTTCTTATACTAGATCAAGCTGGAGACAAAGTTCAAGCTCCGAGCTCGTCCTCCGAGGGCGTTCGCATGAGCGACTCAATGGAGCAAGAAGATTATCAATCAGATGTCTCTACCTTTGGGCGGCATTTATTTTATTCGGTCATTTAATACTGATTTGACCCGTTATCCATCCGAGTCCACTATGTTGAAGCATATGAATAGTCCGGACGCTGATTAATTGGTTTCGCGCGAACCCGCGAACGCGCGAAGTGGGATGCCGTAGCTACCGTCAAGTTAAACTTTCTACCTGCAGACGCATGGGTTCATTATTAATGGTAATAGGTACATTATTGTTACCACAGCGTTCACTACCGGAATAAGTACACTCATGTCAATTTTCTTTCCTGCTAGATGATGGTAGTACATTATTTGAAAAAGAATATATAAGATGATCTAAAAGCCATTGCCGACGTCATCAAAGTTTTTTGAGGGGTTGAGATTGAAGAGCTATAGTGTCGATTTTTAGCCCACCGTCTTCTAAGAATGTCTGTAACATTCAAGTCCTCTTCGTCAGTCATGTCGTGTTATACCTTGTGTTGAAGTTGTAATGATCATATGCTTTTAAATAGCAGGAGAAAACCAAGCATGTTAGACAATATCATTTCCTTTTTCTAAAGTTCTAGTCTTTTTTACGATGAGTTGCGCCTGTGGATGGGAATCCGCGAATGACATTAACGATATCGCGATACCGTTGACAATTATCACCACCTTTGCTTTTATTCGCCTGCCAACACAGCGACATTAACATCAGCTCCCTCCGCGACTCATCCCAACTTTGCTTGCTGCTTGTTCTGGATATTGCCCCCAAATAGACATGAAAGTATCACAGAATATTGACTACCGTCTAATCCGAAGTCAAAAACCGGACTACTCATCCTCTTTCGTTGGGGGCTGCTTCACCTCCGGGGCTCATGAATTGTCAAGATAAAAGAGCGTGGGTCGAGGCACGAGCAAAGCCAACTAAAAAGCGATACCGAACAATTTATCATTTCCTAACCGATTTCACCGTGGGCAAATTGCACGTCAGTAGTCTCACATCATCGCCGTACCAACAACTCACTCATCCCCAGGAGCGAGGCAAAGAAGGGCAGATGTCAGGCCGCACACTCTTCCCCTTCTGCAGTGACATACCCAGATCCTGTTGATTGCCACGTGTACTCGGCTCTTCCTTCCTCTTTCTAAAGACCACATCCGTCTAAAACTCTTGGAAATTTTTCACGGTGGCTATTTTTGGCCGAGTCAGGGGTTGGATACGTCCTCAGTTTCAGCATTCGTGCAATCCCCACACCCACTGATCTTGGGCGCCGAGAGGCAGACGCATTCTAAGCAGAAAAGAAGAAGGAAAAAACTCGAAGTAATAGCTTGTGGGATCATTTTCACTTTAGTAAACAGTCAGTCTCGTATGCAGCAGGTTCAGCGAGTACATTCATGAGCTTTGCAATGTGAGAGCGTTCATCATTAGCCGTGGTATTGATTGAGTATTGTACATGGTCTTTGGTGATCTTGACCAGTTTCGGTTGTAACTTGACAGCAAGGAAAATGTGTTATTGTGGCATGACAGGAAAACAAGACGTCATCCGTACTTTTTATGCTTTGTCCATCGTTTGGAAGGTCAATCATCCGATCCTCATCCGGTCTTCCCTTGGACCCTCCGAACATGGTCATCCCCCACACCAAACGGAATGTCGCCGTGTTATCGCAGTAAAGAGCGTCGTGATTTTTCTGAATGTTTATGCGGGCTATCCGATGTATCTTCCATCCGGGCCTCTCTCGGCGCGAGGCAAGCCACCCGGCTGTGGCTGGTATTGAGGTTGGTACTGCTGTTGGGACAGCATTTGGGGCTGTGGTTGGGATTGTGCTGGGGGCTGTGGTGGAGGTTGCGCCTGGTAGTAACTATCTGGGTTGTAAGGCTGGAACCCTATATTGATTGACTCTCGGTACGGCCCTTGGCCAAGTTCCTGATACATGTCGTATGTGGATGTTGGGTATGGAGCTCGTGCTATTGATACCGGTGGTTGTCGTTGAGCGGTGCTTATCCTTAGTGGCGCAGGAACGAAAGGAGGCTCGTCGTGGGGATCGTTGTTGGGCTCGTTAATTGACTTCTCGTAGTAGAAGCTTGTTGCCTGCATGTTCCTCGTGGTGGCGCCCTTGGCGGGAGGAGGAGGGGCCAGTGGTTGGGGATCCGGTATCGCGGCGTTGGCTGCCATGAACTGAGCAACCATTTGCTCCTCCATCTCCCTAGTTGTACGGTTTGCAATCTTGGTTTGGCGGTAGGTTGCGACCATGGCCTGTTCCATTTCGCGAGTGTCTCGCTTTGGTTGACTAAGTATGACTGATTCGCGCGGGAAGAAACCACCAGCTGCGTTAGGCCCAGGGCCAGGAGGCGTAGGGGCTGCATTCTGGTTCATATTCTCAGCTACGGCCGCAACCTTCTTCTTGCGCTTGTATCTCTTCCTGATGAAGATGTAGGCTCCGATCAGCAAAGCAATAACAGCTGTAGGTTTGTTAGCCGTGTCTCACGAAACAGAACGATAGCGTTTTACGTACCCACAACCGTGAAGGCGATACCTATGTTGAGGCTACGATTGTTGTTGTCTGAAGTTGCAGGTGCTGCCGAGACCGGGCTGTTGGTCGCCTCCATCTGTGCGTTTGATGGAACAAGATCCGGTCGAGGGGTTCCAGAGGCTGCATTTTCCACGGCAGGTGGTGGTGGTGGTGGTGGTAATGATGCTGATGGCGTTTCTGCAGCAGGAGGTGTAGATGGCTGCGAAATTTGTGGTGGCAGCGAAGGAGTTTGCCTAGACGGAGGAGATCGTTGGGGTGTTGTAACTGGACGTGATGAAGGTGTTGCAGCTGGTGGATCAGACGACTCTGGCGGCGGAACTGCCGCCGGCGGTGCACCGGGGACAAGTGTGATGAACCCCCTTGATGGTGGAATACTACTCGGTACCGCCGGGTTCAAGGCAGCCGGTGGCGCGGTTGGTAGAATTGTTGGAGTTGATGCCGGCGGTGCTGCTCCCGGAGGCGGTGTCACTGCGGGAGGTCGTTGTTCTTGTTCGGAATCGCTGGCACTTGAATCAGATTCAGATGCAGGAGCTCCCGGAGCTTTCGGGGCGTCAGAGTCACTGGCTGATTCGGCTTCTTTTTGCGCGCCGTTGGTGACACCCTTCTTTTCCTCTTCTCCTCCACTTTCTTCTTCCTCCTCTTCCGCCTTTCGGTTGTTTCCAGCCGGGTTGCTTTGTTCCTCTTCTTTTTTGTCCTCATCTTCCTCCTCTTCCTCTTCCTCTTCCTTTCCATTCGCAGGCTCCTGCTCTCCGTCTGCGTCTTCTGCCTCTTGTTCCGGAGTTGGTGAGCGGCGTTCTAGGTGACGGACCAAGTTGTGACGCGGCCTGCCTGGGAATTTGGAACCTGCTCTTCTCCTCCTCTGTCTGGTTTTGCAGTTAGTTTCGGAGGAATCATCGTTTGAAGGATTGCCTTAGCTCACCTCAGCATCGACCTTGTTTCTGTTCCCTCCATGACGGGCATTTGCTCAGTGCCTTCCTCAACATTAACGGCTTTGACGAACTAACAGACGAAATCGACCAGCGGTAATCCAATTCTATGGAGAAAAAGAACAGCACAGCTGTGAAAAGAGAAGCAGAACGAGAAAATAAAAAGACGCAAGCGTCTGAGAAAGAATCGAATCTCGAACCCGGCGAGTCCCTGAAAAGAAACGGACCAAGAACCAAGGAAAAGGTCGAGAGGAGGCACTCCAAAAGATCAGAGCTTGGGAACCCAACAATTATCAATACCACCACGCCTAACAGGGCTTCTCCCGTTCTTCTCCCGCCACACAGGCCTATTCCGCGCCCATGTCTTATCGTACACTCACATCAAACACCACCCCCAGAAGACGGAACAAGGGGGTAGACGATGAACATCGTCTCTGGTGGAGATGGTGTCCGTCTCTGGTGCGACAAGTGCACGCGAGGAAACCTCCGGGGATGTGACAGGGGACTGAGTGCCCAATCATGGCCTTACAATGACCCCGACGCTACGGCCACCAACACTGTTCAGCGCTGGAACCTACCCCCGGAGAGTCGTACCCAGGAGCTCCGTCCGAGGGTGTGGTCAAGGCGACCATTGGGGGGGGGGGATAACCTGACCAATTACCCACTTATTTTGTGATTTGTGGGGCTACCCTGAGATCAGCTGACCATGGTCAGCTAGTTAGCTATGGTCAGGTTGAAATTCCTTAGCGCGGTTTGAAACCTCACCCTTGACATACTTTTTGTAAGAACATACGACATTTAAACGCTTCCAAATCCGTTCCGAATCGATTTACAATGGCTCTTCAATCGATTGAAAATCTCTTCCCTCGCCTAGAGGGAATAAGTCCTCTGTTAGAACCTACTAGTCTTGATGCAGAAGCTGAAGAAGACTTAAATCTTTACTATCAACTACCAGCCCAGGCCCAGTCTGGCTTACCAGTAAATGAGGAGGTAGGGATATATGAGAACGACTTTGGAATTAGTTCTAAATCGATTCAGGATCAACTCGAAACCGATTCAGAAATACCTCCAACACTTGTTTCATCAGAGGCAACCCGTTCTGGGCATAATAGCCTCAGGGATGTTCATGTACTTGCTCAAAAAGTAATCTTTCTACCTACATTTATAGAATATCCAGAAACAAGTGAGAATGGAGTCCTTTATGTTATTGATATAAGGACTTTAAATGAGGAGGATATTAAATCGCCTTGGAGAATGGTAAACGAACTACTTTTGAATCGATCCGGGATCGATCCCGAACTACTTCAGAACTAATTACATCACAGATTCAGTACAACCATGCCCGGCAATTCCCACCAAAACGGACGACTTCAGCATTCCTTCAAAATGCTGTTTGTTTACGTTCAACTTACACTTGTACAGGTGGAAAGGCATGCTCTTATTTCGATCAGAATCTTCCATGCTGGAAGCATCAGAAAGTTACCCCAGAAATCTTGCAAAGTATTGAAGCATTACGAACAGAGGTACTACAGTATGATCTCAAACGGAAAGCAGTTTCGTAAGCATTCAGAATCGATTCCGAACGGGTTCGGAACCCTTTTAGAAATAATATACTAATACTTATAAATAGATGGGCACAAGCACAGATAAAACGTTTCCAACAACATACCGCCTGCCGACCGTTTACAGAAAGATGTAGTCTTGAAGTAGTTAATACAGAGTATGGGGTAAGAAGCCTTTCTGAATGGATCGGGAATCAATTTGGAACTGATTCGGAATCACTTTAGTATATTCCAGGAACTTCCCAGATTACAGCCCGCTGCATCTGCTGGTCACAAAGTCTCCAAGGAGAAAACCATTATATTGGCTTTCCTCCAATCGAATTCCAGCTATATTTACCTCTAATCAAAACTATACTTCAAGGGGGAAGTATAGAAGAAAGCTCCCCTACTGATAGCTGTTATCTTTTTGCTAGCAATAAGAGGAGAATTACACGATGCGGTAAGTAAATTAGTATCGAATCGATTCCAAATGGGTTCCCAACTGATTCTGAATCAATCTAGACGCTAATCATATCGTTCCTGAAACAATTCTTCAAATTACGTGTTCAGTAAAATGGAACTTCTGGGTCCCGCTTGATCTAGAAGCTACCCCAGTTATTCTTCTAACTTCTCATGGGGTCCATTTACATCCACCACCACCACCAGTTAGAGCCCCAGCTAGTATTATATCTAGGCTGCAACAGGTAGTCCAGAAGATCAATCAACCTAGAACGGGGTTAAGTGAGAATCCTTCTAGAATCGTTTCCGAACCGATTCAGAACTAATCCAGTATTGATTCTAGATGCATTCCTACAATCTCGCGAACTTCAGGAATTCTGTGATACTTATAATAGCCAGACTATTACAAGCGTTCATCAAAGTCTAGCAAATACAGACTTCTTACGCTCAATTATCCGTAAACAAGAAGCAATTAGCTTTCCAGCAGGCTGTTCACGTCTAGCGATTTGGTATGAATACCAGTATGCTCAAACTAGGCGTCAAATTCGGGTATGAAGTGATTCTGAATCGGTTCTGAGCGGGTTCAATACTAATTTACTTATAGTATATTCAGTACTTTAATGATGACGGCAATACATACCTATGTATTGTATTTCATGCAGAGCAAGCTGAATTATGGAAGAAAGAGGCTTTTAATACTTTCCAGGTAGATACAAACTATAAACATCTAGCTGGAAAGGAGGAAGTTGAGGTTATTTGGGGATGGTATAATTCGATATCTTCGAAAGGTGCGTAATCGCTTCTAAATCGATTTAGAACGGATTCTTAACAGATTCCTAACTATTTTAGCAATTCCACTTATCCGAGTTTTTACCAATTCTGAAAGTACAGAAATGTATCAGCAGATGTATACAATTGTGTTTAAACTACTTTATAAGAAATTTGGATATAAAGTCAAGTGGAAACACCTTCATGGTAGGGGTCTACTAGGTATTACAGTTGATCAAGACCATAAAAACCTTATTGGTATGGGTTCTTAATAGTTTCTAAACCGATTCAGAACCGATTTATAACTAATTATCTAGGGTTTGGGAAATATCTATCTCTGGAATGTGACCCAGAGCATAGACCATGGGCATGGCAGGTTGAACGCTCTGTACGCTTCTGTTTAATTCATTTCCAACGAGGGATTGAGGCATACTGTACAGAAGACCGTAGCCCTGACTCTCTATGGAATCAAATGCGCAGCCTACTATTCTGCCGTTCCTCAGAAGACTACTTCGCTTTATGTCAGGCATTTGAGAGTAAGGATCAATTCTATATCGCTTCCGAATCGCTTCAGAATCACTTGGGAACTAATTTACTTAGCTGAACCTCAAATAAAAGCATGGGCTCAACATAAAGCCCGAAAAACAATTGCAGCTGGACTTAATCAGAACTGCTCTAAAATCCCCTTATCAGATTGGAGTCAATTCATACCTAATACAAATACTGTTGAGGTTTTACATGAAGCCTCATATACTTGGAGTAATCGGTATTTACCATTACTTACATGTATCCAGAAGTAAGTTTGGAATCCCTTCTGAATTGATTCGGAATTGGTTTGGAATGCGTTGAGAACTAATTCAAAAGTACTTAGATGTGCAGAATACGATCGCCATCTTTTAGAGCAGGATACAGTGTTTACAACACTAGGAATCCGGCTTTCCTGGAAAGATGTTTCTATTATTGGCCGTTATAATACAGCTGCAAGCCGTTTACGTAAGTTAAAAATACTTTAATATTTATTAATAATTATTTCTAAATTATTTTAGAACTTAAACGCCAACGCCAGAGGGAATCCCGTGAGCAACTAGATAATGAACGTGTTGAAAGGCTTTTATCAACCCGACTCTTTACGTCTAGTCCCTCAAGGGGTACTAATTCAAGAAGTCCATCCTCAATTCCGAATCGATCCCGAAGTCTTTCAGAAGCGATTCGGAATCGATCCCCTCGTCTTTCCCATGCTTCATCTTCTGGGGTTATTAGGTCAAATACTCTCCAAAGAACATCTATTTCTAACTTAAGAAACGAAATCAGACAGGGACAACAAGATGACTTTGACTTACAGAAGCAAAGTCTAGAATTAGAAGAAAAGCGATTAGAATTAGAAGCAAGAAAACTTCTAGTTGAAAAACAGAAGCTTGAATTACAAGAAAAGGAACTAGAGTTAGCAGAGCGGCGGAGAAGGTTAGGACTTTGATAGCATATAGGATAGGTAGAGAATCGATTCTAAATCATTTCTATATTGATTTAGAAATGCTTTTTTAAAAAAAAGCTTAAAAACCGAACGCCCCGGGTATCTATAAAGAATTGATTCTAAAGCGGTTCCAAATCGGTCCCGAAAGAAGTCCCAAACTGGTTCCAAACCGATCCTGAATTGATTCAGGCCTCATCTTCTTCATCATCCTCAAAGCGGGCCCAGACCTCACATTCCTGATCGCGAAGGGCGGGAGGACATTCTGAATCGATTCGTAATTAGTTCTGAACTGCTTCAAGACTGATTCTAAACTTACTAGCATTGCGGGCAGTGGTGCAGTAGGTGCACTTGCCCTTGGCAGGGAAGCCGGCGGCGCGACGCATTTCGGCGAAGTTGATCTGTTGCAGAATCGATTCAGAATGGGTTCCAAAAGGATTCCGGATCGATTGAGAATCACTTACCACAGTTTGGTTGCCCCGCTTGCGCGTGGGCACGGCAAGAAGGGGGGGAGGGGTCTGCGCCTTCCGTTTCTTGGAAGGAGTCTGCAGCTCGCTGTCATCGCGAGCGCCGATGGCGATGCCGTGGATGCGGTCGTAGAATTCTATTCATAATCAGTTTAGAACTAGTTCAGAATCGGTACAGAATCAGTTCAGAATCACTTACCAGCTGCATCATCGTTCTCCTCGACGGAGTTCGCGCCGGACTTGCGGCTCTTAACCTTGGCCGGGACCCCGTCGAGCTTGTGCTTCTTGATGTGGTTCTTGAGGTTCGACTCGCTCGAGAACCGCTCCGTCTAATCGATTCGAAATTAGTTCTGAACTGATCCGGAACTGATTCTGAATTACCTTGGTGCACGTGATGCTGCTGGATCTACCACCCCAGCGGCAGTAGAGTTCGCCAGGGGCGAGCTTGACTTCGCCAGCCTGAATCGATTCAGAACTGTTTCTGAATCGTTGTGGAATCGCTTCTGAATCACTTACCTCGTTGAACACTTACAGAATCCTTGTATGAAGGCATGATGTCGGATTTCTGAACTGATTCGGAAGTAATTAGGAATCGGTGCGCCAGGGGGGGGGGGGGGGCGCATACGATTTGAAAGGGTTACGGAGGGAAAAGGAAGAGAATCAGAATGGAAAAGGGTTACGGAGGGAAAAGGAAGAGAATCAGAATGGAATAGGGATTTAAATATTAATATGGGGTATGCACCCCAATCAGTAGTGGGACGCAATCAGTAACTGGTCCGTGCACCTGACCGATTAAAAATTCCATGGTCAGGTGGACCCACTTCACCTCAATACAGCCAATCATAAAATTGGTCAGATAGACCCATAATTCATTTAAATAAGTGGGTAATTGGTCAGGTTATCCCCCCCCCCAATGGTCGCCTTGACCATACCCTCCTCCGTCCGGCGGGTTTCAAGTGAGCCCCGGCCGCTGTCACTCTAGGTCAACCCGCATGCCGCACCACAAGCCCCTCGATGGTGTTTGACGCGCTTCTTGGCGCTTGGCCTGAGGGCGCCTGAAACCCCCCAAAAATGTGACTGCACTCACAGTTTTTGCGAATTCTGGAGTCCATGATTCACTATCTTTGGGAATCGTTATCCACCATGTCGGGGTTTTCTTGACAATATCTCCACTTGAACGCCATGAGGACTGAGGGCAATGGAGTAAACAGGGCAGATGAGCTCGCGTGGGAGGCCTTTCATTGGGGGTCCTTGTCGGGGTTTAGAAACATCCATCGTCTTTTTTTAAATGTCGACGTTGATGAAATTGTCCTAAAACCCGAGGCTCTCGTCATCATCATGGCATTATCTCTGTTCCTCGGCTCATGAATTCTCACCCATCAGGTTCTGCAATTTGTCGGCTTAGGACGCATGATGCAGCAAACCAAATAATTGCAGATTTTAGCAGAAGTGATGGCTTTCTGCGTTCGTCATCGGCAACAACAGAAACCACTTAGAAGACTGGGATTAGGGAGCCGTCCTCTGGACTGGCCAAGATTCATCGTTCCTAGTCAGGTCAACTCGTGCCGACTCGAGCGGCAAAAATTGCAAGAGTGCCATGCTGGCTATGTTTGAAGGCCCATCCAAATGATCAATCAACACTCGCCATCACTGTCTATCGTGGCTAGGGCTGGTGGTGCCTGGGGTAACGAAGGCCATGGATCTCCGTCAGTTCGTGGTTCAAGGAGCCGTGGGTTGCCCACTACGGGGTCGTCGATGAAACGAAAATGCATGGGCACCCTGCGCCCATCTTTGCGACTCGTCGTCTGACAATGACGTTCCTTTCTCTACCATCCGGCCTAAATCCGTCTGTCTTAATATTCTATTTATACGGCATACTTCTTTTAATACCCTTTCTGAAAGCCCCGCGCCGGTTTTTGCTCGGGTGGCCTTGATACTACCAGTCTTTCGGCTACGATATCCTTTGGAGGCAACTCTTGTGCTCAACAAGAGCTAACGCGTTCCATGGTTGGTACAACAACGGATCCGACGTGTATTTAGTGATCGCAAGAAGGACTATATCACGTTAGGCTAGGTTCCCTCACTTGCCACACAGACGTTAGCATGAGAACTCAAGCCTGCGGAAGCCAACTTCCATCCCCACAAGCCATACCCGCTTTGAAGTCATCAAGGCCAATTGCACTACACATCCTTCGGAACTCACGCCAGCCTGTCTCAAAACTAGTTCACGTCGCCGCCTACGTACCGTTGTAGGGTCGCAAAATCTGGGAAGCCAATCGCAAGCTTAATTTGCTTCCCTTTCGTCTGTTTTAAGTCCAAAGTGGAAGATCTCGACTCCACGGCTGTGAGAGGCTCAATCTGCACACTGAAATTCATCTAATGAATCATGGACTTCCTTGGCACAAGTAACTGCTAGTGCTGGAGATGAGGTGGTGGTCACAAATATACGCCCAAGGTTTCGTATCTATTTATGATGTCGTCTTCATAGAGAAAATGAAATGAACTGTTTGATATGGGAAACAGTGTTCAAGTACACTTGCAATCAGTGATGACTTCTCTTGATTCCAGAGGATCGCTCATCTGATGACGAATGCAGTAGTATCAATTGGGTCTCCAGCCCTCAGTTTGGTGGGCTTATCAGTGGCCTTATCAATTTGTCCGACAATTTATTTGCCCTTGTTCGGGTGACCAGGGTCTGATGAATAATAAATTGTATGATTTATCCGTCGCGTTGCACGTGTCCAAAGCTTCGCATACTCAGTGCTGCCGTCAGTGCCGTCCTGCATCATTCCAATCATTTCCGCGCTGATACGGATAATGAGATCCCGATCAGAGTAGCAAGGAGTGGGGGACAATTCATACCGCCATTTCTGTCAACCTGTGCTGCATTATCCACCGCGCGTTGTCGCCTTTGAGAACATGAGAAGACGGCACAACTACCTAGTGGAAGACAACGGTTCAATAGACTACTCAGTTAGTAACACGGGCACGGAAAGCATTAGCTTGATTGAGTATCGCCTATCTTAAACGATACTCTATCCATATGTTTAGAAAACGATACTATAGTCTACAGTAGTGTCTTGGGCAATGCACCTTATTCACCGTGGTCCGGCTGTCATAGTGGTATCTTCTGTCGGCAAGGTGACCTCGGTGCTTGACTAGGAGTATGCATATACACCCTCGTCCGTCTTTTCGTTTGTAGTTCTGCTTGTGCCCAGCTGATCAAAGGAAAACCCCGATCCCAATCGCTCAAATATGTGCCGGTCTAAGCAAACCCGAGGGCTCAAAACCCTCTTCTCGATCGTATCATCGGCTCCTTTGCTGAAGTACTCCCGCCATCTAGATCGCCGAAACCCTCAGGGTCCTTAAGGGTCTTACCGACATTAGACCCTGCTTCCCTGACATACTTTTCAACTTTGGGAACATGTTCCTGGGAAAACGGCCCCGGTGGAGGTCTTATCGACCAATCATGACGAGGCCGATTCCTGATTACCGCCCCGGACCCAAGCTAGCCAATCCCGTATTGCAGTCCGGGGTTCATCATCAGAACCTGGATGGCCCGACTTGTACGATACGTGCTCAGAGCACCTTGATGGCATTTGATTCCCTGGAAGATGATCAGATATCAAACGATGGAATGTTCAGAGAGATGATATAAATATCCTGCAGTCGAAAGAATCGGGCTTGGTTTGATTTCATCCTCAAGTCTTTCAGTTCGTCGAGAAAATAAGGAGGAAATTAAGCCGTCAAAATGGGCAAGAAGCTTTCTGCGTCATCAACCAAGCCCAAGTCGGGCAGTGTTGTCGTCCCGGCGACGACCAACCCAAAGGCCAACAGCGACGTTCCAAAGCTTACCCGTAACGATTCTGGAGTCGATGTATCCAAAGTTTCCCAAGCAAAGCCATTGCCGGTTACTCTTCTTTCTGGATTCTTGGTCAGTAGCATCCTTGGAAACAGGTCAATAAGGCCAGGGCTACCACTTACACCGAATGCAGGGCAGCGGAAAAACCACTCTTCTCCAACACCTCCTCAAGAGCGAACATGGTCTTCGCATTGCAGTTATTGTGAATGACATTGGAGCGTAAGTAAACTAGTCCACGCTGAATTTGCTACATTGACGACTTACTGACGATGTTATTTACAGTGTCAACGTCGATGCATCCTTGATCAAGAAGAGCCACCGACTTACAAAAACGGAAGAGAAGGTCATCGCTCTACAGAATGGCTGTATCTGCTGCACCCTCCGAGGAGATCTGCTGGAAGAGTTGGTCAACCTCTCTGAGCTCCACGAATTCGACTACGTCGTTATCGAGAGCAGTGGTATTAGTGAGCCCGAGCAGGTCGCTGAGACGTTCGATGCTCGGCTCGCGGAACAGATGCAAGCCATGGGCGAGGGTCCCGAGGGTCTTGATGAGGATACCTTGAAGCTCCTTAAAAGACTGTAAGTGTCTGACTTGAATCTGTGACGAAACAAAGTTAACAAAGCTTTCCTCAGAGCTGATGCAGGTGGCGTCGATAAGTTTGCCCGCCTTGACACAACCGTCACCGTCATTGATGCCTTTACAATCTTCAATGACTTCCACACAAGCGACCTGCTCTCCTCAAGACGAGACGATGTCGTGCCCGAAGATGAGAGAACTGTGTCTGATCTCATGGTGGATCAAATCGAGTTCGCTGATGTTATCGTCTTGAACAAGATCGATATGGTACGCCTTCTTGTTCCACAACTGGTATTCCTCTGCTAACATAGTTAACTTAGGTCACGAAGAAGGACCTGGCTCGCGTCCTTGACTTGATCAAGAAACTTAACCCAAGAGCCAAGATCCTCGAGTCCAACTACGGAAAGATTGACGTCAATGAAATTGTCAACACCAACACATTCGACCTCAAGGTCGCACAGTCCGGTGTCGGTTGGCTGCAAGATCTGCACGCCATGACCGTCCGTGAGGTAAGCTTTTCAGGAACAATTCACAACGAACTCCGGACTAACCCATGTACAGGTCAACGGCCGAAAGAAAATTACACCCAAGCCTGAGACGGAAGAATACAATGTCCGCAACTTCATCTACTCAAGAACACGACCCTTCCACCCTAGGAGACTCTGGTCTCTCATCTACGACAAATTTATCCTCCAAATGGAAGCCCCTGAAGGCGAAGATGACGAGATGGATGAAGATGAAGACGACGACGCCGACATGAGTGACGTCGAGAAGGAAGACGAAGAATGGGAAGACGATGAGGAGGAGAAAGACGATGAAGACGACGACATGGAGGACTCCCTCGAGCCTCCGTCAAACGACGTTATCCTCGCCAACAAGACTGCTGACCCGCTCTTCAACCGTCTCTTCCGCTCAAAGGGCGAATTTTACCTCGCCACTCGACCGCACAGAGCCGGCGACTGGTCCCAGGCTGGCGCGATGCTGACCATGACTGGTGGTCGTCCTTGGTTCTGCACATTATCCCCCGAAGATTACCTGACGGGTGACCCAGAGGTCGACGCTCTTGTTGCACATGACATCAAGAAGGGCGGCGAGTGGGGTGACCGCCGGCAGGAGCTGGTGTTTATCGGAGAGAACCTCGACATCAAGGGTCTTGAGAAGGCGCTGGATGAGTGCTTGTTGAATGACGACGAGTGGAAGAAGTGGCAGAAGGTGATGAAGAACAAGAAGTGGAACGATGAGAAGAAGATGGATAAGCTGCAGGACATGTTTGATGACGGGTTCCCTGACTGGGCGGATGACGAAGAGGACCACGAGGGACATGACCATGCATGATCAATAATTTGGCGTTCAAAAGTTAATAGACACGAATAAAGTGAAATATGATTAAAAAATTACCATTTAACATGCTCTTCTTGGTGTTCGTTCAAGTGTGCTGGGTTTGATTTAGTTCTGTTACGAGATTGGGGTTTTTTCCCCCGGCTTTTCTCTTCGACAGTCAGTGAGAAATGAAGCTGGTATTTATTGGAACGGTTGGAATGACGAGTGCATGCTTTGAGGTATCAGAATTGAGCAAAGACGTCATTTTTACCCATGTTGAGGCATTAGCTACGGTTGCTTCACATGTTAGGTGGGTATAGTTGATCTTCATTCCAGCAACTGAGATACCCAGTAGATAACAGGAGAACGCTCGTGAATATTATTGTGATATTTTGACGCCATATAATTGGTGGGAAAGGTGTCTATTAATTCTTCCAACGATAATGTCAAGAGGTGTATTGCGTAACGTCTCGGTTCTTGCACACAGAGCTTACATTCTACAGAGGACTCTCTGACGACAGAACTGGCCGGATATTAAGCACTCAAGAGTAATTTAATGCAAGAATGTCGAGCATGGAGAATGCTTCATAAGTATCAACTGCTCGACCTTACGTGGAAGATACATGCTGCGACCTTCACCAAGTTATCGATGCCCATTATTCGCCCCCAACCAATCACTACCTCAGAGGGCTTGATGCTCCACATCCCGTTAAACGCCCCACACAACGAATGCGACAATCGCAGGTCATGAGCTTGATTCATCTTCAAGTTGCATTACGCGATTACCTGCGCTTGAGAAGATTGGGTAGAACCAGAGATGTTCAAGCCACCAAAATACAGAGGATGGTAAGGAAGCAGTATGAGTGGACGATTTGGTGACGACGTGGCTAGCTCCAAACCTAGATATGGTCCAGATACTTTCTATTGGATGTGGCTTGCAAACGCCACCTCGGACACTATCATCAACGCATCATATGTGGGCATTGTGCAAACAAGCGAGTGATGTAAACAATCTGCTCTTAACAACATCGCCGCTTGACGGACCACCTTCGTGATACCTTAGAAACCGCATCTTCGTAATACTTTTTAAGCAGCAAACTTTCAAGCCTTACAACAAGTCCATTCATATCACAAATTACGTCATCACATATTCTCAATGTCTTCTCCGCCACCAGAGGACAAGCAGACTAACAAGGACAAGATCCTTGCCCAGGCTTCCGCCAAACTCGAGGAAGCACAAAAAGAGGCAGAAGCAGCCCAACGCTCTCGTCAACAGGGCGAAGAGACCGAAGATACAGAGGAAAAGAAGAAGCTACTGGATGAAGCATCACGACACGAAAAGAAGGCCAAATCGTTGAACAAAGAATCCCAGAGGTTGCAGAGCGGTGTGTGGCAGGGTGGCGTAGGTGGCGCAGGCATTGGGGCTGGATTAGGAGCTGGGCTGGGTGCTGGTGTGGGAACCATCACATCTGCCGTCGTTGGTGGTGTGGCTGCGATACCAACCACCGGGCTGGGACTCTTGGTTGGTGCTGGCACCGGCGCGATACATGGGCCGTGGTACAAGTTGGAGGGACAAGACAAGAAAGAGGCTAGCGAGGATGATCAACCAAACGCTGGGGAAGAGAAGAAGGACTCCTAGTAAATACTCGAGGAAGCTAAACCGTGAGAAAGACGTTGAACAATCTAATGTTCCACGTTGACCTCATGCCCTGAGTTTGAGTTTCAGTACATAAGGTATAAATGGGTATTTAAATATACAACAACGAAAAATGAAGCGATGGGAACACGTTGATCTCTTCTGCCACCCGAACCAAAGAAAACATGATCTCGCACTTGTGCTTGACGGCTTGACGCTGGCATGACAGCCGGCACTTCGTCGAGTATTTTCTGCCCATGAAAAAATTTACTGCTCTAATGTGGATTGCTCCATGTAAAACCGGTTGTGGGAGACCCGCCAAATCTAGTGTATCGTATGGAATCGTCATGGTGCGGACACATCTCCCAAGTGGGCGTCTGGCCCCCAGTTAGGAGGCACGATGTTTCCTCGCTTCCGCTTCATGTATTGCCAAGAACCAAACTACCTAGCCTACAGCAGCGTTTTTGGATTGAGGAAGAACTAGTTTAGGCTTAGTGGTTGCTTTGTTTCTCTCCTACGATCGTAAAAGTTATAACAATGGCAGCCATATAAACAACGGTATTCGTATTCCGAGACGGCACAGCAGCTGGGGATTTCCATATGGCGAATACGCTCGCTAAACCCACTTTACAGGCCGAACATAGCACCAGCTATGGATGGATTCGTATCATGCCTACCGCTTCCCAGAAATAGTACAATATTGGCAATATTTGACCCTGACCTCGCTGGCAGCAATTTGTTTTGCCAGGACATGACAGGCCCAAGATTGTAAAATTTAGACGAATACACCGCCAATGTTTCGTGTAATAACATCCCGTCATCTCATCGTCAGGGAAGTCGGCTTCGGATACCTTTCCAAATAACTTCACTCAAAGCGAAGGGCATCTGAAACCACAAGAACTCTTCTGCAGCAGTGAAATGAGTCGTATCGCTGCGGTGAGCACATCATTGCCCTCTTTGGTTGACTATGCAATGGATCCGGGAGCAGACAAATGCTAAGGAGCAGTGGATACGGCAAATATTTCAAGTATTGGTTGGCTCTCGTTCAATCCGATTCTGCAGAGGCGCCTGAAAAAAATTCGATTTACATCCATGGGCTCTTTGGGCAGCGCCCATGGTAAGAAAATATCCATGGAGTCCGATATTAACCTATATTACGGATGGAATGGTCTTGGTGTTTTTCTCACAGACGGCCTTCTCCTTTGATGGAGCAAAGAGGAGCCACGGTACATGTCGTAATCTGGATCTACTGAAGATCTTTAGCGGAGTCTGACCAGCACAACAGGCATCTTTTCTCTCAACATGGGATGAGAGCACCGCCCAGTTGGCTGATCCAGGTCTTAATAGGAGTTGCTATGATATCTCGGCAGGCGGCACTTAAACAACCGTACTCTATTTTCACTCTAAATGTGAAGCGCTGGGTCAAGCTGGAGGGGCATCATGACGATTGCCACAGGCCCAATGCTGGTCAAGTCATGGCCGTCACGGTGCATGATTACAAAACACAAAGATCAAATTCAGTTGCCCACGCCTAACTGGCCTCGGCTTTAGGGACCGAGAAATTGTGACTTGCAATCAACTGCACATTCTGGACGTGTCCGAACATGGAGAGTCCTGTGATGGCTGCGAGCACGGCACAACAGTGGACACCTCCTTTTTTTTTTTTTTTTTTTTCTGGTGTAGTTTTCGTCCCGAGTAAATTGATCTGCGACAGGGAATTGGGCCCAGCGGTTTTTCTCTCGCTGTGCCGCTGGCCCATGTTTCAGGTGGCGCCCACCACACTTCGGGGCGCGTCGATCACAAACCAGAACAAAGTTCAGCACAACATGACCTCCCGGCTACGATCCCGTCTGAAGGGAAACCTACTTATATTGTATCTGGGGAACTATGTGTTCTTTTTGGAAATACCGCTGTTTTCTGCTATACGTGATGCCTTGCTGTAGTAGCTTGTGTACTTGGCCCAAAAAGATGTCAACCAATATTTGTAAATGGGTACTTCTGGTCCCAAATCTCGCATAGCCCCTGACAACATACTGCCAGGGCTTGACCAACAAACGTGGCATATCGTCCGAAATTGTTAACCGCCAAACGGCGATAGACCTGGACGGGCATGCCCGTCAACGGCTTAGTCGAATGAGGCGAGTTGTGTGGACCCCGGGCAATCTATAAGCGACCGATTTGGAGGCCCATGCCAGGCACACGCAGCCGAGGACCCGTAGTTTGCAGGGGAGCGCTTTTCGAACCTATCGTAAGGGCGACTTTAGATGAACAGGATCATATAGGAATCGGCGCATGAGCCAAGCTTGGCGACCATATTTCGACCGTGATGCCCCCCCCATCGTGGACAGTCCTTCAGGGGTGGATGTCGTCAACCGTACTCTAGTTCTGACCCGATGAGGGGATCATCCCCGGCCGTGGGAGCCGTGCTTGGTGGGAATTTGATCCTGCAGATGGGTCGCTCCAACGTTTCAAACGAGCTTGCCCAGAATCCTCTTTTGATTCTAGTGGACGATATCGAACCCTTGCTTAGCCAACGTGGGCGAATCACCCCTTTTTGTGGTCAAGCCCACGATGCCTAGGGAGAAAGAAGATGGAATGACAGAGAGTGGAGAAGGCAGAAATATTGTTTGGTTCATGGGATGCCATGGGCCGCTGATGGGTAACGACTGCCAGGGGTGAGAGAATGACGGCTCGAGATATAAGATATCCTTTCTTCGCGGCCGTTAAACTCTGATTTCCCTTTCTCTCTTCGTTCTCAACCATACATCACTGTCTTTTGTCATTGTACAAACCACTCTCTTTCTTTTTTTTCGAATCTTCATTCATTCATTCCCTGGTGGAAAATCAAGCTTCTTCATTTTCTCCCGTCCAGTCTTTGTTCGACAACAACCACATTCTCTCTACCACCTCCCCAAAAACAACCAAAAACCAACAACCAAGATGCGTACCTTCGGTTTCCTCGCCGCCGCGGCCCTCGTGTCCCAGGCCACCGCCCACTACGTCTTCCCTACCCTGATCGTCAACGGCGAACAGACCGAGCGCTACGAGTTCGTCCGTGAGGCCAAGAACTCCAACTCCCCCGTCGAGGATGTCACCTCTGAGGGCATCGTCTGCAACAAGGGCGGCAACGACGATGACGTCCTGGCCAAGACCAAGACCAAGGCCGTCAAGGCCGGCGACGAGCTCGGCTTCATCGTCGAGAACGACATGGGCCACCCCGGCCCCCTCGCCGTCTACCTCTCCAAGGCTCCCGACTCCGTCTCCTCCTACAAGGGTGACGGTGACTGGTTCAAGATCTACGAGCTGACCACCTCCGACATCACCGACGCCGGTCTCCAGTGGGCCACGTACGTGAACAACGCCGGTATCCACAACTTCACCTTCACCCTCCCCAAGGAGGTCCCTACCGGCGAGTACCTGCTCCGTGCTGAGCACGTCGGTCTCCACGGCGCCGGCTCCAAGGGTGGTGCCCAGTTCTACATTGCTTGCGCTCAGATCTCCGTCGAGGGTGCTGCCTCCGGTACCCCCGCTCCCACCGTCAAGTTCCCCGGTGCCTACACCGGCGAGGAGCCCGGTCTGCTGATCAACATCTACTACCCTGCCCCCAAGAACTACACCGCCCCCGGCCCCGTCACCTGGCCCAACTCTTGCGAGGACCACACCGCCAACCTCCTCGGCCAGACCTCCGACGGTGACTGCACTGGCAGCGACGGCGCCACCACCCCCGTCACCCCCGTCCCCTCTACTCCCGCTTCCGGCAACGGCACCGTCCCCGCTGAGCCCTCTGCCCAGCCCTCCCAGACCGCTTCCGCCGACAGCGACTGTGACAAGTCTGCTGCTCGCCGCCGTGCTCGCTCTATGCACCGCCGCGCTGCCCGCCTTGCCCGCGCTGCCTACTAAGTATCCCCATTGGGGACTTGGAAGGCGAAGATGGATGGAGAAAAAAAAACCTAGAAGTTGTTGCGTTGTTCCGAGCTTGTGATGCCCACTTGGGTATGCTTGCTCACAAACTTTCTTGTACATAAGTATGATTTAAGACACTGGATGTAAATGCGATTAGATATCGGACGATCCTTTGTGCCGAGGCGTCCTCATGTTTGATATATGAGATCATTTCAAAAATCTTTGGTTCCTGTTCCGTGAATACCTCGTAATATTTAAGCCAACAGCATCAGTGTCTGTGGTTTCCTGGTAGAAATCATTTCCGAGACGTTGCCTGAACGTTGATAATTTCTTTGATGATGATATGGATGGTAAGCTCCAGGTCCTCAACATCTGTGATTGTATCAGTGTCTGCTCTCCGAAGCACATCATTGCCGGACCCATTTGATCTGATCTTCACTTTGTTGGCCATTTAGTGGGTCGGCGTTTAGACAGAAGAAACATTTTTCATAGTTCAGTCCTACTATAGGACAATATCCATTAGCAACCGTAAGCTTAATCTAATATGCCTTTCCATCAACAACTAACTTAGTTACTATACCCTCAACACCGCGTAATTAACTTTCGAAAGTCATAATTATGGGACATTGCTTTTGGGTTTGGGGTCTGTATTAAAGAAATTTTATGAAAGACTCAAAAATCTTATTCTCATTTTCAAAAACTTTCTTCAAGTTAGGGACGGTTGTGTGAATTACCAACACAGAAGGTCAACAAGTCCACCTTCTAATACGATCATATGAAATCAGACAAGTTCTCCAATAGAGTGATTAGCCAATGTCATCATTGAAATCCGAGCCCCCATAAATTCGATGTTTCTCGACACAGATAGCGCGCCATTGGAAACGGATTGTGTCGGACTTTTCCTTTTCCCCGGATTACTTGATGCGGGCTGCCGCAATTCCCCGCACTTACCCCCACACATCCTGACCTGCTGGCGTATCCCAGTTTGCTCTGTAGGATTTGTCCTGCTTTCTTGCATTGCCACTGCAGAGATGCTGAGATAGGGAGATTCACGAATGAGCTAGAAGAGTAGCCACAACTCCCTTCAAGTTAAGAGCTTACCTGAGATGACCCAGGCATCTATTGCTGAATGCTTGGGACCATCTGGAGGCACCTTTAGCCAAAGGCAACAAAAGCCTCCATGCCCAACCCCCGCGAACTGAAATGCGGAGAAGACAGACGGCGGAGAGTCGCCCGTCCTGCATTCATGCTGCCGCCGCCCCATTCTGGGGTAATTCGAGCCGCCAACGGGTCCCACAAGCCCCCATTCAAGGCAGAGTTCAGGCTGTCTGGGCCAAACACATCATTGTCTCCTCCAGCATCTGCATCCCCGAGCTCTGTGATTTGCCCGGAGGCTACGGGTTACGGCCTGGCCCCCCCGCAATATGCACCCTTGGGGCAGCTCCTCGCGCCCACAGCATGCAGCTGAGAGACAAACCGAGACAGAGACCGGCGGGAAACTGGAGCTTATGGTCCATTCTTGGCAGCTCTTGAGCCAACGAGCTCCAGAATGGCGAAACTTGTTGAGTCGCCAGAACTGACACCCGCATATCGATGCAGAGTTGGTAACAGGTTCGTCGCCAGTTACGGATATCCATCGCTGAGGCCGATCTATCCCCGGGAACCCCTCATCCTACGGGCCGCGTCTGGCTTATCAGGTGATGTCACGACTCAACTTTGGCGCGGAGTAACGGGAGGGTTCCTATCCTTGTCAAGAGGGGTAGCAATCGTGTTTAAATCCTGCATCTTAGCCTCGGTTTTGAAGCTATTTTGAACCATACCCGCCCATCTTTGCTTGGACGACTGCCTCCAATTTCTTCCTTCAGACCAAATACACCATGACAGGAAAGTTTCCGCACAACGAACGTGTCGAGCCAGGCTCGGTGAACCTCCCACCCCGCCCATATCCTCCAACAGTCCGTTCAACATCGGTTGATGCGGGGAAGGTGGCCGTGGAGGCTGTCAACGCCTTCAACGCTGCTTTGAGGTCCAAGAACTACAAAGCTCTCGCACAGCTGTTCGTGTCAGACGGGTATTGGAGGGACCACCTCTGTTTATCATGGGATCTACGGACTCTGAAGGGCAGAGAAAAAATCGAAAAGTTTCTTGCCGACCGGTGCCGATTGACCGAGGTCGCCGTGGACGCGTCTTCCGATAATCGGGCTCCTCGACTTGCTCCCATTGATGCTTACGGCAAGGTCCTATGTCTCCAGTTCTACATCAACGTCCAGACCCAGGTCGGGCCCGGCCAGGGTGTCGTCCGGATGGTGGAGTCGGGTGACAAGTGGGAGATCCTCACCTTCTTCACCGTTCTACGAGAGTTGAACGGCCATGAGGAACCCCTGCGGCACCGCCGTGAGAAGGGGGTCGAGCATGTTGGCATTCGAGACGGTAAAAACTGGAAAGAAAAGAGGGACGACGAGCTCAACTACACAAACACGGAACCGACAGTGGTGGTCATCGGTAAGTACCTAAAGCCCGGAACTGCTCGCGTCGGACAAGTAGCTTATCCTCGTATTAGGTGCTGGCCAAGCCGGACTTACCGTCGCTGCTCGTTTAAAGATGCTCAACATAAATGCGTTGGTCGTCGACAAGCACGGCCGGGTGGGGGATAGCTGGCGCAAGAGATACCACCAACTTGTGCTGCACGACCCCGTTTGGTACGACCATTTACCCTACATCAACTTTCCAGCAAACTGGCCAGTTTTCACTCCCAAAGACAAGATCGCGGACTTTTTCGAAGCATATGCCAGTCTTCTCGAGCTCAATGTCTGGACGTCGACGACAATGACCAAATCGTCTTGGGACGACTCAAAGAGGCAGTGGACGCTTACCTTGGACCGTCAAAAGCCCGACGGGACCAAGGAAACTCGGGTCCTGCACCCCCGCCACGTCATCCAGGCCACAGGCCACTCTGGCAAGATGTTCTTCCCTGACATCAAGGGCATGAGCAACTTCAAAGGCGACCGCCTGTGTCACAGTTCAGAGTTTGCCGGCGCAAAGCCCAACTCCAAAGGGAAGAAGGCTATTGTTGTCGGATCTTGCAATTCCGGCCATGATATAGCCCAGGATTTCTACGAGAACGGATACGATGTGACGATGGTCCAACGCAGTTCCACCAGTGTCGTTTCATCTGCTTCCATTACTGATATCGGACTGAAGGGGCTCTATGATGAGGACTCCGCGCCCGTCGACGACGCCGATCTCTGGTTGTGGAGCTTACCCGCGGAGATTTTCAAGTCGCTCCAAATCGGCATGACCGAACTGGAAAATGCCAACGATGCCAAACTCCTCGAAGGGCTACAAAAGGTCGGCTTCCAGCTTGACATGGGCCCCAGCGGTGGCGGCTTTTTCGTCAAGTATTTCCAGCGAGGCGGCGGATATTACATCGATGTCGGATGCAGCCAGCTCATTATCGACGGCGAGATCAAGATCAAGCAGGGGCAGGAGATCACGGAGGTGCTTCCTCACGGTCTACGATTCGCCGACGGGTCAGAGCTCCAGGCGGATGAGGTCATCTTCGCGACGGGATACCAAAACATGAGGACCGAGGCCAGGAACATCTTTGGCGATGAGCTTGCAGACAGGATTGGTGATGTTTGGGGTTATGACGAGGAAGGTGAGTTCAGGACAATGTGGCGGCGGAGCGGACACCCCGGGTTCTGGTTTATGGGCGGCAACCTCGCAATCTGCCGATATTTCTCCAAGATTTTGGCGCTGCAGATCAAAGCTGTCGAGGCTGGAATTGACCAAGACGGCCAGTCCAAGCCTTTGCCGAGGCTCTAAACCTTATGTAATTAGAGTATAGCCGGTTTTTGTGATTGTACAAGATCAAGATTGAACCCCGAATCTGTATATAATGATTGTCAGAGTTCCTGTCTTGCCTGTTCAATACTACTTTTGTAGCCGAATAGGTAACGCGACAACCGAGAAATTGCTGACACCGGCTGAGAAAACTGTCTATTGGAATGATGTCAAAATTTCCCTGGCTAACGCACCCCTAAAGCTCTCATCCTATGCATCTCATCCGACCTACAAATGTTAAATACCATAATCAATCCGGCTCTCTTTCAACGTGAGACAGACAGACTACAAAGGTTATTCGATAGTGAGCTAATTGATATTACTTCACACAAGCTGGACTACCTACGCGGGTTCGCCTTCGTTGCGCGCTATGCCTTTGGTAATCTAACCATGAAGCTAGCCATTTCTATCATGCAAGCAGCTTAAGAACACGAACCAAAGTCATCTCGTTTAGATCGCCTAGAATGACGTGATCAAAGTTGTAATTTGACTCTCAACGCCATGAAGGTGTTTAGGCACGATGTGTCACGATAAGTCAGAACCAAATATATGCACTTGTATATAGCCAGGAAGAGATGCACGCTATGGTATGATAACGGAAGTGTGATGAAAGTCGTGGAAGGAAGTTAGACATGAACGACGATAGTAAAGCATGTAAAGCTAGGTGCTTCAAACTAGGTGGAGACAATGCTCACCCAGCACACCGAGCAAGGTGTGTTTTACATAAGCTTCTGAATCGCACACCGTAGACGTATGCATGTGCTTCCTCACGCAAATCCTTTCTTTCTAAATTAAGGCACTCTTTTACACCTTCCTAGCCCAATTGTCATATCTCTAGTTCCGTCACACCTCAAAAACTCAGTTGCTTGTGTGGGCCAATTGCACGGAAAGTATGCAATTCGAGTTTTGAAGCACACGGTACTTTCCGATTGATCAATAGACTCACCCGCTTGTTAATGTTTTCTCCTTTATAAGGTTGAGATGCTGAGCTATGTTTTACTCTTCTTAATTTAAGTCGCGGCATCATAAAATGACTGGAATGCAAACATAGAACGTAGAATCCCGTTCTTATAGTGCAATCCATGAATTGAGCTTCTATCAATATTCTTACGACCTTTTCTCCGTTTTCTTGCCCATATCGGAGAGTAATCTCTCTGCTCTCTTCTCGTTCTCCTTATCCAGGCTCTGAAGAAGGTCGCGATACGCCTTCAGCTGCTGTCCACGTGGTACTTCTGCGTTCAAAGCTGACCGAGAGAGAGTTGGGGAATTCCCTTCGTCATCCATTCTTAGGTCTTGGTGCCAGTTGAATTGCTGATATTGAGCACTGGACTGTGCATCTGGTTGTTGAGACATGGGCTCTTGATTGTGTCGCCGCCTCCTGCGACACTAGTGTGAATCTCGATCTTTTTTTTTTTTTTTTTTTCGATAAAGTCGGACGAATAGTCTTGTTGAACGGTAGAGAGTAGAGAAGTCCACTCTGCGCTGGATCGGCAAACACCGTAAGCATTAGTTTTCTCGGCTTGCAAATGCAGAGAGAGTTGTTTAATTGCTCGCTTGTTTCAGTTGCTTCTCAAGGTAGAACTGTGGTTGGCTTCTTGTTGATAATGATGCAGGTCTTCCGAAACGAAACTAATTGCGTGCCTGTTATAATTCCTTATTAGTCGATGTTGATGTCATAAAACTTGCAGACTAACCAGAAACACAACGATGGGCTTATATAGTTTTTACAAGGAACAAGGAGTCTGAGTTTTCCTAATCATTTAAGCGTTGGCACATTGAGAAAAGGAATTGGTAATCGTCGCTTATCTTAACAACCAGCCAAGACCTGTGGAACCATTGGTGGAAACAACACGTGATATGCTCAGAAAGCCTCCAGTTGTCCCTTAGGTTAAGTAGCCGCCAATTTTCGCCGTGTCCGGGACTTTGGATAATGCAATATCGGTAGCCGGTTTGCCGTCATGGAAGAATCTTCCCTTGGCAATTGGCTCTCGGTCTGGCTTCTGTGAAGGTTACCTACAGGTACAAGTCCACGTGTACTGCTTCGCTCGCTATAAGAATTAACTAAGCCCTTAAATACAAGGGCTTCGTAGTAAAGCAATCTCGACTTGAGAGGGCGCTTAGATGAGAATCCCATAAGCAAGCAGACCCATTCATTGTGTCCAAAGGGTTCATAGTGTAAGTCTTGTAAGTCTTGACCATGCCAATAGTTGCCGTAATCCCAGGATGATTCGGCCACATGAGCATGGGGACACGTCCAATTCCTGCTCAAGAGTGGGTCTTGAGCTTGTCGGCCCGATGTTCCGCCCAAAATGGACAGAAGCAACACGGAGTTCTCCCCGGCCTCACGGGGTAATAACCGAACTTTAGCCATAACTCATGTCCACGGTGCTGACCTTGCCTTGAAAATAAGATAGGACTTTCACCTCATGAAAAGGACATGCCGAAGATATCAAAACTGTATGAGCAACTTCTTGAAGACAAGGTTATCCTTAAAACTGGCCTTGTTCTTGTCCTGGCGCCGCGCGTAGTCTTTCAAGTCCTCGGTGTACCAGAGTGAAGGAAGATGTAGTGTAATCGTTGATGAGCCTGAGCTCCGACTTGCTAAGTTGTGACTAGTTGATTGGTTTCAAGGTCCCTAAGACAAAGTGGGTTACCCCTTAGCGGTGCTTTATACAGGGGCCTGCCTAAGAAACGTCATCACTTTGACACGTGAACACAATCGTTGCTTGGTATTCAGCCTCACTTGAGCGACTTCATAGCAAGGTTTCTTTTGGTAAAAGAGACTGAATTTGAATATTTCAAGCCTCTGTATACTTTCAATGACTGTGCCAGCTGATGTGCTTAAGCGGAGCCACAAAGGGCGAAATACCGTCAATGCTACCCATACAACTTTGCGCAACGCTCTATAAGTCCACGACTTTGATAAACACCAGGAAGGATTATGACCGAATATTTCCGAGCTACTCCGTCCGGTATCATCCTAAATGAAAGAGGTTTCCATCAGGTTGATGTGCTTCCTCGCCCTGCAGGCGCTTCCAACTGCCATTCAATGATACGCCAAGTTAGACCAAGCAAGCGTGTGCCCCGCTTTGCAGTCTATAGACTCCACTGCCCCCGACTCGCGGTCCGAAGGGGGTTAACTGCCAAGATACTCATTGGACTGGTCTCACCCAGAACTGAGAATCCCCAGAGCTCTTGCCTCACCCGGAGGGCTTATGTGTGGAATCTCTGGGGTTGATTGGGTCCTCTGGGGCTCGGCCTTGCTGCTTGGGGTAGCCCGCTTTCTAGTACAACTCTGACGACATGAGGTCAAACGGTGGTCGGTTTCCTTAACATGGGCTGATTCTGCATGCAACTGAAGTCTTCTTTTCGTGTTTAAAAGGATCGTGATAGGACGAACTGTGTTGCCTTCTTTCTACATGCTTTTCTGATCCCTTCGCCTTGATATCTTCCTCATGCACATTGTTCCTTCCGGGTCCGTTCATCGAACAACATCACAATGAAGCAGCCATCAGTAGGAGACGCTAAGGCTGTTGGCCACGAGCTGGCGAGCGTACTTCCCAACGATGGAGTTCCGTGGTGGAAAAAAAGGCACCTCATCAAGCTCAACTTTTGTATCGCCTCATTCATGCTGTTCACAAGCTCGAACGGATTTGACGGCTCCATTATGAACGGCTTTCTAGCTCTGCCACAATGGCGTGAATTCATGAGCAACCCAACTGGCGCATGGCTTGGTTTTATCAATGCCGTGTATTCTCTTGGTGCCGTCGTTGGGTTTCCAGCCTCCGCCATTATTTGCAACCGTTGGGGTCGCAAGATCGGCCTCTGGCTAAGCGTTTTGGCTGCTTTAGTCGGCACCGCTTTACAGACTGCTGCTCCAAACCAGGCTGCCTTCATTGTTGCCCGATTCATCATGGGAGTTTCCCAAGGCCTATCGGTCGGCGCCCCACTGCTCATTGCCGAGAACGCTTTCCCCACGCACCGTGGTATTGCATCCAGCGTGGTTCGTAGCATTACCCCTGGAAGACATTTCGGTGTTCTTTCTTTCTTTCCAATACCTAGCTAATCGAACATGCGTTGAAAGTATAACTGCGGCTGGTATATCGGTAGTATTGTGGCGGCTTGGGCGGTAAGGAGCTCTCAAACCTCGAGTTCTTCGTACAAGCACTAAGAATATTTGGCAGACCTTCGGCACCCGAAACATGGAAAGTTCAGCCTCATGGAGGATTCCATCTGGACTGATGGCTCTACTTCCAGTCATCATAATTCCGTCTCTCTTTATGATGGACGAATCTCCCCGATGGCTTGTGTCAATGGATCGCGCCGACGAGGCACGCATGAATCTTGCCAAGTCTCATTGCGGTGGTGACCTCAACGCGCCTCTTGTTGCTTTTGAGATGGCCGAAATTGAAGAAACTCTCAAGGCCGAAAAAGAAGCTAACGAAAGTTCTTCCTGGGCCGATTTGTGGTCTACACCTGGAAATCGCCACCGTCTATGGATCTCTGTTAGTCTCGGCATCTTTGCGCAGTGGTGCGGCAACGGCGTTGTCAGTTACTACCTAGCCATCATCCTGGACTCTGTCGGCATCACATCTGTCACCAACCAGACGCTTATTTCAGGCTGTCTACAAATCTGGAACTTTATCTGGTCCATCGCCGCAGCCGCCTGTGTTGATAAGGTTGGACGTAAGGCATTATTTATGACCAGTGGTGTTATTATGCTAGTTTCTTATATTATTGTCACTGGGCTTTCTGGCAGTTTTGCCGCTACCGGCCACGGCCCCACTGGACTTGCAGTCGTCCCCTTCTTATTCATGTACGTATTGTTTCGCCCTTTACTTTTGCTCAAGATGGCAGCTTACTGACTGGTTTTCTTAGCTATTTCCTCGGTTACGATATTGCACTTACGCCACTTGTCGTCTCGTACCCGGTCGAGATCTGGACATATCAACTACGAGCCCGAGGGCTGGCCATGTGTCAAATGGTTTCTCTCGGGGCCATTTTCTTCAATACTTTTATTAATCCGATTGCTCTCGATGCCATCCAGTGGAAGTACTACTTTGTCTTCGTTGCAATCTTGGTTGCCATGCTTATATCTGTTTGGTTCACCTACCCCGAAACTCGAGGTCATACACTTGAAAGCATTGCTTGGCTCTTTGATGGCCAGGAGGCCAACGTCGGTGTTGTTACATCCGAGAATGTTTTCAAAAACGCTAGCGAACATGTCGAAGAAACTGATAAGAAATAACCTAGCATTAAGAAGAAGAAAATCATCTTGTGAAGCAGTCGGGCTATCTGGTGACTGACAGTTAAGAAAATATGAATCTCCAAGTTGTCTAGTCAGTAGAAACAAAGGTATAACCAGGGACTCATGAAGTATGCATTAATGGAATTTGTGTAAGCGTGAAAGTCTTAAATTGTTGTCAGGTATGGTGATACTAAAGCTAATGACAATCATGGCAAGGTGTGATTTTGAAATTTTGTTCATAAGTAATCAAATTGCATCTAGATATGCGTCTGTTCAGAGCAAAGATTCTGTCAGTAGCTGCATATTCTCGGATACCTGTTTGGTATACTCCATTGAAGCTTAGAATGGGCCCACAATCTCAAAAACTGAGACATCCTTACCTTTTCTGGTCAAGACAAATCAAGAAAGTTGTACGCACACTGCCAAATTTTTGGTACCTTTCCACAAGCGGAAATTATCCAATATCGAACAGATTTGATTGCGTGTGTCATATTCAAGATGCGGGGAGGTAAACAAAGTACTTGCAAGAGCAACTTCGGAAAGCCCGCAAGACATAGCTCCTCGATTAGAGCCAGCAAAGAGCCGGTTCGGCATCTAGTGAAAGTAAGTTGAGAAGCAATCATCATACATCGTATTGATTTCGACCCAGGATACCATTGATGGTTGTGTGTCTCGGGCCAGACATTTATCCCATTGATGAGACTTGGCGATATCGTGCGTCATGAAGTCTGGTTGAATTTGCATGCTAAGTCATCGTCTTGAATTCAGGACTGAGAATAACAATGGCATATACGAAAGCCTGCAGAAACTTCTGGCTAGCCTATGCCAATGCGATTAAGGAGGCACTCGACTTCGAACCGAGTGGAGATACTGCCATATACATTGCCAGCAAGACTCAGAAAGGACCCTTTGTATCCCCAAGAGTCCCAGCAGACTATACCAACTCAGGGATCTTTGAAGCTTGTAACAACTATCTTCATCCGAACAGTCTGTTTTATGATCCTACCTCTAAGGATTCGTACATCGAATCTTTGAAGGAGTAAGTAATTAAATCCTCCTAGACGAGAGAAATAACATTCTTTAACCACGCATGAAATCTCACAGCTATCTAATGCTAGTTGATATCGTTAGTAAAATCACATCCGAGTAACGTCTCTTAACACTAAGCTGACAGTGATTGGTTAGGGAGCTGAAGACCAAGTCGCAGTTCAGATCGAGTCATATATTAAAGACCTAGATCACAACCTAGAAATCTACGGAAGACTAAAAGAAAAGGCGTTGAAGACATTCAGAAAACACTCAGACACCGGCGATACTGGTGATTTGACATTTTTGCAGTGGTATCATACCAACGCATTGGCATTCTGTAATTCCAGTCGAGATGTTGACGCAGCGTTAGCCGCGCTGATAACGTCTGCCAACAACGTCGGAAGCACTTTGGCTCAAAGATGGGCCAAAGACTTGAGGAAGCTTGTTTTCGCGCTCAAATGCGAACAGCAAATACCAGGGTAAGATATCTTAGGTATCTCATTACAACTGGCGGAGGGAGATATTGTTAACAGAGACATCTTAGAATCACTATGGATAGTAATTCCGCATCTGCAGAGCAACGCCAGAGAATGTTGATCGCTGTCCGATCAGGAAGGAGACTGGCTGCTCCTAAAAGCTCTGTTTGCGTTCCTGCATACTACTGCCCACTGTATCAAGATGTAGTACCGAACTGGACAGACGCGCGTAGTAGTGATAAGCCAAGCGACAGGATGTACATCCGGTATGCAGAAGGGGAAATAGCCGCTGAGGGAGATTTCGGCCAAACTGCGGATCAAGGGGAGTTCGATTTTACATACACGCCCTGGGTCTCCTTCAATACTGCTGAAAGTGAGATTCTTTTGGAGTCAGATATTGCGGACGACTCGGTTGACATTACTATCACCTTTAACGATATCAGAGCATTAGCCGTTTCTCCAGGCACATGGTATGTTAAGATGCACATTGTTTGCTATTCAACTAGTTCGCCTTTCCAAAGTTTCTCAAGCTAACTTGATCCTCGTGAGCAGGGATGTTGAGAATCCCGAATCAGCATATCGGAGGATGAAGCACGCATCAAAAGTGCCAACGCAACTCGTTCAACCACAAGCGATCATTGTCATACAAAACTTGAGTTTCCGAATCGGTTTTAGAGGCGTTTTGGTATCCGAAGTGAGCGAGAAGATCGATTTAATCCGGACTTCAGGTGGGTTTTTGAGGATTTTGGGTGTTCCAGTCAAAATTGGTGGAGACAGTAGCACTGACGACACTTCACACGTCGGAACTTGGGATAACAACAATGGCGTCCTGGAAGTTCTTCCTACTGCCGATGGAGCCTTTGCAACAGTTGTTGCAATGATTGGAAAGCCCCTATACATGAATTAAGGCCTGCAATTCTAGTTTAGTCCTGTTGTGAGGGTAGGCTTCTGAGGTGCCTCTACAGGGGTGTAAAACCCTGCCTTCGCTTCATACCCCTGTTTATAGAATCAACCGTCTTCACACCTTTTCCACGCCTTTCGCTCCGTTACGCCGTTGCGCGGCACCGCAAGTCCGAATGTATGACTATTTAGAAAGGAAACCTTATCCACAAAGTACAAGTCCCCCAAAAAAGCACGAAGTAGACACTAAGTCCTGACACCATAGAACTATACAGTTACGTCTTATTGTATTTCTATGAGAGATACTCCTGAATAACACTTCGTGGTTCGACATATTTTCCCAAAGGTTTGTAATCTAGATCATAACCAAATGCCCTCGGCCCGCCGATATCCAGTCCTGCTTTTGTCTCAGTCCATCTAGGCGAGCATGTAATGCCGATAACCGTAACCCTATAACCATATTTGAACTCGGGAACGCCAAGTGCTCTCCCAGACTCGTTATCCAGGATGGAAATCAAGTCCGGCACACATGCCAGTATTTGAGCACTACCATCTTCGTTAGTGTGCTCCGCAAGAATATTCTCGTTCTTGAAAGGGATTTTCAAAGTGCCGGACTCTGCCACAGCAACAGCCCTATCCTTAACGTTGCTTGCCTCTTCCTCCTCTCCCCCTTCAAAAGCAGCAATATGGACTTCTCCATAAGAATGGCCTTTGAAGAGGCGTCTTTCAACTCGAATAATCTTACCCCTAAATAAGACCTTGGCACTTTCAGGGCCTCCAGCCTCCGCAATGATCGACTCAGCAACTGTGCTCATGGTATTTGTTGCTTGGCAGAGGGCGATTGATCGGCCGATTCTCCAGGCTAGCGATACTGTGTTAAGCACACCAAAACTCTTCACCTTTTCAGCAGTTGTAGGCTTAGCTGCCATGCCTACCCGCGAGCCCATTTCTGAGCACGAGGCGCGCAATGCGCGATCAACTATCTCATCGTTAGGAGCCCTCGTCATGACTATGGTCTTGCCGTCGCCTGAATCAATGGCACATGGGACTAGCTCCAAAGGCGCGTGCACAGCTAACGTGGTTTGCCAGTAAGTGGGATATGCTCTTCCCATCCAGTCCCCGTCGATGATTGGGCTGTCGTAGAACCGAGAGGAGCCAACCAGGAATGGCTCAAGGCCATTAGCACCACCAATTTCTAGACCCATAACTGCGTCAAATCTGTCGTGGTGCAAATATTCCATCAAGGCTCGGAAGGCGTCAACTGTCTCTATCGACTGGAGACGTTCTATTGAAACGGCTGGAGAGCCCATATGTCCTACATTCAGTTAGTCAAGCTGCGATATACAAAAAAGACTGGCATAAACGAATTCGTGAAACTTACCACCCCAGTAAATGACGTCTCTCTCTTTGAGCGCGGAGGGTTCAATAATTCGCATTGTATATCCCGCTCGCAACATGTTTCGAAGTTGTATTTTCGAAGCGGCCGGGCTTCCACCTCCCGCACACCCGAGAACATAACAGCCATCGGCTAAATATTCTAAATCCGTCTCGCTAATAAGCCACTCTGCGACACCATTGTCGTTCACTTTGACTTCAGGCTTATATAGAACCGGGTCGATTATCTCCTCCTCCTTTGTTGCGCGGGTGAAGTCTTTAGTACTCTCCACCTGCTCTTCAACATCGTCCTCAAAGTTGAATGCATCCGTATCATCTAGCTTGGCATGGAGATCAATATCCCCAACAGCCTTAACGAGAGTCCTGACCTGGTTGGCAACATATTGCAATGGCATCGTCTCAATCTCCGCAATCTTGATGCTTTCCGGGATGGCACCTGCAGAAATAGCACGTTCGATAGCTAGTTTCTTAGCATTTTCGACTGCCTGGCCTTCTGTTTGATTTGTTGTCCCTTGTACAATGTCAACCGCTCCGCAGACTCTGGCGATGGCGGCGCCGACGGCATTTGCCACATCGTGAAATGGTGGTCTGACCAGCTTTGAAGCGCCTTTCAAACTTTCAGGTGATAGTATCGCGCCTCCGCCAACCAGAAGAACTGGCACTGGGTCTGGAGACGTTTTGATAACATCAACAGCCCCTTCAAGCAGTGTTCGGATACGGGAGATGGCTTGTTCGACGAATCCAGTTTCCAGGCCCTTGACTTTCTCAGTAGCACCAATGACTGCTTTACCAGCGGCCACAGCAATATCCGTTGTTGTGCAGACGTCTCCTCCAAAAACAAGACTGCGCGTTACAAGCTCTAGTCCAACTGACTCAGGGCCGACTTTAACCTTGTCATCTATCGTCCTCACGATCGAACCTCCACCAAGACCAATGGAATGAAGATGAGGCATGGAGTAGTTGACTCTAACACCAGCCACCGTAACATATGCTGAAGCCTGTCGAGGCATGCCTGAGGGAAGCAAGACTCCAACGTCTGACGTCGTGCCTCCAATGTCGACCACAATCGCTGAATTGTCGGCGCCGGAATCCAGACCTGCGAGGTAAGCTGCACCCCGCATGGAGTTTGTTGGGCCGCTCGAAAACGTCCTGATCGGAATCTTGGCGGCCGAAGCAGCATCCAGAATAGTACCATCGTTCTGCGTGAGGAACAATGGACATTCGAGATTGAGCCTCTTCATGGCTAAGCGAAACCTGCTGACTGTTTTCCTGGCGTACCGCAGAATAGCGCCGTTCAAAATCGCCGCGTTCTCCCTTTCGATGAAGCCAATACTAGCGCTGGCCTCCTTACTGCAGACCACGTCGATGCCAGGGATTTCTCGAAGGATGATGTTACGAACTTTTTCCTCTTGGCCAAATACTTCATCGATAGGCGAGTACACCCCTGAAATAACCAAGGCAGTGACACCGCTCTCGCGAATCTTTGCACACTCGGCTACAACTTGGGCCTCCACGACAGGTGCCTCCTGTGAGCCGTCGATGTGAAGGCCACCATCAACAATGCCAACATATGACTTGAGGACGGCTGCCAGGTCTGGTGGGAATTCGGCGAAGGCCGGAACTTCGCGCAGGAATGATTTGCTTAGTCGAAGAACGCCAACGCGCTGCAGCCGTCGCACATCACGCTCAATAACGGCATTGATGAAATGTGTCGTTCCGATGGTGACACTTGCAATGCGTTCTGGTGAGTTGGTCAGACCAGCCGCGGCGAGAACGGTGCAAACTGCAACCTCAATACCAGAGGTTGCATCGGGGGTCGTGGGAGTTTTGAAATGGGCCAAAACGCCGCGATTGACGGTTTGTTGGAGACTAAGATCAATAGCGACCGCATCGGTGTTTGTCCCTTTAATTCGAAAAAGTCAGGTCAAGATGGATCTAACGGATATCAAATTGGTATTCCATGGATGCAACTTACCGCCTACATCAACACCAATGCGGACCGTTTTCTTTGGCGGTGGTAGCTCTCCCATATTGTAACACTCAACTATGAAAATAGCTTGATAGTAAGATAGTGCCTGGAGATGGTCTATATGCCAGCCTGTTGAGCTTCATACTGGTGATCGCGTCACTTATCTACGGTACATGATATTGTTGGAGATCGTATTAGTTATCTAAGCGGTTAAACGGCTAAATGTTCGACCTGTACCCAACTTGTTGACCGTACGATGATAACCCGACATAAGAGATGATTAGGGATGAAAATTGGAAGGTACAAGCGCGACAATCCCTCAAAAGCCATGCAACTAGTTATGTCGGGTGTCAGATGCCGAGAAGAGATGCGGGGTTGACTAGGCTGCCCTTGTTTGAGACATGTTCTTCTTTGCCCAATTTGTTCTTATCAACAGCGACCCCACAAACAGCGGGAAACTTTGATAAGAACAGTCCGCGGTAATCGATGGGTGAAGGTTCAGAGTTGGAGTTCTGCCTCCAATGATAAGAGCACATCTATTGGATATCCAGGATGTCCGTGTGATTTGACTGCGGAGGTATTTGGGGTGATAAGCACAGGAAGAATGTGGGCGTGAATGCGACGCTTTCGTAGTGATAACGCGGTAGCATGTGTCTTGAAATGCGACAAACGATCAATTCATCTTTGAACCAGTCCCATAAAATTGGACGCTGCACACATCCTTTTTCTATCATAACCGTGTGAGGCTCGACAGTTGAGACACCGATTTTGAAGATGAATCTTAACAGTATAATCAGATCACTAAGGCTACCAGATACGGATGTAGCTGAATCGAATATCTGGATCAATGAGGATATTCGGCCTATGCCGCCGGAGCGCCGAAGATGGACGACATCTACGTTCATTTCCTTCTGGTTGACCAACCAAGTGGCTAGTCAGTTTCTCTCGAGCAAAGATTTGATTTGTGAGAACCGGTGACTGATTATCCAGTAGTTTCCAACTGGCAATTGGGTGCCTCCCTTGTTGCAGCTGGTCTCTCAGTCTGGCAGAGCGTCATCTCCATCATTATAGGCAAGATCATCATCGCTGTCGTCGCCATAGCAAACGGCTGTGTCGGTGCTGAGTGGCACATTGGGTTCCCCGTTGTGTCTCGTTACATTTGGGGTGTCTATGGGCAATACCTCATACTGGTTCAAAGAATTATTCTTAGCCTCGTGTGGTTTGCTGTTCAGTCATGGACTGGTGGCTTGACTGTTGTCAACTGGTAAGTGCTATACCCCATAATCGAAAAGAAGCTAACACAATGGCTCCAGTTTATCAGCAATCTTCCCATCCTTTGAGTCTCTCGGCAACGTGTTCCCAGAGTCATCACATCTCACAACCAAGGACTTCATCGGCTGGATTATCTTCAATGTGCTGCTCATACCCATTCTTTATATCAGACCTGAGCGGATTCAGAAGTTGCTCCTGGCTTTCAACATCATCTCGTCGATAACCCTTGTTTCAATCATGATATGGGCATTAGCAACCGCGGGTGAGGCAGGCCCCCTGGTTAGGCAGGGCGCGAAGCCGATGTCGTCCAACGAACTAGGCTGGCAGATCGTCCACGGAATCACCACCGTCATTGGAAGTATAGCTGTAGGACTTACCAATCAACCCGATTACTGCCGATTCGCACGCCGGCCTGGCGACCAGATATTCGGTCAATGGTTTAGCATCATATTTTTCGGAGCAATCTTCCCCACCTTTGGTTGCCTGGCCGCTTCAGCCACTGGTGTCATCTATGGAGAACCGATCTGGAATCCACCATTGATTGTACAAGCTTGGCTTAACTCCAACTACGATGCGAAAAGTCGTGCTGGAGCTTTCTTCGCTGGTCTTGGTCTTCTGTGTATTCAATTGAGCATCAACTCCGTCGATAATGCCTTTTCAGCTGGCATGGACCTTGCCGGATTGTTCTCCCGCTATATTAACATCCGCCGAGGCGCTTATATCGGTCTCGTGTTGAGCATTGCTCTCTGCCCCTGGGAGTTGCTATCCTCAGCCGCGGTGTTCATCAGCGTCCTGTCAGCGTACAGCGTGTTTCTTGGGCCGGTCATCGGGATACAGATATGCGATTATTTCATCATCCGTCGTCGTAAGATTAAGCTTACAGACCTTTTTCACCCCCGGCCCGATGGTTCTTATTACTACTGGAACGGTATCAATCCCAGGATGTTTGTAGCGTGGGTCTGTGGATTTGCGACCCAACTCCCTGGGTTCGCAGCCAGTGTTACACCAAACAGCGTCCATGTTGCTTCTGCGTGGATCAATTTGTACTACCTTGCCTTTCCTCTCGGTTTCGCCATATCATTCCTTCTTCATTTAGCAATCAACACTGTTTGGCCCCCGCCAGAGGCAGGGGTGATGGATGATATGGACTACTACGGGACGTTCACAGAAGACGAGGCAAGAAAGATGGGCGTTCTTACATTGGATACAGATGTTATTGAAGGTTCGTCAAAGTTTGCGGAAACAGCTGATGATCAAGGTCCTCGAGGATGGCTCAAGGCAATGCTTAAGTAGCAAGGCACGCAGTATTCTTATGTATGCTTTTTTTAAGTGAGCCTATTCTGTTCAAAATGATCCTTTTGTTATAGTTCAAGGGAAACGAGATTCACGATTATAATTTTTGGAATGAAGACCCTTTTCACATAACATAGCAGAACTATATCTGTCCACTACTGCGTGACATGGCCTGAATGTTTAACCTCGTGCAAGAAGTTAAACGCGGGTCATCGGGGCATATGATGGTGTCTTTCTGTCTCTTCTATAGTAAAAAGTCTCTCTCAGGTTGATTGACTATGAGAACTGCTCTAAACAACAGGAATCTCTATATCTGCTAGAACAGGCCGGTGGTCTGAATAGTATATGCCATCATCGAACCTATTTGAAAGCACCGCAAAGTTGACAAAGTCAATTGCAGTGGGGTTCAAAACGAAGAGGTGGTCAATTATCGTTGGCTCCGCCTCCCCAAACGTCGTGTAGGTTATCTTATTCCCGCAATGGTGAGACTCGGGAACGAGGTTTTTGATGTCGACCATACCGCCAGGCTCGCTAGTCAACAGCCTGTGGGGCTCATCGCCAGGACCGCTGTTGAAATCTCCGCCAAGAAACACATGAACGATATCCCCAGTGTTCTGTGAGGAGTCTGCCTGCCATTTCTGGGCCAATTTAAGAAGCAATTTTGCACTCTCAGAACGTGCTTCGTGACTGCGATGATCGAGATGCGTGCTCATGACGACCACTTTGGTGGATGATGCCTTGTGTCGGAACAGCCCAATGGTGACAATACGGTTGATCTGGGCACCCCAGCCATTTGAGGGAATGTCTGGCGTAGGGCTTAGCCAGTACGTTTGGTTTTCCTCAAGGGTCCAATGGTCAGTTCTATAAAAGATGGGTGAGAACTCTCCATCTAACTGCCCATCAGCGCGTCCGCGGCCGATGTGTGCCCATCGTGGTCCAAGGTTGTCTTGAATGTCGCGAAGTTGCTGATACTGAGCCTCTTGGATGCAAACAAATGCATTCATTTGGCCCGCGGTATGCACCCTCAGTTGGGCGACCAACTTTGGGAGGCGAATTTCCCATGGCTGTTCATTCGGGACCAGGGTCTTTTTGACGGCGTATCTGACATTTAGTGTAATAATGCGAATAGGTATTTTCCCCTTGGAGTCGCCAAGTTCCATGTTGCTAGGTAGAATGATCGGCCGGCAATGTTGGTATTCCTTTCTGAGTATCTTCTTTTTGCCAATCAAGCAAATCAACCCTGCGGTAGCCACAGTCACACAGAAACAAGACGGTTATTTTCCAGGAACAATATCCAATAATTTAACAGCGCTGAAGCAATGAAATGCCAGCGTCTGTTTGCCGTTGTGACTTTGGCTCAATGGACTATTAAACTATGACCTGTAGCAAACAAGGGCTTGAATACCAAAACCAGGACAAAAGGCCATCGTGGCCCCTTGACCAACTCTCTCCGCCAACCACCAATTAGTAATACGAGGTTGTTAGAGGAATGTGGAGGTCAGAACGAACCATTAATGCCAGCCACTCCGTCATGTCGGCTGACTCACATATGGCTGGCATGCCTTCACTGGTGCGGGGTCCTCGAGAATGACCTCTGCGGACCATTCACCATTGGGCAACAACTCATGGCAAGCTATGCCTGGAATCTAACATGCCAGAAATAGTCTTGGAGGTGGGGGGAAAAAATAATCAACCCGTGGCATAATAAAACCAAAGTGGCGTCTTTGATTATTGGGTAGGCAAAGGACCTAAACGAATGCCGGACTACCGGTAGTGAGTAGCTTATTGTTACACTAGCACACTTCTTGGCTTGTGCCCGTCAGAAGGAAAACATGTTCCGTGGGGACAGCGAATATTGTACCGAACCACCCACCGGCGAAACGTTTGTTTAACAACGGCTTTTACCGAGCCTTTTATTGTGGCACCTGGTTCGGGAACTTTCGTCTCTTGATACCGTACACGGCCCACTTTCTAGACTGGCAGCTGAACTCCACATTGCCGGTCTCCCGTACCCGGGTCCAACGGTCGCAACAAGGTACAGTTTGATACAAGCTTTGCATTGCATACCACTTCAGAGTTGGCAGAATTTACAAGTAAGTCATCATTAATGAGGTGTGATAAGTCACATCTCAGTGAGCCCATCGGCCTTGTATTTACCTAGAGCCGACTTTCTGTGTACAGGCAGAGAGCACTGCACATCTAATTATTCGTCAGATTGTGGCTTCATTCAGTTTCATGCTAAATCCAGCAAGGTGGTGCGAGCTTGGCTCCCACAGTTACCACCATCATCTGCAACAACATGTGAGCCATACCCATGCTATTACGTAGCCTCAGAAAGGTCTTCGGATAGCTTGTTGCTTACCTCAACAACCAACGTGACACCCTTGTGAGTGGTTGCCACTTTTGCCATTTTGGGAAGTCCGACATCCGTCTTTACCTAAAGCCAAGCTAGGTCCGATCCCACAATTTGTGTCATTGTTGTTCATGTTCACCAAAGCAGTTACCCGACGTTCAGCCGTATTTCATGATTCAGTGTCATCAATAACTAGGCCTTTTTTCACTTGTGCGCTCTTGGGCAGGCCTTGCTTACCAGCCCTTACAACTCAATCCAGCACAGATTATAGACATCGAAAATGGGTCATGGTAGTACGCAAACGCTCGAACTGCAGAGTCTTCCTGCGCTGCCGCCTGACGCTCGGCTGTCAGCAAACCCCACAGGCGAAGGGACTGCACCTGTCGCGGACCTGTCGCGGCAAGGGGATGTCAGGAGGACTTCAGTCACTTGCTTCAACGTCGGAGCTATGAGTCTCCCACACCTGCTCCTCCCGAAGACGCCGCTCATGTCTTGCAAAAATGGAATCATCCGCGTTCAAACATTACCCGCATCGCAGCTGTCTTTTGGAGTCTGATGGTCATGGGGGCTAATGATGCCTCGTATGGAGTAAGTTTCTGTAAGTAACCAGTCGTTAGAGTTATCGCTTACACACTGCTCATAGGCCATAATACCCCATGTAAGTTACCTCACAAGTTCTATAGGCTAGGTTTTACATATCATTAATCTAATAAACTAATATCAGTTGGGAAAATACTATGATCTACCTTACTCTTTCACCTCACTTATATTTCTCGCTCCCTTTATCGGCTATTCGCTCTCTGCTGCTCTTAATAGCAGCCTCCATGAAAATGTGGGGCAAAGAGGCATCGCCATCATAGGGTCTGGTTGTCATCTTATTGCGTATATCGCCATCTCCCTCCATCTTCCCTATCCAGCTCTCGTTTTCATTTACATGCTGGCCGGCCTAGGTAATGGAATCGGCGATGCTGCGTGGAATTCTTGGGTAGCCAGTAACTTGGCAGATTCCAGTATGCTGGTCAATGCGATGCATGCCTGCTATGGCCTCGGAGCCGTCATGGGCCCCGTAATCGCAACCATCATGGTCACCAAGGCTGGGCTTCCGTGGTACATGTTTTATTATGTCATGGTATGTCGTTTCTAAGCGCTTTTCGTCATCGGACTTTGCTAAGTTACATGGGGCGGTAGGCTGGTATCGCGGTCGTAGAACTCATTGCGACAGTCACGACATTCTGGTCTGCGTCAGCGGATGCCTATCGAAAGGCCAATCCCAAAGGCCCAGAGCCAAGAGAGTCCATCATTCATGAAATACTGTTTAAGCTTCCCTCTGCGAGAGTTACATGGCTGTGTGCGATATTCACCCTTGGATATGTTGGGCTTGAGGTGTCTTTGGGTGGTTGGATTGTCACATTCATGTTACAAGTTCGACATGGTGAAGAGTTTGCCAGCGGCATGACGGCTACGGGCTTTTGGGCTGGCCTCGCCGCAGGTCGCATAACGTTGAGTTTCGTGACGCCTCGGATCGGCGAGAGGTCCGCAGTCATGGTATGTTGGTCTATCGCCAGCTTAGATTTGTTACACCCATTAACTCACTTTAGATCTATCTTGGCGCTGCCATTTGTTTGCAGCTACTCTTCTGGTTGATTCCCCAATTCTTTGTATCAGCTCTTACCGTCTCGTTGCAAGGATTTTTCCTTGGCCCCCTCTTCCCAGCAGTCATTGTGGCAATTACCAAGCTGCTCCCAAGACATCTGCATATCAGCGCCATTGGCTTCGCCATAGGACTCGGTGGAAGCGGAGCGGCGATTCTCCCATTAGCTATCGGGGCTCAAGCCCAGCGTCATGGTGTACAAATACTTTCCCCAATCGTCCTCGGGGCATTGGTGGTCCTACTACTCACTTGGTTCTTTCTTCCAAAATTTAGTAGCAAGCGAGAGTAACTTTATCTATACATACCATTATAATGCTCTTCATCGCCGTCATGAACTAAAACTTAGGTAGGTTTGTACCGTTTTGAACAGTATTTTGTGCTGCGGTATTAATGTTTCGTAGCCATTATTATGGTACTCTTGATAGACCGACCTGGTGATCTTATACCGATTATCATTCATTCATGCACCGTCGAGACTCACAAATAGAGCCATAGTCGCAGTTATTAACTTGTCTATTACGTTATTGAACGGAATTCTTTCCAAGAAAAGTTACTAATGAAGGAGGTGATCAAGAGCTGCCGTTTAACGCTCCTCGTATTGTTTCCCCATCTCTTGTTACACTGGGGTTTCCCAGCTGGTCTGCTCCAAGATTTTATCGCACTTATGTTCGCCATACAAAGGCGGCACATCCAAGCCCCCAAACAACATTGGCAGGCATTCCCCGGTGGGACTCTTTGGTCGAACAAAATTTTCAGACGCATCGATGGGTATCTTTGGAGAAATAAACAAAACAATAGGAATGGTAGCATGGTAACGCGCCTGTATTCCAGTCAGTGCATAGGCCCTGGCAGTAGAAAGTCGAACTTGCCCTGAATAAGTCATCTCCAGGTTCGGCCACATCTACCTCAACATGAAGGACATGGTTCGTGCTGAGATTGTCCATGTCAACGTCTGGGGAGCATCTCTTTGGTTCATTCGGAAGTGGAAGCTTTTGAGTGATTCGGTATTCTTGTCGTGCAGAGTCCTCTTGACTTTCCACGGTAGCAAACCATTCAGCAACCTGCCTTTCCCCACTAAAGGATGTTAAAGGGCGAGGCCCCCCATAGTCAAATTTATGGCTCTCCAAAAGTTCGCACCTGACCTTCGAGATCTTCGACTTCTTATCCAGTGGCGTCAGACGCATTTCCAACGGAATGGCTGTCCCCAGGGCAACTGCCCGATGTCCAATAGAGATGCAGTAAGATATCCTGTCCCCCCACGTTCCCTCCATGGTTGTTGGATCCATTAGCTCAAACTCGGAGTTTTGCAGTGTCCTACTGATTCGTATTGGCTGATATGCTTGTGGAGTTGCCGTTGATGATTTCCCTCGTATCGTGGTTCCAGTAAGCTGGTAGGTGACGCTGCAACAACTACATCCGCGAAAGGTCTCTGGAGTATCGCCCGGAATCATGAATTCGAAAGGCCATTCGTGTGTCTCGATGTTTGGTGATTGGGCAGAGTCGACTTTCAGACTATGGTCGATGATGAACGGCGCCCATTCATGCTCAAAGACACGAACAGTTCTAAAGGAACTAGGAGAACTTGAGCTTATATCATGATCCCTTAAAAGTTCAGGTTGTTAGAAACTCTCTGTAATTGACAACTTGGAAACTGAATCACTGAAGCTGTACCTACCTGCACCTCAGAAAACCAACCATCCGAAGCCGTACGCCGTTTGCATGCTGTCCAGCTGGTAACTGCAGACTGATCACGCCATTCAATGGTTGTTCCCCGGCCTCGCTTCTGGTCCCTCTCAAGAACAAAAAGTCATTCTGTAAGCTTTCCATGAAAGTTGTTAGCAGACGGTCACTTTCAAGAGAAAAGAGACGCCTACCAGATCTTCAAACAAGCGTTCCTGTCTCCGCCTGTCAGTCGCGATAGTAGAGAAAGCATTGAGCTGGTATCTCTGTTAATCGTTGAACCTATTTTGCTGAAGCTGCGGGCATATCGCATATATCGCATCCATTATGAACGGCACGACGAGGCGCAATGATATGTAGGCGAGAAAACAATTAGTCAAAGACGGAAGGGCGTTTGTCGTCGCCACGCCATCGACTTAAGCCAAGATAATCAAGGGGCCACTTGACCTGCCCCAGACCTTTCTCGGTTTATTCCGGGTAGTGCCGAAGGCCATGTTCAACCTTACATGGTGAGTTAAGGTATCCATGGAGGTGCAAGGATCACACGGGATCAGAACAGGGGCCCAATTGCGTAGCTCCAGAAGCCATCTGTCGGCTGGAAGTATTTCCTAATGGGGGTATAGCGTGTGCATCAAGTGCATTGATTACTTGGCTTCTGGTTCCTTGGCTGGTAATTCATGGCTTCGATCATAAGTAAAAAAAAAGCCAGGTTTAATGTCATAGCATCATATATTTTTGCGAACATCTGATTTTCTTTTCCCCATTGACAATAGTTACGCGGCGCATGAGCCTTGTTGAACTTCGTTACAGCGTGCCAGATCGGCAGTGGTTCTGAAGCATTTCTCGTGGCAACGGCGGAATTTGTATCCCGTTAAAGCACCGTGACTCTTCCTGAACTAAATCTACCCACACATCGGCGCCTAGTAAACCGTCAAGAGATCATAAAACGTTAAGGTTAAAAAAAAATCTGTCGTTTGTGACCAATGAAAAATCAAAAAGCCGTGTTGGTCGCAGAACGGGACATATTTCCCGTTAACTTGAGAATGACGCGGAGTTCGGCGGAGTTGACCGGGGTCGATGGTTGGAGCTACGGCCATCGGATTTACCTGATGCAGCAAGAATGAAATGGCGGGTAAGCTCCGGTAAATCTGCTACTGAGCTTTGCAGAAAAGACGTCAGAGATCTGTGGGACGGAATACATATTCCTTCAACGAATCAACTTCCCACATCTCCTTCGCCGCGGACTAGCGGGCCGCAGCTGGTCATATTACCTGGCGTGACGGCAGACAATCTGACGAGGCTGTTTGCACTAACAATATAGCCCTTGTCGACTTCACACTGGTTTTGGCTGCATTCTCGGTCACATGACTTGGCAGTCTATGTTTGCTTCAAGCTTAGACTCTTACCCCATGGGGAAATATTCTTGTCTTGCTGACAGTGCTTCCCGTTTTGTACAGACCAGATTTCGTTGGGCTTGTCACCATTTACAGTCACGTCTTGGGTAGCCGAAGATCATCCAGGTATAATAAGATGATTTGATTGCAGACTAGAAAGAATCAAATACTCTTGCGCTATTCGCTTGTTCTTAAGTTGCAACGCATCCAGTGACCTTTGTGTAGACGCATTGTGGTCTGATCCAATCTGGCCTTCGATTCCCTTTATTGCACTTATATGGGTATCGCTAGACCCTCCATTCAATCATCAACGTAAAATTAAGGGAAACTCGTTCTATCGGCCATTTCAGACTCTTTCCAAAGGTATAAGCCGTCTCCTCTACCATGGCTGCAATCTCTAGCATGGCGGCACATCCTGTGTATAGGAAACACAATACAGTTCGGCACAACGAGGGTTCCAATTCTTCCATTGAACAAAGGTTGGGGCGTCAGCTCTCAATCACACCAGCTTACCTATCTCGCGTGGTGTATATTCCGAGGCATAACGACACCACCAGTCATCTCCCGCTTTATGACATATCTCAGACCTACGCCGACACTACCAAATCGGAGCCAATAGGCAGCAGCAATTTTAAACTCATCTTGGCAACGATGAAAAGACCAACCGGAGACGGCACAGATGGCGAAGTTCGTTACCTCGTCAATTTTGATGAAGAGGCGAAGAAAACAGCTGGTACTGTGGAAAGAAGGGTTCCCACTTTCGATGGGGAGACGGCCAATATGTTTGTTACTCCCAACCAGAGAGAACAGGTATCGCAGAGATCCAATAACACCTATCACAGGTTCCTACCACGAGAGGAGCTCGAGCATTTTCAAATCAGTTCCTTAAATACGACCCACAGACCTTGCCTCCAATTGGCGAGTTTTTATCCGATTCCCGACACGATGACACCTCAACGGCCTGTCCGTCATCCTTGGTTCACCATCACACATGAAACCATGAACGAGACTCCATCACAGCCGCCAAGCCTCGAATGGCAAACCCACCCAAAGGAGCATGGAGCTATGAGATACACCCTTGTGGATTCTGGAGTGGATGCCCGTAAAGGCACGCCTACGATTTACGCAATCTATCATCACGTCGGTATCGGATTTGATCTTCCGCATGAATATAGCGAAGGCATTTTGCTTCTTTCTGGAAATCTAGACGGCGAAGCCGAGATTCTGGCAGTCACCAGTCTCCTCGGCCTGCTCCGGCAAGTTCGACATATCAACCGGCCTGTACCACGGCCAAGGAAAAAGTCCCTCATAAAAAGAGTCCTGGGAAGATCATGATGAGTCTTTTGTAGGCTAACTTTAATTTATCCTTTCAGTATGAGCAAGGACTTTGCCGTTGAGGGACGTCGACCCATTTATTCTTGTCAATGGGTGGTATCTTGGATTTTGGAAATAAGTCTTGATCGCAGATCAGTTTCACTAATACCCTAGCCGCAAATACCTTGTAGTACGTTTCTTCTCACCCTATTTCAAGCGTTTTGACCAAATTGGCATACGTTAGTTGCCTGGCAGTAATGTTTTGAAGTTTGATATTTTGCTTGCTTGTCTTTTGTTGTTAACGCTCTTCATACTTCTTGATGGCGACACACAACTCATGTCAGTTTAAATAGTCATTCATTTAGGCAAGAAAAGACTGTAATGTTTCATCAAATGAGTAATTGAAGTTCTGAAGAGAATGGTGGCCCATCGACCTCGGTTGGGTTATAGGCACATAACAGAAACTGCGTATCGAAAGTTATGCATGAGATGTGAGATTTAACAGCCGCATAAGACGTTTAATGTGGTACTGTAACATACCAATGCTCCTTTCTTTTTTACCTGCTCTTTATGCTAAGGAAACTTGCTTGAAACTCTTGCGTAGCGAAATCAGATGAGCGAGGATAGTTCTCACGACCCAACTAGCTGGAAGCTGGCCAGCGTAGCTATAGAATGCAGAAGGGGGAAAATAACAACAGAGTTGTGAATACTCAAGCCTTTTCTTTGTGGCGTAGTTGGTTGCCCCAACCTACCTGTGACACTATCTTTCATAGGCTGAATGCTTCAGGCGGCGGTGATGCATTTTCCTTGATTTGAAATAGCACCCCATTCGTCTTGCAACTTATGTTAAAAATACAGCCTACTATTTGGTAACACCCGTACTGTATTTATATATTTTGTGTTAAGCAGCATTTATTTACCGCAAGATGAAGGGAAATCTGAGACTGAAATGTCACCGATTTAGAAAGAACCAAATCATAATGCTTCATCCTACAAACCTTTCACCATCATACATAAACAATGCCCGGGGAATTCACTTTCATTTGGGCGACTTTAGCTCGTAACCGTATTTGGTTAATGAGGGTTTCTGACGGCCGAGACGTCAGCCGAAACTTAGTACCTCAGTCTTGCATTTCCCTTGATATCTCTTTCTTTTCAAACAATTAGTTACTCCCGCAAAATTAAAAAATCGATTCATTGGCTCAGCTTCCTATTGTAGTTTACTTCCAAATAAGAGAATTTAACTCATTTGCATCGGTTACAGTCCCACCAGTGTTTGAGCTCTGGCTTAAAGCACTGGACAAAACCGTTCTTAAGGACTGTCGACCATATTTGGCCGTAGTCTTTGGAGCGGCATAGTGCTACAACTTGTTGGCCGCCGCAAGTGGTTACGCCTCCGTTCCAGAATCCATCGTCGTTCAAACGTAAATCGTTTCTTCGGTTCGTGATAGCCCATTGGGCATCACTGATTTTAGCGCCATTTCCAGGCATGCACACAACAGTCGTGGCGGCTGAGATAGTAGTCGCCTGCAAGGCTAAGATAAGAGGTAAGGAGAGTTGCATTGTGTTGAGCAAGGCTGTTGTGCAAATCTGGTTGTTTGTTGTAAGAGGTGACGAAGGACAGCGTCGTGTGGTAGTATTCAATGTCTTTGTCGGCAAGGAATTGCTAACTATGGATGAAAGCGTAGTATATAAAGAGGATATAGTTTTGTTAACTACGGTGGCTGCTATAAGAAAGAAACTCTCCCACCTTGATTAGTTGATTTGCAGGCTTTATAGTTTTACTGCATACGGCCAATCGGCCTTCTCAAACGGGCCGAGACGGAAATATACGCAGAGTAGTTACCCAAACCGCATTTAGGTGGATATTTTGAGATGTAGCAATATAAGTTATTAAACTCTAAGGTTTAGACAAAAGGTAAAATATATAACTTTCAAGGTCGGTCTAGCCCGAACCTCTTTGTAACCTCCATATTCATTTTCTTTCGAAGTTGTCTTCTTGGGGTAGATAAAGAGGTTCTTAGTATAAAATTAAGAGCGGATGCATTGTTACTATTTAATGCGGAACTCAGGCCCTCAAACTAGATCGTTCTTGGATCATAAAATCCGTAGTAGCTTCATAATGCACGAGCGCGCCTTGTCATAGTGCGGGGAACGCCACACGGCAATAACGGCACTCAGTAATCTTAGAAACTCTGGTGGAGCAACTGTCATCCTTCAGTCCTGAGCACCGAGTTCCGTCTCCACTTTATTACGCATTGGTCGACTAATTGCGGTCTCTTTATTTAACATTAAGTAGTGTTGTCGTGCGATCTCTTGACCACCTTGCCCTTGACATTGGTTGTCTTCCTATGCAGCATCCAAAAGCATGTATCATATTTGGGTTCCCTCATAAATGGCTGTTCTCTCAATATGCCACCTACACAAAGGGAAAACATTGATCATACATCGCTCTTTTACTGCCAGTGCAATTGGATGAAATTACTGTAGCGCAGGATCGATCTACCCTCTTTCACTTGAGAATCTTCTGGCTTTCGGTACTTTTCACCTGATAAATGGATGTATTTGCGGTTGCTTTGGGCATCTTCCAAATGTATAAACATTTGATAGTATTCAATTGTAGCTCAGATACTAGCCACATTTTGGACTTAAATGCTGAAGCCAAAATTTGCACATAATAACAGATAGGGACGCTCTCAGTGCTTTCTTCTCATCGCCTCCAACGGAAAGGCTATTACTTCTGTACGTTGTTGCTGGGCCGGCGGACTAGTCCTAAACGAAGGCCAAGTTGTTGAAGACAGGATGAAGTAGGTAGGAGTCTGGCTAGACCGCAAGCACTCGTTCCATAGGCTACTGCTTCCGCATGCAGTCAGGATGACTAGAACCACACTATCTTTTATCACCGAAACATCAGTCAATCGTGAAAATACTGTGCGTATCAGATGGCCGGTGAGTACAAACTTAAGAGTATCGATCGTGCTGTACCAATAGCAGACAACACCCAAGAATTACACTATGTCCTGCTTCGGATCATTGATGAAAGCCTATTCATGGTTTTTAAAGGTTCTAAAGCAATTTAAGGTCATTTTCTAATTGAAGTAGCGGTAAAGTGGATACTCAGTGCGTAAGTTGCTCTAAACGCTGATGTCCACAACTCCGCAGTTACTCTGTCTCGCTACTTGGGAGCGGCTGCGAAGTAATATTTTCAAAATTGGCTATAAAGACTCTCGAGTTATCTAAATAATATGAATAAAGATCAACGTTCCATTATGAAGTCTCAAATTTTGCAAATCCAAAAATAAATACAAAAAAAGGTCGCCATCCTAGGTGCTACTGGGGAGACCGGCCGCCCTGTTTTCGATGGCTCCCTTGGCGTGGCAAAAGCCTGTTAAGAGTCGATCATCTTTCCCTCCCCAGAGTCGCTGCATTAATTCTAAAACATTCTTTAAAAAGTCATTCACGTTCCTCGTTCGTTAATACTCGCTGTAATACATCTATTGGCGTCGGCGAGTCCGTCTAGTCCCCGCGTTGTTGACGCTCACGAATGTCGTCAACCACGTCCTCTTGCGCAGTGAGAATCAAACTCAGGCCATCAGGCGAAGAATACTGGCACCAAGTGTCCAAAACCAGCAGCTTCGACAGCATTAACTGGAGAAAGTTAGAAAAGGGCTTAACGCCGGATATCGCAGAGTTATAATGGTTCACCCCTGCACCCAAACCCCGCGGGACACGCCGATCACTTGCTGTTAATTTTAAAAGAGTTGAAAAACAAGCGAGATAAACAACTTCAAAATTATGCTTGTGTTTCATTTCAGCTACTCCCTAACATATCCAGGTTAGATGATTTGGAGTTTGTATCACATGTCGCCTCAGACTGGTTCAATTACAACCGCTACAGTTGTTAACTTGGAGAGAGGGTTTAGAATACTCAAACATAGCGATTGATTCATGGCAATACATGTTACGACCCGTAAACAAGGATAACAGCCGAACGACCCACTTAGGCGTCGGGCGGCTAGGACAGGACATTTGTACTACATGATTGATTGATTTATTCCTACTCGGTTATGAAGCCGCTCTTATGCCAGCAGCTATGCCCGGAAAGCGGGGTTTGGCAGGTAGCCGAAGCGTCGACAATGAACAGCGACGCCCCACTTCGCCCTGATGTTGCATCAGGGCCAGCTATCCCCAAGCTCCCCACTATGTTCTCTATTCTGTGTGTTTGTGCCCTCTGTTGAAGAAGTGTGTTGCTCTCCTGTCTGCTTTCTCGCTTTTGTGTTGCTCTCTAGAATGCTTGTTTTGCGTCCTCCTGCTTCGGTTCAGTTGGTGCTGGTAGCACCGTATCTGGTTCTTTGTACCTACAGTCTCCCCCCAGCGCTCAGCTTTGTCTCTTTGTTTTGTCCGTATCCTCCCGGACTTGTATGTGCCGTTTTCTCAGTTGCATCTGTAAATTCTTTGTTGCCTCCTGCCGGGTTCCTATGTAGCCTCTTGTTTCTTGCCTGTTGACCACTATTGCCCTCCACCACATTGGCCCAAGGGTCTTCCACGAAGCATAATGCTCTACTGACTCCGACATGTTCGATTACTAGGTATGAGAGCTCCCGCACAGATTCCGCAGACATTGTCGCGCGTTGAAGGGACACCAATCCTTCTTCGCAAAAGGGGCGACAGGGGACCAGTCTGTCTGTGGTCTGTAGTATTGTGTGGCATCGATCGTAGCATGCCTAATGCCTGGTGCTTTCTCCGTGCGGAAGGTGATACTGTTCTGTCGGACTCATCTTCGTCGTTGTGGGACGTTGCAAACTTTGTCGGGGGTGACAGGTGACCCAAAACCTGTCGGCGGCTGTTGTGTTGAAGTTGATTGTTTGGGCGCAGTCTTAGTGCTTCGTGTAGCGGCTTGTGGCTCGCCTGTGGTGGTGGTAACAGTGTTGTCTATTGATATGTCGTATTTTGCGGCTTGCTCTCAAGTTTTTCATTGTAGTCGGGGCGTGCTCTGCGGCCATCTTGGGCCCCTTTGGGACGTAGAATCAAGGCCGAGGATGGCATTGCATCGAAGGGGGCTCTGTGGCCGCGAGCACGCGTATTTGGGGCCGTTTTTGCTCCGATTTTCAAAAATTTCGTTCTCGCTGTTGTTGATGTTTTTTCACATTTGTACTACATTGATTGATTGATTTATTCCTACTCGGTTATGAAGCCGCTCTTATGCCAGCAGCTATGCCCGGAAAGCGGGGTTTGGCAGGTAGCCGAAGCGTCGACAATGAACAGCGACGCCCCACTTCGCCCTGATGTTGCATCAGGGCCAGCTATCCCCAAGCTCCCCACTATGTTCTCTATTCTGTGTGTTTGTGCCCTCTGTTGAAGAAGTGTGTTGCTCTCCTGTCTGCTTTCTCGCTTTTGTGTTGCTCTCTAGAATGCTTGTTTTGCGTCCTCCTGCTTCGGTTCAGTTGGTGCTGGTAGCACCGTATCTGGTTCTTTGTACCTACAGTCTCCCCCCAGCGCTCAGCTTTGTCTCTTTGTTTTGTCCGTATCCTCCCGGACTTGTATGTGCCGTTTTCTCAGTTGCATCTGTAAATTCTTTGTTGCCTCCTGCCGGGTTCCTATGTGGCCTCTTGTTTCTTGCCTGTTGACCACTATTGCCCTCCACCACATTGGCCCAAGGGTCTTCCACGAAGCACAATGCTCCACTGACTCCGACATGTTCGATTACTAGGTATGAGAGCTCCCGCACAGATTCCGCAGACATTGTCGCGCGTTGAAGGGACACCAATCCTTCTTCGCAAAAGGGGCGACAGGGGACCAGTCTGTCTGTGGTCTGTAGTATTGTGTGGCATCGATCGTAGCATGCCTAATGCCTGGTGCTTTCTCCGTGCGGAAGGTGATACTGTTCTGTCGGACTCATCTTCGTCGTTGTGGGACGTTGCAAACTTTGTCGGGGGTGACAGGTGACCCAAAACCTGTCGGCGGCTGTTGTGTTGAAGTTGATTGTTTGGGCGCAGTCTTAGTGCTTCGTGTAGCGGCTTGTGGCTCGCCTGTGGTGGTGGTAACAGTGTTGTCTATTGATATGTCGTATTTTGCGGCTTGCTCTCAAGTTTTTCATTGTAGTCGGGGCGTGCTCTGCGGCCATCTTGGGCCCCTTTGGGACGTAGAATCAAGGCCGAGGATGGCATTGCATCGAAGGGGGCTCTGTGGCCGCGAGCACGCGTATTTGGGGCCGTTTTTGCTCCGATTTTCAAAAATTTCGTTCTCGCTGTTGTTGATGTTTTTCACATTTTCCATTTGTACTACAGGATCACGGGAACAGCGGGAACTCACTCGGCACGGAAGAACTATGGTACAAGTCACGTGACGATAAGATAAGGAAACGATCAGTGGAGCACAGGACGGGACGCTCAGTGATCAGTTGGGATCAGTTGGCATTGCCAACTGATCGCGATCACCTTATGCACCTAGGTGATCACCCCCAGGTAGACAAAAAACACTGTTCAGGACTTGTATATAGTATGACCTGAGCCTGGCTCAAGGTCAGACTTCCATAGCTCTTCAGCAATCAACTTTGTGATTACCCTAACCGGTACTTTCAGCTATACCTAAGTGACGACTACTCTACGACTCTTGTTGAGGCCTTGACTGATCACCAAGACCTTTGAAGATCTACGATCTATTCGACCAGGACCACGGAACGACTGTTACTACTCTCAATCCCTGGCTTACTGTTAACACAAACCCACTGTCAGTTAGCTGGCCGTAACAATACACTTGTGCTGTATGTAACCCTAAGTGATTGCGCTCACCCAAGAGGGGGGCAAGTACAGCGTATAGCCATGCAATATAGAAGAACACCCAGCTCTTTATTAATTCGAGCATTTGTATAAGTAATTCTTGCCTATCATTATTTTACTCTCAAGTTTACAGCTCTTTGTGATATGCCGATGTCGGGTGCTGCGTTCAGACGTGGCGGTTTTGAAATTTGGGGGTGTCACTGGCGTTGTCGGAATGGCACTCCGACATTGAGCCAAGCGTCCGATCCGATATGTCGGAAGCCCGCACCGACCAGTTTCTTCAAGGGTTGCCCCCAGTCTGTCGCCTCCGACACTGCAAAAAATAGTCATTGTTATCTAATGAAACTCTACTCAAAGGATCCGATAACGCCTCTTCTCCAGATTTTGGGTCCCGTGGGATACAATTACTACCAATGGCATCCATTCTTTCATCTCGAAGTTGCATCTTACCCATCCACAAGTGGATCATGCTAATTGGATGAACGCCGCTAGAACCCGTGATATGCAGAGCCTCACAATGACACTGACATTTAGCTCTGAGACAAGATCGGAAAGCCGGTCGGTGTGTGGGGTGGCTCGGCGACGCTCGAGATACTAGTCACGCAGCCACTTTGACACAACAAGCTTTATGCCGCCCTTAGCCGTCCATAACTATATCTAACCCTATCTCTTTCCCCTTCCCTTCGTCATTGGAGTTCCTCATCATCCAAACCCTTCAATCTCACGATGCCTGCCAAACTCGTCGTGTGCAGCCAGGTGTCCGTGCCTCTGTGCAGGTCCCTCTCTCAGGGAGCGGCGAGGAGGTATGTGAGCACCACGGCGGCGAACCGTGTCAGCACCACGGTAGACAAGCCCCAGGCACTCATCCCTCAAGCCACCACCACCACCACAAGAAAACCAGCTCTCTCAAGATTACCAACACCAACTCTCCTCCGATCACTTTTCCTTACACAATTCACATCCTCACCCTTGCTTATGAGGCTATCCCTACCAATCCTGGGCTTCATCACAACATCCAAATCTGCATTATTCAACCCCGACAGAAACCCCATCTTGAACAAGCTACTTCGGTGGACAATCTATGATCACTTTTGTGCGGGAACAAACGTTCCGGAAGTCAGGAAGGCTGTGGAAAACATCAAGCGGACAGGCTACCAGGGCGTGATTCTTAACTACGCCCGGGAAATTGTCCTTGACACCAAGAAGGCGAATGCGGAGGCGAAAGATGGGGATTATGCGCCGGCTTTCTACCAGATGGTCCAGGAATGGAAGAAGGGAAACCTCGACACACTGCAAATGATGCAACCTGGCGACTTTATTGCCGTCAAGTAAGTGACACTCAAGGCTTTAATGCAGCGAATTATAAGACTAACATTCACAACTTAGGGTTACCGGTGCTGGCCCCATCGCGGTTGATGCCATGAGGGGATGCAAGCCCATCCCTGATGTTCTCCGTGAAGCCCTAGATGAGATTTGCGACGCCACAAGACAGCAAGGATCCCGCGTCTGGATTGACGCCGAGCAGCAGGCCCTTCAACCAACTTTGGATGAGTGGACGATTGATCTCATGAGACGACACAACCGCGAGGCACGCCCCTTGGTCTTCAACACCATCCAGGGATACCTGAAGGGTTCCACTGCCAACGCCGAACGTCACATCGCATTGGCTGCAAAGGAAGGCTGGAGCCTTGGAATCAAGCTCGTCCGCGGCGCCTACATCGAGCATGAAGTCCGCTCTCTGATCCACGACACCATTGAGGACACCCACAACTGCTTCGACAACATTGCCGACATGTTCATCAGCCAGAGACTCCCCAAGGGAGCCGAAGGCCTTCAGTTCCCCCACAGCGCTCTCTTCCTGGCCACCCACAACGCCAACAGCTCCACCAAAGCCATCGCTGCCCACCGCCGCAGATTGCTCGACGGCCAACCGACGACGACATTGGAGTGTGGACAGCTCATGGGTCTGGCTGACGAGCTGAGCTGCGAGTTGCTGGACAACTACGACACCTGCGTTACCGACTCTGGCTTGAAGAGGGACGACATTCCCAAGCCCTTCAAGTACATTCCGTGGGGATCCGTGGCCGAGTGCATGGGTTACCTGCACAGGCGAGCTATTGAGAATAAGGGAGCGGTGGAGAGGACAAAGCATGAGGCTGTTATTCTGAAGAAGGAGTTGCGTCGGCGCATCTTTGGCTAGATGGTTAGAAGGCTAGGTTGGTGTTAAAAGGCGACTTGGTGGGGGGCATGATGATAAAAATTATATCCTTAGATAATGACGAGCGATTTGAATTTCATATATACTCTTATTTTTTTACACAATGAGTGGCTTGCAAATGCTGAATGTTCATTCCCTAGGCTTCGGCTTTTCCAAGTCTTGCAACAACTCACTCTCGGGCATTTCATCTTGCCATCTCTTCCGAGGCACTTCAAAAGTGGATGTGATTCGCCCGTAGGACATTCCACCGAGCTGGCCAACGGGCCGCAGCTTATCCAATTCAATATGACTGAAGTCGGAGTTGGCGGCATCATCTCTGACCCAAAAACGAGTCGCCTTTAGCAAGATCATTCCGGCAATGCTCATACCCTCCTTGGAATGATCATTGAAGTCTTTAGAGTCCACCACTTTTGCTTCGATAGAAAACACCGATTCCTTGACTCTCGAGGGTTTCACGGTGGTCGTGGGCGCTTCATGGAGCCCTGAAATCTCCCATTCTGAGACACCGTAAGGCGCATCAATAGATGTTGCGTTGACCGCCTCAATCATATCTTCCGACACAGTATTTATGACACACTCTCCGGTTTCTTTCAAGTTGCGATAGGTGTCTTTCATTCGACCAGGCCTGGAAGAAAAGCCAACTATAAACATTGGCGGGTCATGATCAATGACCTGGAAGTAGCTGAATGGCGCCAGATTTTTGCTGCCGTTGCTTGATACAGTACTCAAGAAACCTATAGGACGAGGTGCAATCCCCGAAACTAGAAGCCTATAGTTGTTCACCATAGGCCGATCCGGGGCGTAGGGGTCTATCTCTGTATGTTTCGGTTCCGCTGGCGGATGTTGCGAGCGAATTCCGTGGCCATACTTCCAAGTCGGATTAGGTGACTTAGTTACTTCAATGGCAGTGCCGGTATGGTCAAAGTCAGGACGTTTTGCTTGGGCTTCTTCAAACTTGTCGACTCTTTCTACAATCTTGTAGCTTGATTGCGCCGCGGAGGCTGCTGCTGACCCATCCGAAGATGCCATTCTCAAGGGGCCAATTGACTGACCCAGGAACAGCGGGGTTGAGGCCGTAGGTCTGGATTGTGGAGTATTATTAGTTACGTCTTGTCTACCTTAGTCTCATCGACAGCTGTTACCAACCTGTGCAAAAAGAATCGCCTGGTTAAATTGATTCTAGTTGCCATCTTGATTGCTCAAATTTGCAAATGCTCTATAACTACACATTCACTGCGCTTGATTCAGGCCTTTCGCCATTTCAAGCTGAATTTCGTTTTTGGGTTTGACACATCCACAGTCCTGGCGCGCCTTTCCTAGGACATGCCCCAGTAGGTTGGTTGATAACAATCACAAACATGATTGGTTGACAGAAAATGTCGGAAGAATATCCCGATATCCACCTTTGGTCGCGTGCTCGGATGTATGGAATGTCGGATGTGTTCTCCGACATTATGCCAACCATTGAACTAACCCATATCGAGTAGCGGCCAAGACATCGAGGTTCGGCTTCCGAAGATCGACTCGTGTGCTTTTAATAGTCGTTGATGACTTCTAATGTTTCGCAACGTATCTTCAATTAGGTCTTTCAAGGGAAGTTGTTCTTGGCGGATAAGTCATCTCCGCATCACTTTTCGGTCACAACTCCAGCATCTCCTGGCAAACATAGAGAAGCTTACCGCCAAAACCTTCTGACAAACTTTGTCTTAATAAATGACCAAAGAAATCGCAATGAACAAAAACCGAAAGTCCGGAAAAAAGGTTTCCTGGCTTTTAACGGCAAATAAAATCTAGAGCAACTTGGTCGGTGCTCTAGGGGGAACCCCCTTTTCCCCGCAAACATGCCGAAGTGACATGAAGATCGTTAATCTGGTGCCCAATGCTTGATCGGCATGTACCCCAGAAATCAGAATTCTCGACGCCTCTTGCGTTGACATGACACAGTTGGCCATCCCACCTGACTGTTTGTATGTGTCAGTCATGTATATCATCCCCAGATCACCTCCGATGCCAGGAGGTAGGGAATGTGGGGAAAAGCAAGCATCTCTCCGGTTATCTGCGGGCGCGGTACTACCCCAGCCAACATTGATAAGCCAAGTGCTAAGCCTCTTGGGTTTGTCCCAATTTGTCAGAGGGCCAGCTAAATAAAGACAACGCGCTGCCGCAGCCATGAACAACGTCGGAAGACTGGTCCGACATCTCTACGCGACGACAACATTCTCACAACAACTGCTCATGTCAATTGATATGGAATTTTTCGACTCAAGTCCAGGAAATCGTTCAAAATGCCACAATTAAGTCACGGACAATACAAAGTGACGAAAAAATGTCAAAAAGCGTGCGTGCGGGGTTTTTTCCCTCCCAAACCCGAATGTCCCGAAAACGGAAAATTGAGTCACATGACTAACTTTTGAGTCCAAAGTTGCGAGAGATGTCGGGTGATGAAGGTCAAGTGCTCTGGATCGCAACCGTGTACACGATGCGACCGCAAGAAGCACAGATGTATCTTTGCCGCTGAGGACAAGAGGGTATCAGTTCCGGAAAGGTGAGTTGTTTGGTGATCGATGAGTTGCTCAAAGCGGTTCAAAGGCTGACCCACTCCAGTTACCTCCGTGAACTCCAGAGTCGAAACAGTGACCAGGCCTCGGACCGGTCGGTCAGGGCGCCGAGTCGAGGAGATGATGCTGAAGATGTTCCGCCTCGCTACAGTGAGCCGTATGCAACGCCACACCGGAATCCGTTGCCCCGACAGGAGGAAGCGGTTGGCCAGTTGGAAACGCCAAGTCATGGTAAGCCGACATGCACACGCTGGACCCCCGGGGGATCTGGAGATTGAGATCCACCTGCAGCCGGTTTCTGACTGACATGACTTGAATAGACAGCCCACAGCTCGGCGGGGACCCGCAATCTGAGCCCGAGTCCGATCGTGATGAACATGAACACGATCGTGTGCCTCCACACCATGGGGACTTTGGGCCAGGATTCCGGCAGAACCCTTTGGTAGATAATGACTATACGTTTGCGAAAGCCGGTGGCAAGTACTGTAAGTCTATGTCTATGACTCTCGATCCCGGTATCCAACCAATGCATGCATGCTGATTATGGTTCCAAGGGTACATGGGACCGACCTCATCATGGTCCTTTTGCCGTCGGGTGCTAGCCCTGCTTGGCAAGAGAATTCCAGAGGCAGCGCCAGACCCATGGCATCTCCCTCATGAAGGTGCTTTCAGGATGCAATGGAAACCATTAGGTTACAACGAGACGCCTGACGTGTCGAACCTCCCGCCTCTCGACTATGCCAAGTTCCTTTTCAACACAGCCAAGTTTTACCTTGGTGCAGTCTTCTACCTCATCGACGAGCCAGCGTTCATGAAGCACCTTCACGAATTTTATGAAGACCCTTCCGCCAAAGCCAGCTCGTCAAGGTTATGGTACGCGCAGTACCTTTTGATACTCGCATTCGGGAAAGCCTTTGTGGTATCCAGTGGCAGCGCACATACGGGACCGGCGGGCGTCCAATACGCTACCAGGGCAATGGCACTGCTGCCAGATCTGTCGGGTCTTAATCCGGATACGATCTCTTCCATCCAGGCTCTTGCGTTGGCGGCTGTCTACTTCCAGTGTCTGGATATGAGATTAGCAGCATTTCAACACGTAAGGACTCTACAATCAATATCTGAGGCGTATTTACCAGGAAGCTAACACACACTCGTAGATCGGCCAGGCGTTGCGTATTAGCATCGTTGAAGGCATTTACAGGCACATGCCAGAAGAAGTCGTCGGCATCGAGCACTCAAGGCGCTGCAATATCGTCTTTTGGGTGGTGTACACCCTGGACCGCGAGTTTGCCGCTCTCATGGGAGCGCCGAGTTCCATCCGGGACGAAGATATTACCGTGAAGCTTCCTTCTCAGGTCGACAATTCGCTCGACGCACTGAACATGACTCTTCACGTTCGGATTTCGCGCCTCATGGCGCGCATTCTTACAAGTGAGCAATCTGTCATCATTCACAATTGATTGACTCGTGCTGATCTAGAGTAACCAGCTGTGTACGGCGTGGGCAAGTCGTTCGACGGCTCACTTGTCCCCAACACTCAGTCAATCCTAAGGGACTTGGCTCGTCTATCCAGAGATTTGACAGCGCTCCTCGACACCCACTTCCAGGGGTCGGTGAGTAGGGCGTCGAGGATGGCATTGAGACTTATACTCTCGTATCACCACGTACGTAAGACTCGGCAATCCTTAAGCACACTAGCTAACCCACATCAGTGTGTAGTTCTCACCACCCGACCTCTCGTAATGTGTGCCCTGCACATTCATATCGAGCATTCCGACCTAAGGAATACGCAAACAGTCTCGTTGACACCGCCTGTCGCATCATTACTACAATCCTGTGTGGACTCTGCTCAGACAGTTCTCCGAACTCTCCGAGTATTGGGCGACGACGACTTGCTAGGTAAGCTTTTTTGGCACATTCATTTGAACCCGGTTTCCGTACACAATGCTGACTCCCCTTCAGAAGCTTTCTTGCCATTCCAACTGGAAGACGCCTTCTCATCCGCATTCCTCCTCTACCTCATCCGCGTTATCGACCCTTCTTTACTCCATGACGACACCTGGTGCGAGAACATCAAATGCGTCTTGGACAGGATGATTGCAAAGGGAAGTCTCGTGGCTCCTCTGAGAAAGCTGGAACTCAGCCAGCTCGAGCACATCATGACCGCCTTGACTCCCGCCCCGGAACAGGCTCCTACTCCGTCACCGAGCACGGCACATCCGCACCACCACGACCATGGTTCATTCTTGGATCAGATGGAAGAGCCTGGGTGGGACATATTTGATACCAGCGGAATGGGCGGTCTCTCGCCGCAGGCATTACTGGACCTGGCTGAGCGACTGGACGTTGAAGACTTGATGCAGTCTGTGGATCACGAAGTGCAATGACGATAACGAAGGTCATGTAGAATGCAAACGGATAACGTAATTAGCACATGTCTCCGTATAATGATTCAAAGGGATATGCTGTCTATGCTTCTTTTTTTAAACCAGCTGAAGGGCGTTGATCTAGAGACTCTCGCGAATAGCGGAAACAAACTGTATGCAAACAAGAGGTGTTAGCCTCAAATGGTAGCATTCTCCCAGTGAATTGCATCGACGTATGACCACTTACCGGAATTACCTGGGCCTTCTCAAGGTCCCAGACGTCGTTCTTGGCGTAAACATCGTTCTTGATCAGCTCCCATGCCTCATCGGCACTGCTGACGGTGTAGATAATCATGCTTCCCTTGAAAGCAGGCGGCTTTCCCTCAGAGGGGTGTTCCGTCTCAAACATGGCTCCTGTTGCGGTTCTATCAGACCTAATTTCACATCATTCGACGCATAAGAAAAATGTGTGAGGACGCACCGCCAACAACCACCTTTCCAACCGATGCAGACGACTTGGCCTCAGCCAAATGAGTGCTACAACAGGTTAGCCCAGCTCTTGCGTCCACAACGAGATTAAAGCCTCGGGGCATCGCTCGGCTAGACAGGGATATTCCGACTCACGGTCTGACCTCCAGACGCCGTGCCAGCGCGTCCGGCTTATCCGGGAGGATGCAGAGGAACTCTTTCTTTCCAGCGGTAGCCATTGTGCGGTAACAGAAGTTGAAAGGTGAGGATGGAGCAACAAAGTGGCTTCGTGTTACGTATCGAGATGCGGGGAAGAGAGACTTCCGCACGAATTGTGTGGGGATAGACATTGTGGGTTTACACGAAGGTTTTTGCGGAGGTGCTGCGCAGTACTGCTCACTCACCAGGTTCAGATCGTTGAGTACGCGTCATGTGATGTGCGGAGGTTGGGATTCAATCATCACACGTACATTGCGTGCGCCGCGATTCCGAGGTCGGCCGGAACAACCGAGACTAGCCGGAGACCGCCTGTGGCTGGTGCTAATCCGCAAAGCCGCCCCCGGGACTTCCGGCTGTCTAGTCGCGATAATTGTGGCAACACAACGAGTGAAGTCCCACGATTGCATAGGTTCATTGACCTTGGGATAGCAAAAAGCAGGCTTTTTTTTTAGCAAAATGATTGAAATTGCTACAAAAAGTGAGGTCGTACCCGGGTTCGAACCGGGGTTACCGGAAGACTTTGAGGATGATCAAAATCCGGCTGGTTAAGGTCAGGATTGAGTTGAGACATGCAAGGTGTTCGGAATGGAGCTTACAGTGATAACCACTACACTATACAACCGAATGTGTGCACAGAGTGGAGGCACGCGATGACAGCCAGACCCACGAATCCACTCTATAATGGATGACGTCGAGACGCGTCTTGCCAGCACGCGAAGCAGTAAACCACGTTTGGACGACGATATCTTAAGATGAGCAAACTCAAAACCACCATCTCGTATGATCTAGAAATGGCTTTTAATGTATCTATATACTGTGTACTATTATCATTAGAATCTAGCGTGACATGGTCGGCTAAATTATGCCGGCTTCTAATGAAGAATCGACATGGAACTCATACACCTCGCGGCCCTTCAGCTCGATGCTCTTCTCGCCATAAACGAACTTGCCCTGGGTAGCTGTAGGTGCCTTAATCGTGACAAACAGGTCATTGCCCTCAATCTTCCACTCAGCACTCAAGCTGCCGTCAAAGGCTGTGACAACTGTAGCGCTCGCCGTCTTCAACCCCATCTCAACTCCAGCTGCAGGCGCAATGACCCAGTTCTTATAACCAAAACCACCGGTTCCAGCAGCAGGTTGGATACCTGCAGCCCACTCCGTCAATACGTACGTAGCTGCTCCACCCCAAGGATGGCTCAAGCTGGTGAACAAGCCCAAGCCAGGCTCCGACGTAGCGGCGTTGACGTACTCCCAACTCGTGCCGACAGCGCTCTTGTTTTGCGCTTCGGTACCGGGGAGCATGGTGCTCCAGAGGCTGTCAATGAGCTTCTTGCCCGTCTTTGTGGCGTTGCCCATGAACAACGCCGCGAGGAGAAAGCCGTTGGTGTTGGGCGAGATGTTGACGCTGGTGTCATTGGAAGAGACCAGGGAAGTGTCCTTGTATCCGGGGCCGAGTCTCAAACGTGACAGCGCCTCGATGGATCGCGCTGTCTGGTTAGCAGATGCGACTCCCGAAGTAATGCAAAAAGCAGTCCCTGCTACCGAGATGTCTCCCAAAGAGGCGAGCGACAACCCGTAGGCGCCAATGTCGTCGTTCCACAGCTTTTCGTTAATCGCACTCGCCAGCGAGGCCGCAACCTCACGGTACTTCTTCTCGGATTCGGTGTCGTTAAGAGCAGCAGCCACATCTGCGGCGCCGACCAAGCTCTGAACAGCCTCGCAGGAAACGGCCGATCCACCGTCCGCCGGTCCAGAGAAAGCAAAGCCGCCATCAAAGGACACGAGTCCCGTTGTGGAGTTTATTTGCGGGAGCAGCCAGTCGATTACTTTCTGCCACTGCGGCCAAGTCGATCGCGCCCATTCGAGGTCGTTTGTAAGTCGCACATGATCGTGGAATCCCATGAGACCGAGGAGCTGGTAATCCTGCAATCCGTAGCTTCCCGAGGGCGCCAGTGCAGTAGCAATGGACTTTAGGTCGTATCCTAGATTAGGCGAAATGCTCAACTGGCCGTTCTGGATCTGTGTATCCAGCGAAACTTGCAGAGTGCCCCTAGATTGATCAGTGCGTGACGTGCTGACAGCCAGGATGCGAGCCGTGTGGTAAAAGTCGCCCAGCCAGACAAGTCTGTCACGCTTCGGGCCGTCCATGCATATGCTTTCGTAGTTGGCTCGCGTGCCGTATTCGACCAGCACTTCCTGACTGGTCAAACTGTTCAAGTACAACGTCGACCCGTTGGCAGTATCATAGGCATGCACATTTTTAAAGTAGGCTGCTTGGTCTTGGTATGCGCCGAATCCGAAGGAGCCGGTGAAGTCTGGCGATCCTCCGTAAGCCATGCCTGCAGATGCAAGCGCCCATGGGTAATCGGATCGAGAAATGTTCAGCACCTGCGTGTCGTTGACCGAAACTGTCAAGTGGCCGTTTGGCGACATCGAAGTCGAGATGCGGTACCAGGTGTCCTCCTTCACGGCGAAGGGAACCTTGAAGACACCCAGATGATAGCTGGTCAACGTGGTTTGGTTCACAAAGTCGGGTCCGTAAGCGAGGGAAATCGTGTTTGGTGGCGTTAGAGTCGTGTTGGCGTTTTCAAATCTGCTTCCCTCTGGAAGTTCGCCAGTGAGCATTAGTGTGTATCCGTTACCTGCGATCGCTGGCTCCCTGGGATTGTATTAGTTCATGGCTTTTGGTACGTTGATTGTTGGAAACTCACCGTCGTCCACCAGCTGCCACCCTTCTTGATCTTTGTATCGAAATCGACAGTGTAGTTCGTCCAAGTCGTGCCTTTCCACGTCAAGGAGGGCCTCACACTGGTTGCGAGAACTCCATTCTCCTCGTCCACCTCCCAGATGGCCTTTTGTGTTCCCTTGTCAACACAGGCAGCGATTGCTGCTCGAGCACCAAGCTTCCAAATTTCATTAAGCTTCTCATCGTCACTGTGGAATTTCCCGGGTAGATTCTCTGGCTCGACGGTGTCAATTGTCGCCTCGAACCCAACGTTCGAGAACGAGATCGTCCCATTGGTCAAAAGCCTGATTGATTGCCATTTCTGGCCTCCCTGAATGAGGGGCGACACCACTTTGCCTGCGGCGGTGATGTTGAACGTCTCCACGCGAAAACTGTTTCCCAGCTGATTCGAAAAGCTGTACGGTCCATCGCCGAAAGGATGATTTAGACCGTCAAAATGCTCGGTGTACTTCACTTCGATTTGCGTGGGGCGGTCGACAGCCGAAACGTCAAAGATCGGATATCCCCCCCTCTCGGCCCCATAGTCGAGCGTGGCCACCGGAATTTCCGGGGTAAGCGTGAAAGGGGCAAACGCCTGTGTCTGCACTTGGGCTTCTACACCGAGAGCTACACCGCGAGGAAAGAATGTGCTTATGGTGAAGGATGTTAGAACAATATCTCCTTTTTGTGTGTTTGTCGTTGGGGAGGTGCTTACCGGTCAGTGGAAGAGTTATCACCTGTCACCAACGGCGAAGCTCGAGCCGCGGCCGCAACCCATAACAACAGAAGATGAATTGTCATAACTCGTGCTGCTTTCTAGCTGTCCGTAGGATATGTGACGGAGAAGAACTCGCGACTAGATCGCAATCCGATCCGCCTGAGAGAGTTGGGACGGATGGGAGGATGTTACAGGTTGGATTGCAAACACAGACCCAAGTTGCGAGCGTCCCAGTCAACAAATGAACAAACGATGCTAAAGCTCGAGCTTTTAAGTTTGAATGCTCGGGAAATAAGATGCCGAGCTGGAGACGAGATATTGCTCTCCATTGTGGCTGTCAATTGACAATATTTCGATCGACTCTTAGATCTTGCTATCCTCCCACAACCCGATTGGACCGCGCAATCCATTACCAATTTCTACGTGAATTCTCCGAAAAACATGTCCCCCAAAGCCTCTGTAGTTTGCGGGGAAGACGACAAGTAATGTCATTGGGTCACGAGCCAAGTACACGAGTCGCTGCTCGGGACTTGAGCCGGTATATGAGCTCGGTGGATCATTGTCGCAGCCCCAAACCGATGGTGGAGCCGAACCGAGCCGACACCAGGCCGGTTGAACTTCATTCAAAGCGCCTTCGAGGTCTTGCTAGATGACTTGATAGCATGCCGTTCAAGTGCATCTGATCCGGCTTAGTAATCCCCATTATAATTCGCTTAGTGTTGTTATGGAGTCTTGTTACGAAAAAGGACAAAGTGCGCCGCGAAGAGCCAATTATTGCTGGAAAATGTATACTTAATTCGGATAGGTGATATTAACAAGAAGCCGCGCCACCTCAATTTCCTCCACCACACGATGCATATGCTGAACCGAATGTCGTAAATGCTGCTCCATACGAAAGTCACGCTTCCAGTAGTTCTGACATCAAAGGAACAGACCCCCCTTGTCGTTCTTCTTCTCATCTAAGCAAATACACATAGCCGCCATCAACGCCATGTCCATGCCGGGAGCCACTGTAAGAGAATACGTTTGTTTTCCTCCAATAATGTCACGCACCCTGAGCATGTTACGGTCAATTCGTGCGACCACCTGGCCGGTGCTGGTGTCGACAATGTCCGCTTGTGTTGACATCCAGTTTCCTTTCATTTGGAGAGATTCGCTCTTGCCAGTACTAGGTGAAATGAAAGTCGCCGTCGCCTTAGAGCCGAGAACTAAACGTACAGTTAGTTAGTTATCAGGTATTTGAACCATGGGGGTTATATGAACAACATACGTGCGAAGCTACTCTTGACTTCCATTATCTTCCTGTCTGAGGGGTCGATCGCGGCGAACGTAGTGTGAATATGGAAGTGTTCCTTGACGATGTCGAAAAGATGGGTCCCCGCCATGTCAAAGACAGACTTGCGCCCGGAAATGGACATGACCTTGCCTTGCACTTTGAAGATTGGCTGGCCGTTTGCAAGCTTAATGTCGAAACAGTCGCCAGTGAGGGAGAGCATCCTCTCCTTCAGGATTAGGGTTTCTGTTTGCTTGGCAATCAGTTGGGGAAAGACGCCAACGGCATTGGTGGCCTGAGCCAGCTGTACAGGAGCTGCCATCTTGGGGTGTGTCGGGTGAGAAATAGCTTGATGGAAGGTTTTGTGATTGAGGAATTTGCGACAAGAGTGATGACGAGAATATGAGCCTGATTTTAGGTGGTCCAGGTGTTATTTTAATATTCAAAGGTCGACAGACATCAAAGCAGGCTTCAGCTGGACGAGATATGGAAAGCTACACGTGAAAAGCATCAACGGTAATGCCAAGAATGCGCCTGGCACTATTGACTCTAATCCCGACGGCTGGCCTGCATGCGGCTGAGTAGGAAGGGATGAAGGAGAGGACTATGTCGACGCCACTAGTGATGACTAAATGAATTAGACTCGCTTGTTAACCTCTCCAAAGCGAGGAAACTACCCGGCAAGATGGTTGGGGAGGAGAGGCCTCATTAGACTTCCCAATCGACGTCAACGGATGAAACTCTGTGGCTTCAGCCACAAGAAGGAGCTGAGATGCGGGGATAACGCCTGGCCTTAACTTTTAAAGGGAAGAACAAACGGTATGACTACGAACCGGGGATCGACATAAACGCCAAAGAGCGTGCCAAAGGAAAGTGGCACAGACCCAGATTAGTGCTCATTCCTTTATGAATGGTGCTATTCGATACACAGAGTCCGTGCAATAAGAGAAGCTCAGACAATGTCTTTCATTGCAAGGCAGACCACGAAGATGGTTGGCGATTTCGAAGCAGTCTGGGGGTGAAGTAACCATCATTACTAAGTGCATGCCACATGAAATGAAGCATTGTTCAGAGGGATTCTGCACAGACTTTACGATTATCCGCTAATGTATGCCCAAGGCTTTCTGTCAACCGCCACTCTGGTTTTCAGCGAAGGTTTGATGGCACAGCCATAGTGCAGCACTCTGCTTTCAGCTTCAGCCACCTTTACCTCTTACTATCAAAGATACTTCTCACAAATTCTCTCAGCCACAAATCGCGTGATTATTCAATGGGTTTGTCACATGTGTACACTGCATATTTCAAGCTTTCTCCTAGATGATTGGCTACAACGCATTCAACAATGAATCTTGTATCGCCACATAGTTTCAAACAAATCAGCAAGAACATTGAAAATGTTTCCAAACAGCAGCCCGATTTGCTGACCTGCCTTGAATTTTATGTCACCTGCAAGCAACACAAATAGGCGATCTTGAGAGATCTCAACTCAACAAAGACACAGTGAAACAATGAGCCACATCACTCATCGGTCCACGCTTGGTCACAGCTGAAGCACTTTGAGTTTGGATGGTCCAACCCGCCAGCGCGGTAGGCTGAACGATTATTCCAGCTATGGCTTTCTGATTACGATTGTCCAAGCAAACATCCCCAGGTCACGATGGTCCGTGAAACATTGTGAGTGTCGAGTCCAAATGGAATTGATCATCCCCGGCGCCGGGCCGTCAGTACTTACGGCGTACGGCCTCTTATGAGACTTCGCCGTGATTCTTGGATTCCGGGCGGACCTCTCGGATCTTCGAAACTCCGACTGGCCGATGCCGACTTTATCCGTACCGGGGTCGGATTTTGCGTCGGAATCGCCCCACCCTGTACAAAACTCGGTGTATCATCGGGGCATTGAGTGTGATATTACAAACATGTTCATACAGGTCGTATCCTTCATCGATTTCGAAGCAAAGACCACCTCTAATCTCGCTGAGCCCTACAAGGCATTAAGACCGTGTTCGTATAATGAATGCATGAACGTCTCAACGCGTCACCCAATTGTGGAAAATGGGAATTATGGCACAGGTACTGAATATTCACAGGCTGCTCGGGCCACTGTTTAAACAAGAAAAGCTCATACCGTACCAGTTGTTGCACGTGTTGGCTATTGATTGTTCCACTTCCGCGGTTTCCGGATGTCCACAAATGCAATTCTTAGCAATCCACGATAGGTAACAAGAGCCTGTTTTGTGCAGTCTTTGATGGGTTCGACATCAGGGTAGGGACTAAATCTGGAACAGTGCGGTATGCAGGGTGCAGATTCAGACCAGGGTGTATCCCAGCTTTTACTTGGCAGGGCCCTCGGAGCTCTGGCGCGGATGCAACCGACTATCACCCTTAATTAGAGTTTCGCCAAAAGAGGCCAGGAATATCCAGGTTTTACAGCAGCTAACTGGCACGACATGTGGTCTAGATTCCCACTTACCGGCGGACTTCTAGCCTTTTAGGGAAAGGTTCGTGATGTCTATGAATAGGAAGATGGGAAAACTATCCACCACGATCTTTTGGATGCGGTTCTGGACTTTGGCTTCAGAGAATTTTTAGTGATTATCATGTTTTTTTTTGCAAAATGCGAAAGCACTGATCCATGAAGTGATATTCAGGAAAGGTGAAGAAAGAGGAAAAGCTGTTATAGTTGGAGCTGCAGCCAGGGATGAAATCATTTTCATGGGGGTCCACTGATTCTATGGATTGTGTTTCAGAATTTTTCATTGGGGACGCTTGGAATCCAATACGATGTGAATTTTCAAAAAGCAGCTTTTTCAGCAGGTATGCTCACTATGCGATGGGAGTTCGGCCATCTTCCCCAGGTTTTTGTTATGAAGTGTTGGTTCTCGCCTAATGCGAGAAATGCACTAAAAAACGTACAGCCATGTCATCGTAGCTTGGCTAGCCAAGGAGCAAGATGACTTGGGTAAAATGTCATTTGTAAGGCTTAACACAATGTGCACAGGCCATAAACACAAACATCACTGTTTAGATTGGGGATAAGAAAATTGAATGCATAAGTTAATCATCTATAGGACAAGTCTTAATGATGCGAGCAGATTGAGGATACACGACACCACACTGCAGGTATACGAACACCAACAACGCCTAGATTTCGTAACTAAACGGACCATTTCCGCTAACGATTTGTCAAAAGCCACTTCCTGGTCAAGATGTTTGTTTTGTACTCGTGCTCCCACGCACCATAATCCAGAGGACCGGCTAAGAATGTATGGGTGGAGCATGATGATGATGTCCCAGTCAGCCTTATGAACAGGCTAATGCTGGTTCATAGATGCAAAGAAAAAGGCATAAGCCTTAATATCTGGACCCCGGCGTCTCCGCGAGACGCTTAGCAGCGGCCGCGAACATCCTTAGGCGCGGCCTTGCAGTACAGGCCCTGGCCGTCGGCACACTGGAAGCCGGAGGTGGCGACCTCGCGGCACGCAGCCTCCCACTCCTTACCAGCAAGCTGGTCGTTGTCACCCTTCTTGACGCACTAGCGGGCCGGTTAGCGAGTCCGTTGGATTGGTAAAGGTACCGAGTGTCACTCACGCGTCCGGAAGCCTCGTCGTAGACGCCAACACCCCACTCGTAGTTCTTGGAGCTGTAGAGCTCGCAAGCCTTGGTGGTGATGCGCCAGTTGTAGCTGTCGCCGTTGTGGCAAGCACAGTTATCGTGCAAGTCGGCCGAACTGGGATTAGAGTCAGAGAAATGTCTTGAACGGGGCAGCTGGGAATACGTACGCGACAGAGAGGAAAAAGAAGACGGAGGCGACCTTGGCGATAGAGAGCTGCATTTTGGCGGTATTGATAAAGATTGTGTGTGGGAGTTTGTTTGGTGAAGGTAGTGACTGAAACGGAGTTGGTTGTGAAATGAATGAACTGAGTTGGTACTGATTACTAGATCTGAACCGAAGAAAAGAATGTGTGGGCGTGAGTGAAGCTGGGGAGTAAACTTCATGAGCCTAGGGGCGGAACTCCAGACGGTTTATATCGACACTTCACTTACCTCATGCGCATGTTACGAATCATGGCAAACTCCTGAGGATCAATCTATCGCTCCCGGATACCGCACCACTCGAGCTGTGCCAACCAGCGGTAAAGGTCATCCCACCTCTCTTCCTATCTGGATATCCACCTTATCCGCGGTCACGCCCGGCAGGCTGTCACCGAGTTCATGGACCCCCGTGGCCCGTAAAAGGAGTTTCATCGTCATTGACCGCGGAATGGCCGGTGGATGGATGTTACCTCTGGGCGCCCCTCTAGGCGGTGCAAAGACGAGCGGAGTCCAATCTCCCCCATCTCGCTACCAAACTACATGTGCGCCTTACGGAGGAGCAGCTGAGAGAGAACCGGGCAATCCTTCAGCCCTTTGGGGCATCACTATCATTCAGCCTGTACTAGTTGGGTTGGCTGATCCTATTTGCGTCTGATGGTGGGCATCGTGGTCGAGGGGAGAGACGGGGTCAAGCAGGGGGTGTTAAGGAATGCATGAGCTAATAAGTTCCTTCCACATTGGGCTGTATACGGGCATGGATGATGTCGCATGAAACGGTGAACCGGGGCCCGCGTTGAGGTTAGCATGACTCGGTCGCTCTGCCGAAAGTCGATTGGGTGATGGGCCACATCAAGAGCCGCACAACTCCACGCTCCGCTCACCTTGTGTGCCCAGGCTTGGTGTCTATACCCTCAATCTGAAACCGGAAAACAGCAGTATTTGCCTTGTCCAAGTTCGTCCCAGACTGCGTGTTCTGCTGGCGTTCTGCTGGCAATGCTAATTTACAAGTTTCCCCTTCTAATTGATTTTAGGTCTCGTTGGATCGCTTGGCCCCTCTTGAATGGGTCCACCCACCGAATATGTCTTGGCCCTACTTGGTGTTCGTCCCATCCCATCACGTCTGCGATCCATCTGAACCGGTCCCCCACGCCGGGAAGAGACCGAGTGACGAATTCTTTCTTGAGTCAGTTCATGGTCGTATCGCATTTGGGCCTGCTTCAGTCATATTATCACCTTGATGATATCAAGTATCCTAGAAGACCGAATTCGATACCATGATTCCTTGACCGGCTGGTCCGATCACCAGATACTCTCCCATCCTTGACCCCAGATTGCTTCTTGGCGAGGATACGGCTTCCCGATGACCGACACTTTGAGGTGAGCGCGCGCGCGCATGTGCGCTTCGTCTTCTACCTATCCGGAACAAGGGGGCACAGCCAGTGGGAACTATCTTGCGCAGCGGGCAGCCCGAGACTTGTGAACGTGAACAGATACCGAAAGCCTGAACCTGTCAAACTGGAGATCAACCCACCACAGCCGCGACGAAACGCAGCTACCCCCTCCTGTATAAAGATAGCCGCCATCCTCCAAAACACTTGGAACTCATCATTCTGAAAGGCCAGTCCATTCTCCATTACCATTCGTCCCTCACACTCTTTTCTCAAACAACTCTTCCAGTCTTTACTTCTCAAAGCCACTCCTTTTTGCAAAAGACCCATTTACACTCCTTTCAACCCCCTTAAATCAAGATGCGCTTCTCTGTTCTCGCTGCTACCGGCCTTATCGGCGCCGTTGCCGCTGCCCCGGCCCCTGTTGCCCTTCAGTACGATGATGTCGTCGTCGTTGGTGAGGATGGCTCCCACCAGATCATGAAGTCTGCCGAGTACGACGCTCTCCAGGCTCGTGCCTCTCTCGAGGTTGCTCCCGCTGTTCTTCCCCGCAGCGAGGGCGTCTCTGCCCGCGGCTGTGCCGAGTCCACCGAGGTCCAGGTCCTCTCTGACGATGAGTTCCTTAACTGGGACATTGCCATCTCCCCCGTCCTGAGCTCCATTGGCGGCAGCGCTACCGTCTCTGTTGCCAACGGCTACTCCCTCTCCAACACCGTCACTGTCAGCTCCGGTATCACCGGCAGCTTCGCTGAGGGTGTCTTGGGTCTGTCCCTCTCCGTCTCTTACGCCCAGTCTTGGACCACCACCGAGACCCAGACTCTTGGCTTCACCGTCCCCGAGGGCCAGTACGGCCTCGTCGTCTCCCAGCCCAACGTCCGCCGCGTCAAGGGTAACATCCTGTCCGGCTGCACCGACAGCCCCAAGAAGACGGAGTTCACCTCCGACACCTACTCTAGCCAGAACTACGGTAACCTTAACTGGGTCAAGGGTGTCATCCGTCTCTGCAACAGCACCACCTACCCCGTTCCCTACTGCAACGGTGAGGGTGCCCACCGATAAGCGCCTTACTTTGCCGCCCAACATACCGCCATTGATAGCCTCTCGTAGACGAGACCTGGCGAGAGGCATTTGCCAATTTTGCGAGGAAGCCATCAAACCTCAGGGACGTCTGGAACGGATAGGAGTTTTGGAGGTCTTCTCTTAGAACCACCCAGGACACTGCCACGAGTTAATGTCAATACACTGTCCAATTTTATACCAACATCTACATCTGTTATGCAACTTATGCTTGTCATTGTGTTCTGTTTAGTGTTTTGGGCCCTGGATAGAAAATAAGATAGACTTTAGCAATATGCATTTTCTAAGCTCGTCAATCGCCTCCCCGCCCTACAAGTGAGAAAGTGAGATGGTCAAAGCAAGTGGCTTGGAATCGCAATGCCCATGTCGCTGTTGATGTCGCCTTGGGCCTAATCAAGCCTTAGCCTTGGATATCCTAATTTAAACTGCCGCTTTTACAGTGACGGCGATGGAGCCTTCAAGGCTTGTACATAGTAGTACTATGCACCCCAGTGCCCGCATCCCGAAATGGCTAGTAGAAATTTCATCGTCAACTCCAGATTGTACGGCATGTAACGTCACACCGCGAACCCCCATCAGTTCTTGTTCTGGTCAAAAAGCCGGGCTTCATGTTTTCCGTCAGTGGGCAAAGATTGTCGCCTCACCTGAATCAATTCTGCACTTGTCCTTTTCAGCTAATTGTTGGCAATCTCCCTTGCCTATTCCGGACTTCGACCGCTAAACGGTAACTTGTTCCCGACGTCTGATGCCTCTCATGGATCGTGAGTAATGTACGCAGCGAAAAGGCATTTCGCCCCGCCGTTCATCAGGAGGGTCTGGGGAATATGGTAGGAGTGACTGCGGCCCGAGGGTCCCAACAACACTGACAGATTGCGTTGTTGCTTGCGGGTAGAGCACCTACATGCGGGAAGCCTCGCCTAACGAGTCAGTTGCAAAAAGGGCGTCGCAGGTTTTCAGAAATGATATCTGATATTCATCAGTCCGCAAGTTCGTGATAATTCCACTGGAGGCCTCGCAAGCGCAATGAGCACATGGATGTCAATATTTGAAATGAACTTGGTTTCGTCAGATGCCATCACCGACTCCATATGTCTATAGAGCAGTTGGTTGCAATCTCATCAACAGAAAGACCTTACCCGCTTGGCCTCGCCGAAAAAAAGAAAAAAAAAAGCAGCATCCCAAAGGGGCACAGTGGGCCCGTCGGATTACTCCACGCTATTCCTAGTGGCTCAGTCATTCCGAATTTCAACCTGGACATCTCCGAGGCGTCCCCTTCGGCTCCCACACTCCTTATCTATCCATCAGATTATATATCACCACACACCAGCCCATGATTGCCTCTGAGCCACCCAATGGACGAAGTACGTCAAATGTAGCTCAGCAGTGGGTGGAGAGCTGTGAAGTGATCGTCACGAAGCTGAGTCAGTTGATGACTCGCTGTAGCAAGCATTGACCACATTTAGACCAATGCCAGCGTCAAACTTTCGGGAAGTTAACAGAGTTTACAGGCACCACAGCTTTATTGCGGGAGATGTTGCACACCCAAGTTAAAACAGTGGCGTCTTAATCGTTTTTATTCTGCTTTACGGAAGTGATCGGCCGTCGACTCGTTGCGTCTTCCGGCACGTTTACCGAGCCGATATTATCCCTCTCCCCCCGAAAAAACACGGAGCCCGGGCCACGTGGGTCGGCGTTTCCCCGTCCTGGCCATCCGATTGCGATCATCCAAAATTCGCCCAAAGCAGACGTTAACGTTCTCCGCTAATTTCTCGTAACTGAGTGTACCGTTCCATCCATTCTATTCCTTAGTCCATTTCCGTCCGACCGACGACTCCTTGCTGTTAGTCCCCGGGAAGCCGAGCAAGAAGTTCGGCACATGATTGCCACATTGGACTCTACGCCCGAAGCTCATGCGGATCATACTACCACTGCCGCGATTCAAGTTGAGTGATTTGTGTTCGCATTTAACTGATGCCGATAACGAAGACGAGATGCACCTGCCAAGCAATTTTCTTTGCGTTTTGACAGCATCTCTGTTTATTACCTACATGCATTTTCGGGGTCACCTCTGACCGTGAAGGTAGCCCACCGCCAGAAGCTGATACCTAAAATCATGCTGCAAAAGATAAACCCATGCGAGTAATCTTGTTTCTTTTGATATCCACAGATAACGTGATTGCCTCTCCCGTGATGGATCGAAGATTAATGTACACAAGGTGAATCTGTATAATTTAAAAGTACGACTTTGTGTTAAGTGCGAGGTCAGGCGCTCAAGTGGTAACTGCCCCACCAATGTTGCCTTTTCTTTTGGTGGGAAAAGTTGCTAAAGCGACCAGTGACCAACTGACGAAGGCAACAGGAGTAAAAACAGTAACAGGCAACTAATTGAAGAGTGGGAAAGCAATTATTTCCAGCTGTTCCGTCATTTTGCGGTCTGTTTTGAAGCCCTAGGTTGTTTTATGCTAATTATGTGTATTCGCTGGTTCTGTCGCTCTAGCTTTTGCTATCCTTCTCTTTACCTTGGTTGTTGCCAAAGTTAACCATTTTCCAATCCTATCCAGTTGTCTTCATTAATACTCAATCTCCGTACCACAGATAAGCTACACGTTGATCCCGACGATGAACTGCATGCTTGAGGGTGTCCAGCTCCCTCCAACCCGAACTAGGGTCATCAACGGCTCCTTACCCGCATGATGCTATCAACCTTGCTAATAAAATAAACTATAGCCTTAATTTTGTCTACCGTGAAAACCAGTAGACAAAATTAGGAGCTGGCGATTGCCGCCACCCCAGATGTCTTCGAACGAGTTGTTGCCGCGTAAAGTCTCTGTGCTTCCCAAGGGGATATTATGAGAGGTCAAATAATCATCATTCAGAGGAAAAAGAGTGAATGGTTTGTAAAGATAGCAGACTGGATGTCCTGTGGTAAAATGCGACTTTAGCGATCGGCACAGTCTACATTTCCCAACACCTCATGCCCTCACGTATCCACACTCTGATTAGCCCGCTGCTGCTCAGCCTGATTTCCCATTATGAGGAAAAAGCAACCGCTGTCTAATTTTTCGTCAATTACCATCACATCAGCTATCTGAATCAACTGTCCAAACAACAACCTTTTTGCAAATCAGCCTTTGATATAATTGTGGAAGAAGGGCTCCTCAAGAGATAAAAAGATACAATAACTAGTGTCCCCATATCAAACCACCGGGACACGCCAAACGATCGCTAGGCTGTGGCGATGTCGACATTTGACAGTCAGGGAGTCCCGTACCCCGTACTCGGGGAATGGAAACTTCAGCGTCGTTAGGAATGTAAAGATCAGTAGGAATTTTGCAAGACTTCGCCAGGGTCACTTTTAGGAGTTGAATAGACGTCCAAGACTGTTCCGCGCAGGATAAGAGATTCATTTCTAACCTTCAGTCTACTGACCCGAAGGACAACATCGCACGTATCGAGCGGACGAAAGGCAGCCTGTTGCGAGACTTCTATCAGGTTCGTCACAGTAAACACCATTACCCTAGGTCCATGATGCTGTTAAGCGTAGCATCACACGCGACCTTTTCCGTCATGAGCAGCATTTATGCAAACTAGTATTAGGGTCAACTAACGGAACTGTCAAGGTCTGGGATAGCGCTATATGTCAGTGTATTCAGGCGCTTGAGGGTCATATCAGCCGGGTTAATTTAGTAGTCGTCTCGAATGACGGCACCCATTTAGCGCCAAGCTGCTATGACGGGATTATTCACATCTGGGATATTATCATCGGCCAATGTCTCAAAACGCTCGACGGCCATAACCATGCTGTTATAAAAGTAGCTTTCTTACGCAACAGCACCTAGCTAGCATCATATCCCACGACAAGAATGTCAGGGGGTGGCATGACAAGCTAGTGTCTCCAGACGACTTTTTAGATCAATCCGGGTTTCAGATTCTTTTTCCAAGAACGGATAGCAGCCACCCATGGAAATAGGCACCACCAACTTAGAAACAGCATCTAATAGTAGTTAATCAGTATTACTGCCCTTAGTTATTGTAAAGAGCTGAGCTTTCTCACAACTAAACAATTAGCACCAACAGAATAGAATATACCTTAGATCATGAGACACTCTATTAAATGTACTATGTATGCTACCTGATTACCGAATAGGGATGCTAAGTGTAAAATGGTATAGGATAGCCATCGACTGTAATAAAGACCGGGTTATGACTATTCGATTTCCAGAGGATGAGCTACATATTTACTGTACTCCCCTGCCTAACTGTTATCTCTTTCGCTGTCTCTTTTTACTCTCTCAAATGTTTAATGCAATGTGCTATCCTATCGGATGCTGAATGGCTACAGATGAAATGCCGACTTAGAATCTTGGAAGATGAAACGATGCTTAATGCTAACAAACTGGCGCTGTCTCCCGAAGATCTTGAGCATGAGCCAGACTCTTACGCAACTCGCTGTGCAAGTAAGATAGGCCGTGTAATCATGAGACATTTCTGGACATCGAGACGAGGTTCTCACCGTAGATTTAACTAAAATCTTTTGACTATAGAAGAAAGGAGAAGTTGTCCGTTTGCAAATCAATTTTAACTCTCACCCAACTGTATCCGCAAGTCTTCTGAAACCAACGAATCTGCTTAGAGTCATCCAACCCGAAACAAAGCAACTCATTATTCTAAATTAGTTAACATCTAAATTTGTAAACTGCACGCGCGTCTTCGAGTCTAGCTTCACTCCGGCGTAGGTAGCAAACACACCAGTAACGGGACCGACAAAATCAGGCATGACGTCTCAGTCGTGTAGTCGACAAAGCCAAACTCAGTTGGTCACTTCTGTTGACAGCATTCCCTTGGAAAATGGTTAGAAATCCAGTCATCAAAATGCACAGTGTATTGAAATGCCGATATGCGCCCAAGAGATCAAGTCTTTCGAAGCGAAAATAGGAAGCCCAGGAAATAGATGAAAGGAGGACGTTACAAGAAAATAGGTATCGTTTATACGGACGACCGAGGGATCCGGAGCAAAGCCGCGGATTATTGGCACCTCTCCGTTCGATAAGTCCATAGTGTTTTACAAAAGATTGTAATCAGATAAACTTGATAGTGACTGGCTATTCTCAAGATGTTGCTGGCGTGTTGCTATCTATAAAAAAGACATCGAAGGAGGAGAATCATATTGACGCTCAAACAAATTCAATTGTGGTCGGCATGATATAAACCGAGTAGTCACCATAAGCATAAACGATAAGAAAGCTCTTGGGCTAGTCACTGACCAGGATAGCTACCGATAGCAGCTAATCGACGCACTTAAGGCAGCACTGTAGATGGATGCGAAGCATTATTCAGTCTGTGTCGCCTATACTCAGCCCACATTAGTTCCCGGCTTAATGTTCCCCGAAGAGAGACCAAAGAAGCCATCGATTGATCCCAATGCCAATGCACAATGAAATCAAGGACAGAAAATATGGTGGCGGCATGCAAACAAGCGCGAAGCGCTTGCATTTACCTCAAATAGCACAATTGATCTCCAAGCCTGTGTGACGAGAGGCTCCACTATGGGTTTCCCAAAACGGATTATTCGTATTTGCAGCCGAAAATCTTTTGAATGGTTAGCTCGCTCCATACATCGCATTCTTTGAGTATGTCTAGAGGTTCGCAGCTAGAGGTTGATTGTTACTTACACCTGGGGGTGGAGGGAGTGGTCACTGAATTTTAGCTGCGGAGTAAACTCTTTGTCAGATTACTATTCCCCTCCAACCGGGTACAAACCTCTGGGAAGTATCTCCATCCCTTCAAATGTTGGTGGGCAGCAACTGTGGGCATATAGCTACCTGGGAGACAGCCAAACGTTGTCAACTCAACCAAACCAAGTAGATCATCAATATCTCCATGAACTACATCTTCTTCCTGTTCAATGGGTACCAAAGACTTTCAGACTTCCAAAGCGCTACCCAGATATTGGTTTCAGGGGTGAAAAAAGATAAAAAACGTAAAGATATATTAATGCTTATCACGCATCTTTCTCGCTCGAGTGGAGTCATGGTGAGTAGATAGCCGGCAAATTGTACCTTTTGACGAACAGCGCTCGATGACATAGTACGCTCTTTTCTTGATACAGGGTAATCAGACAGCATTTGCCATTGTACGTGATGGAGACAACGTATATCTAGATCCAACATAGAAACGAACAAATTTGTTGGCATACTACAAGCATCCCACCCAGCGATATAAAATCCAAGTATACCGCCAAGTCCGTTTTTAAGCCTTCTCGACTTGCAGACCGATGCTCACAAGCCCTTCATCCTTTTCAAGGCCATGACCTATAGCAGCCGCAGCATCATAGGCGTCAGTACCATCGAAGATACCGGCGATCTCCTCCAAAGTCAAACCGGTCGTCTCCACAAACGTGAAGTAAACAACCGCGAGAAGAATGGCATTCCAGATACAGCTGAAGATGTAGTAACGCCACCCGATATTCGTAATACCAATGGGACTCAAGTAAGAACTGGTGAAGCTCGTGATGTTGATTGTAAAAAGTGTAATGGCAAAGTACATACCGCGTTGCTTTGTGGTGACGGTCTCGATGGGGTATGCAATGACCAGAGGAATCCAGCAGAGACAGACGAAGAAGGCGCCCGCGCATATCATGACGAGAACGCCGATTCCGAGCCCCACATGAGGCGTCTGATCGCACAAAGCCGACAAAATGGTCCAGATGACGAAGGTAACGTTGACGCCGATAGATGAAATAAGAAAAATAGTTCGGCGGCCGACCTTGGGAATGATAAAAGCTGCGATGAATGCCACGACCCAGTTCCACACGTTGAGCAAGGCATTTATCAGCGTCTTTTGCTTTTGGGACTTCATGCCAATCTGGTCGAGGATAAGGGGCAGATAGTTGGCGGTAAACCCTCCACCGATTGTCTGCGAGCCGATTGCTGTCCATAAGCAGAGCCACAATCGGTGGCGGTTACCCTTTGTCCCGAAAATGCTCTTAAGGCCGTCGATGTTGAATTTCAGTATGGTCTTGTCGGCCTCGACACCAGCAATCATCTCTTGTAGCTCAAGCTTGACGATCTCAGTCTCGACGCCATTGCCATGATATTTGATCAAAATGGCACGGGCTTCCTCGATGCGCCCCTTGAAAATAAGCCACCTTGGGCTCTCGGGGCAAAAGCATGCCATGACTGCTTGGTAAGCAGGTAAAGCGGCCTGCAGGAGGCATGGCAGCTTCCAGGACCAATTTGAGTTCATGGAATAGGTGGCAAAAGTTGCCCAGCTACCGATAATAAGACCGATGAAGATGCTGGTACTATACAAAGAGCTCAAGGCCACTCGCTGCTTAGGGTGTGCAAGCTCGGAAACAAGCACTGGAGCAGCTACCTGCTGGGAGAAGGAGCCTAGCCCGATCAGAAGCTTCCCAGCGACAAACATGTGGAAGTTGGTGGAAAAGGCTTGCATTATAGCCATTCCAACCACCAAGACGGCTCCCGCCGAAACCATTGGTCGTCGTCCGAATCGCTCCTTCAGAGGGCCACTGATGAGACAACTAATGATGCCGCCCACAGATGCAGCGGCACCAAAGAAGCCAAGCGTTGGTCCCGTTGGGCGGCCGAAGTTGTCCATGAAATGATCGATGGACTGAAGGCCGTTGGTGAGGCTGCTGTCGAAACCCCAAGCAGTTGACGTAAGTAGAGGGGCGATGAGAAGCAGATAGAGTTTGATCAAACTAGGAGTGCGATACCACGGAGGAGCTTCTTTCACAAGCTCTCGCATCCGGTCTCGGTCGTAATCTGCTGACATGGTCAAGCATCCAAATGTGAGGGGATCTCCCCATGGGGTAAATCACATGGACCGACTAACAGTAAATGCATCTGATAGGAGAGAAAAGGATTGGCGATTGACTGCAACGCCAAGCTGAGCCATAGCATCGAACCATCGAGGGAGGGGCAAAGGCCAATGGCGTATTATTTCCTCATTCAATTGTGGTGCTTTGTGCTTAAAGATTCCTTTTACGGCCATTCATCGAGGGTATAGTTTTATTCCATCTGTGGCCATAAGTCGAATCGCAGACAGTACAACGCAGTTCACCATTGGAGCGCATAGAGAAAGTTAGAGAAGCCCATCTAGCGTGAGCAATGGCTGGCGAACCTTTTTAACCTAGCTGGCTGACACTTGACCCAAAGGGACATTGGCGGACGCTCTATGTCATCTGACGACTCGGGAATTAAGGTGTACCATCTTGTTCCTAAAGGCGTTCAGCTCAGTCGCAAGAAATACGTTCTGGTGCGGTGCTATATAGAGCGAAACATTCATGTCAATCTCTCGCTAACCGAGCTCCAAAAGCTCCCGTAAGATTGAAGGGAACTCCAAAGCTCTAGGAAATGTTAAGTATCTCTGGCCGACGGCGAAGACTAACGTATCGAAGCTAAACGTTCCCATGGTTCGCCCTGCGGTACTCTAACCGAAGACATCAGTTGTAACATACAGCAGGTTACACAGAATACCCCGGAAAGAGATAAGAGACTTCAAGTAAGGCGAAATACCTAGTTTGGGTCAACGCCGGGGGGGGGGGGGGGGGGGGTAAATGGCGCCCAGGAATCTTCAAATACGAAAATTTCTATATTAGAGCCATGCAAAGCGAAAATAAGCTGATTGGCTCAAATTAGCCTAGGAGAGAACTAATTTACATCTTCACTCATCAGGTCATATGCTGAGATTTGTAATACAACCATTTTGTATGAATTCTGAGTACCCCAGAGGTACCGGGAACCTTCATCGATACATAACGCTACATTGCAGCAACAAAGAGCACATAGGGGTTTTTCGCGTACTGTTTATGTATTGTTGAGTATGCAGGGGATAGGAGGCCATTAATGTGGAATTTCTAGACTTGGCATGGACAGGACCCATTGCAATCGACGTACACATGCCCCCTCTCCTCAAAATGGATAAGACATCGGTTCAACGGGCCATTCTTGTGATTCTTGGTAGTCGACCGAGAAAGACCAAGTTCCCGCGCCGACCTTGACAGACTTTCCCTGCTCAGCCCCAGGAAGTATCACTTCCATCTCAGTGGTCGGCGGCACTTGAACGTTTACTTTGAGCATCTGTCCGCCGACAGCAGTGGCGTCAGATACCAGTTCCCAAGAACATGAGGCCGTACCATACGGGGTCGTATGCTCGGTTTTTGCGTGGCGGAATCCGCCGCCGATCACAGGGCGTGCCACTGATGACCGCCAGCCGGGCTCGGCTGGAGCCAGGCCCGCGAGGCGCTTCATGAGAAACGTGGCTATAGCGCCAAGGGCATAGTGGTTGAAGGATGTCATCTCCCCTTCATTAATGGACCCGTCGGGCAGCATGCTATCCCACCGTTCCCAGATGGTGGTGGCACCCATGTTGACCGGGTACAGCCACGATGGGCACTGCTTGTTGAGGAGCATTGCGAATGCGATGTTGGCGTGTCCGGTCAGAACCAAGGCTTCGCAGATGAATGGGGTCCCCGCGAATCCCGTGCCAATTTTGAACTGGCTTTGTCTGACAATTTCAACCAACCGATCGCCTGCATGTTTGAACAATGCAGGCGACAGGAGGTTGAAGCATATTGCCAGGGCGTAGGCTGTCTGGGAATCCGAAATGAGCCGGCCGTTGCTTGTAATGTATTCGGCTGTGAACTGTTTGCGCGCCGCTTGAGTTTCTTTTTCTAGGCATTCTACGTCTTCTCCACGGTTGAGGATGCGAGCTGTCTGCAGCACAAGATCCAGGGAGTTAATCAGAAAAGCGTCGGCGACTAATATGGGGTCAGTAACTGCTTTCTGGGGCTGATCTGCCGGTGCAGTAGGGTCAAGCCAATCCTGTCGATGTTAGTGGATGCCTCAACATTGGTGTTGAAAGGGAGTGAGATAACAACAGTCTTACTCCGAGCTGAATAGTACTGGGATCGAACAAAACACCGCCGCCAGGGTACTTTTTGTTTCAGGGAATCTCGCGTAACCAAGTCAACATAGAATCGTAGCTCTCCTCCAAAATGACTTTGTCACCAGATTCTAACCAGAGAGCCCAGGGAGTGAGGATGACGACGTCGTGCCAAATGGCCGTTGGCCAAATGTCTCCCCACACCTTAAACCCTTTAAGTATGTCTGGACATACCAATGGGGGGATTCCTCCGCGGAGGCTCTGATCAATCCTGACGTCCTCCATCCAGTTCCGGAGAATCCCGAAACATTTGTATAACCGGGTGGGGGTTGGGGTAAAGAGGGCGGCATCTCCAGTCCACCCAAGGCGTTCGTCTCGTTGAGGACAGTCGGTAGGCACCGAGAGAAAGTTGCCCTTCATACTCCACCGCACATTGCTGAACAGCTGGTTAATATCGCTGTCGGAGCAGGAGAAGTCACCGGTAGGTTGCATGTCGGTATGCACGACGAGGGCCTCCACAGATGACAGGACATCATCAGACGCGCTCGGCCAGCCGTCGACCTGGACGTAGCGAAACCCGTGGAAAGTAAACCGGGGCCGGTACGTTTCTCCCGCCTCGTCTCCTCGTAGGGTATACATATCCCGGGCTTTACATGCCCGCAGCGGCCGTAAGCCCAGCTCACCATGCTCCAGGACCTCTGCGTGCGTCAAGGCGATGCAGTCGCCCGCTTGGCCCCTGATGTCGTTAATCTGCACCACACCGACCAGGTTCTGACCAAAGTCAAGCACAACCTTGCCTGAGGGTGTAGTGATCTTTTTCTTCGGCAGCACTCGCTCGATATGGCGTGCCGGCTCCCCATACCCGGGTTTGAGAACTACATCTGCAGGCAGGGATGATAGTACCTCAACCTTGCTCCAGGATTGCTGACAGTGTGGCCGGCCAGGAGATGACTAGCCGCCGACTTCAGCCCGAGCGTCGTATACCTCTCCATCATACAGCTCAGCAAGCCGAATTGGGCCATGCAACACCTCCCACGACCCATCCGTGGCGACGCACTCTTTTGTCCCGTCGGAGTAGTTAATGTGTAACTGCGCAAGCAGAGCCGTTCGATCGGCCCAAATGGCGCGACGGCTGCCGAACCCAAAGCGACCGGTACACCAGCCCTCAGCAACTCTGATACCGAGATAATTGGCGCCAGACTGCAAAAGTTCGGTAATGTCATAGCTTTGATACTGGAGTCGCCGGTCATAAACCGTCCAGCCCGGTGCCAGAAAGTGGTCGCCCAAGGCGAGGATATGCGATCGCAGTTCCAATCAGAGCGTGAAATGAGTCCGGCTTCCAGTGTGCAAGGTTCGCTCCATGGTGTGGTCTGAACTATGCCCTTTTCCCGTGGCACGCACGCGAATGGACCACTTTTCTCTGGATACAAAAGCAGAAGTGATAGCTGGCCAAGGGACGAGATGGGACTCGGCAGAGGCGACCTTGGTTGACGTCACCTCAGCCACGCCGCCACTGTCTGTATACCGCGTAAGCTCTATCTCATATTGTTCCTGCTGAAAGTCGGTTGGTGTTTCGATGAAGCGCCACGATATCCGGGGTGTTTGCTCGTGGATGCCGAGGATCCTGCCCGGAGCATAGTGCTCGATGCGGACGTCGACAACATTTGGTTCCCCCATTTTTGATTTGAAAGTTCATAACGCATGCCTGGGAGCTGTGCATAAGGATATCTCTTATAATTACAGTTCAACAAACTATTGGTGAGGGCATCTTGTCCTGTCGTGTCAAGAATATCCCAAAGGGCGTTGGGTGTGTGTCGCTATCCGTTGCTGGTTGGCCAGTGCTGGGACCAGATCGACGTAATAATTCAACTCCCCATTTTTCGCTCTCGTTTACGATACGTTCGCTGCGCCTCACACATTCGACTTCTCGGATAGCCACGCTCGCTCAAATGGTGGTTCCCATACCTAGTAGACTTTTTCCTGCCCTAATGATAGCCTATCTTGGCGTCTTGATAATGTACCTTTGAATCAGCAGCTCACACGTGCTGTTTGCGCTACTGTGTGGGAGAAACGAAGTCTAAGTGCAAAAGAAACAGGATGGACATCGATCTGTCTTGTCGCTCCGTATGCCTTGATATGAGCAACCCGACCTCAGTGAGGATCCCGGCAACCCAAAGAACCAGGGATGATTCTTCTGGTCACGAAATGTCTCTGGCCTAAACTTAACTACAGTAGCTAAGGCCTTGGAGATGATGAATGTTACCAGTGCGAAAACGCAGCCATAATGATCAGAATGATATTTACTACCAGTTTTGCTTAAAAGCTTTGGCATACCAACACCAAGACTTCCCAATTCCGAATTCATCGTCTATGATCGTATAACTATAAACATTTTCCAGTCCATGAGGGTTTTAACGTAGCGTCAGTCCACTTACGACATACCAGCATCTAAGATCACTCGGAGGTATCTCCGCACAGGAAATTTTGCCGTCTTGTTAGACACTTGCAGAATAATGTGATATGACATGCCATCAAGGCCTGTGTGGGGCAGCCAGTGAAGTGCTGGGTAGTTTAAGATTGCCGGGGCTTTTGCATCCGGCACCGTGATCTCGACCTTGGGGCCGAGGGCAACATTGGTGAAACCCGCGTCGTTATAGGCCAGCATTGAGTCTCCTTCCGCCGGCGGCGCCAACGGCCTCAGCTTGCAGCGTGGAGTTGCCTGCGCACCAATAGGATGGTTGATTGTCGGCTCATGATATTGATACCACTGAAACTCCAATCCCGAGTTATCCAAGGGGCTGTCAGGGTCATATGAAGCGCTGGCATCTAGCACAATCACATCGCCTGACTGCACCCTCCGTCTGATAACTTGGGGACCGCAGCACCCGTCAATGATTGGCACTGGATGGTGGCTGGCATCCCAGAAATTGGCTTCTAGAGACCAGCTCATTCGGGTTGCGAAGTCGTTCTGGAAGTGGTCACGCCACCGGGCAATGGTCGCCTTCTGATCAGTCCGCTCAGTCCCATGGACGTCAACAATCGTGTCAACGACGTCGGCATAGTGCGCGCTGCCAACTTTGATTGCCCGATACCGTCCACCCCAGCTTCCGAAGCTCGGATGCTCCGGGTCACCCAGGCCGTTTTGGATTAGATATAGAAACGTCGGGGTATCCCCTTCCATAATGTGCATGGGAGTGGGGTAGACGTTTCCAAGTGGACCTTTTTGGATGTTCTCGCGGAGCCATTCCTTGGATGCTTTGCTCAAGTCACCACCTGAGATGGGGTGGGAAATGCCCTGCCATGTAGACATGTCGAACGCTCCGAACCCATGAATGGATGCAATGTAAAAGACCTCGGGGAACGTGTTCCTAATCCATTCTCCTGTGTCGTCTTGGTCCGATATAGCGTATACTCGAAGGCGTGCATGCAGCGCAGCCTCGTCTGTCGAGGCCTTCGTCCTGCGAATATGCTGCAATGCTTCCGCAATGACGTTTGTTCCACCCCAGCAAACAACCCAAAGCGGGTTTGGAAACTCGCATAGTTTTTCCACCAGATCTAGTGCTCCTCGACTCGGAGGGAGAGCTAAAGCCTCTTTGCCGTACACCTAGTATATACTGTCAGCTCCAAAGGCAATGAAAAAGAATGTTACGAATACTACCTACAGGGTGGCCTGAAACAACAAGTTTGTGCAGATCCTCCGCGGAGGGGTACTGCGCATCAGGATGGACATGTTTGTTCAGATTGTCGACTACCAATTTGTACCCATCGATGATCTGATGCATCGACTCGGGAGCCGTACACGACGACAACCATGCAGAGGTGACCGCGCAGATACCTCTGGTATCGAATTCGTTCGCATACAGAAGATATCGGACGAGGGACTCTTGGTCGTCAGGCTCATTCTCAATGTCGGAAGTGATGTAGACTCGAAGCTTCGAAGGAAACGAGGCTAGCTTTTTCAACTCAGGCAGTACTCTGTCCATAATTAGAGTATCTCGTGGAGTATAGTGAACAGCTGAATCACCTCGTAGTAACAAGCTTGGTGATAGGTGGCGTAAAGTTGCTGGTGCATATGAAAACTTTGCTTTGAAGTAAGCGACGTTCTCCAATCTGGATACTGGTTTAGACTAGTATTTATATAACGGACAAGCTTTTCGATCAGAGAAGAAATTGACATACATGTGATTCGAACAAACCAAAGTCTTGATCCATCAACAAGGAGATCTCGGTGCGCTATGCACCGAGAAGTAAGCAGCTGGATGCTTGGAGACCATGCACGGTTGTAGGTGGCACCATGGCCTTGGTGGATCAAATGGCTCATAGTCCTAGTTCTCCGAGTGTGAGTCCCGATTGAGTATCCCTAAGTACTCGTATGATTCAACCTGCCTTGGCACTCATGTTGTCTATGTTATTGCATTACTATTTTATCTGAACTTCAAATCTAATGTGTGGAGGCCGTAGGAGGGAAAGCGCGACAAATAGTAACGTACCTTACGCCTTACTATAGATCGTTGAGAAGTAAGCCTCTAATACTTCGGTAAAGGTCGATGCTGGACCTACCTTCTTCTTACCCTTTGTCGTGCAGTGAAATCTCAAAAATTGTGGGGTTCAGAATTTGACTTCGACGATTTCGTCCGTCAACGACAACCCCCGTTGACTAGCACCATAATGCAGTGTGGCTCGACAGAAGTTCCTAGTATACTGGATAGAAAGAGCCATTAGTAGCCACGGTAGTTTCAATAGTTTCAAAAGTCGTATCATCTTTTATCAACCTTCAAACATTGCACTTACGATAGTCCGACAGTCCCAGCACCAATCAAATACCGCTGTAACATTAACCAATCCATCCCAACACAATCTCCCGTATTCAAATTATCATACTCTAAAGCCAAAGGCGGTCTCTACGTCCCAGAAGTTACCTTCGAACCGTTATTCAATCCGCACATCTATGCGTCGAGCCTTGAAACTTCTTCGGGGCTGATCTAGTTGTATGGCGAGAAAGCATTTGTTGAGCAAATTCACGCTTACCAGAGTTTCTTTCGTACCAAAACCGAGTTGCCTGCCGCAATGTTTACACAGAAATCAATGCTTTAACCTTGGAATTGAAGTCAACTCAGCTGTTCGAATATGGTAGCTTTACCCAGTGCTTCATGCAATGCAAGTTTTCAAACGCTGTATCGCACATGCGGCGAGTGAGTACTCAGATAAACAGTTGCACTTCATGTGGGCTAGTGTGCTAGTTTCAAAAACAATTCCAATTGAAATTTGACTTAGAGCCCCGAAAGGAGCAAGAGCTTAGTCTATTTATTGGTACTTATAATGCAACTGCCACTTTGGTGGGTAGTTGGCAATCCGCGCATCGACCTTCCGCCATCTAGACTAGCAGGTTCCGCTCGGTGATTGCTCGTTAACAGTCCCTGATTCTCGGAGGTCTCTTTCCAACTTGAGGTTATAGCGGGTTACATCTGCACTTGGAATGGCAAGGTGCGTTGCCAACTACCGCACCCTATGGATGCTGCCTGTATCTTAAACGTCGCCAACCTTAAAGAGCAGTCTTAGTAACACATCAGACATGCAGCGTTTGAAACTTACCTTGACAGACCACTCAGGTGATACCTGAATGTTGGTTTTGCAAGTATCTCCAGCGTTCAGCCAGTAGCAAGTAAACCCAACATCACCCTTCATCAGGCAAATGCTCTTTCGTGTCTGACTTTGGTTGACAATCTGCAGTACGCCTTGCTTAGAGTTGAGAGAAGGCGCTGCATAGTTGGCATATCCTTGTGGCCACGTTGCAACATGAATTCCGTTCGACTGCCGAGAGAACCAGTAGTTGTCTCGGCTGGATACCGATGGGGCCCCGGATGCGCATGTCGAAACAGCACTCGCGGCTGCCACCAAAGAAGAGAGAATAATAGTCGATTGAAAATGCATATTTGAACTTATGAGAAATGGTTGAGGTTGTGAGTAAATAAAAAATGCTGTTTTGAAGAAAATGCAGCTTGATACTTATAGTTAAGGCGTCAGACAATCTTTCAGCTCGTAATGGCTTGTCGGATACTGTTCAACGCGAAGACAGGAGAAACACCGGACCATACGAGTAAAAACAATTGATTAATCTATTAAACTCCCGCAAGAACCGAAAGGATCGTTCGTCTAAAGAAAAGATTATGCCTGAATTTGATGTGCTTATGCTAAGCCTCAGGGCATGTAAGGTACGAGGTGGCTAGCCGTTCATGGTTGGCATGACTGTATGATTGAGTCAGTAGACAGACCTAAGAGAGGTCCATTCGCGCACGTATACGCAGGAAGACAATGGCCTGATTGGCCATCTTGCAGCCCATTAAACTTTACTAGCAGGTCTTGTGTCATGTGGAGACTTGAGTCGCGTGATATCCTCATGGATTCCGAATGAGCATACTGACAATCACTCCAGTGTTTGATCTTGAACAACTCAGACCGCTTTCTAAAAACCTATCACGGATTTTCAGTGTTTACATACTGAAAATTCATCACACTTCTGTCCTACGCTCTTGACAATGTTCAGGGGCATCAGACTGTCATCGTAAGGTGCAGAAATGCCAAGGGTTACACAGGTTCCGCACTATCCGTAGCATTTGCATTTTCTCTAGCCAGAGAATGAGGCACTGGCGTATACCGAAAAGACTGTTATATTAAAATTGATTTATTGCATCTCCATGACACAGCACAAAGACTTTAGTGCTCTTTGCATCGTTGCGAATGTCAGTAGTAATGGAAGACCAGGGCTGCGGTATTTAACCCTCGAAGCTCGAGCCCAGGTAGGTAAGTAGTTGAAAGTTTGATGCTGGTAGGTTCATTGGGGCCTGCTGCGTGCCGCCAATTACAGAGTAACGTAAGATAATTTGTTATCCCTTCCTTTGTCTTTTACCTTGCCGCAAATTAATGTCCGAGCTGTACAAGTTCATTTCATGGTCTATGGGGCTTTCGAACGCCTCCGGCCCATGACTGTATGGCGGACGGGGCCACGTCAACCCGAGATTGCCAGATTGTTCGTCAAAGGTCATGACAGAACAGCGTCAAGCGAACTCCACCCACACATCCGGTACGGTGTTGAATGATGTCGAGAATTCTAACTTAACCGATGCTTTAGAAGCCGCGTGGCGATGCCAATTGGCAGGTTGAACTCTGTGTGTGTCAAGTTTTGTATTAGGTACGAAATTGGGGATTGCATACAGGTATCGAGGCAGAATCCGCGGTTGCCGTAGACTTAAGCTGGCATTCTTTTTTTTTTTTTTTTTTTTTTTTTTTTGGCCAAGTACGAAGCTGCCGTCGTTATAGCTAAGCTCAACTACCACTCTTTGACTTGCTCCCTGGCCATGTACGGTCGGACCGACCACTTCATCAAGCTCTGCAGGCCAAGTCTGGGGTGATTTTGCTGCCTTGTGCTAGGAAATTCAGAGACTGGAAAAAAAGAACAAGCTCTATTATTGAGGCTTTGCATCGACGACGAAAAAGCTTGCGTTAGGTTCCTTCATTCTTCAGCTTCAAGGTCCGTAGGAAAATTTCACAGCTTTGATTCACAATGTATTTAATTTTCGACTGAGAATTGGGTGCTTTAATTTAATCACCAACTAGCAGACTCTAAAATAGTGTCAAGTAATGCTGAAATATAATAAGACCGGGCAAACCATAAATTTTATCAACTGCAAACTCATGATTGTCTTTTCAAAGTCCCATTAGAGACCCAAGTTATTCTTTGTCCGTAGTTAACTGACACTGCTACTTTCTTAGGAAACTCGGCATCCTATGCTACAGAAACAGAGTCCTATGGCTTTTTAAAGAGGTACTGTAAAATTCATTTTTCGAGTCATTGAAAGTTCATAATTTCGACATCGTCGACAACTAAACGTAATGTGAAATGCGTCTCACGTAGTTGCGGCATTCTAATCGAGTCTAAATGTCGGACTCGGTGCACCAGTGGGTGGGTGGGGGGAAGCAACTAGATGTGGAATATTGTCGGCCTACAGTGAGAAACCCGAGATGCCAACGTCCCGAATCCGAAGCATGTACTTCTGCTTGTTAACTCTATTTCGACGCTAAATCAAGTCGGGAAATATGGACCCCGTGACTATTGATGCGTTCAACTTTCATAGCGTGAACTCACGTAGAGATAATAGTGAATTAATTCTTAGTAGCCCAGCTACAGAAGCATGGACATAGTAAGGCTTCTTCTTTGAGGACAAGGATATTGCAATCGTCGGAAGTCCGGCTTGAAGTGGCTCCGTTACAGCCTAAATGCGGGCTACCAGCCGCGATGCCTCACGTGGGTAGGCGACCTCAACAACCTTACTCAAGTGCCGGGCAACTGGAGAATATTAACCTCTCCCACAACCTTCAATCCTCTACTTTCCAGCTTCTTCTTCCACATTGGCCCCAATTTGGAAGGGGTCCTTCGTTTGCCGTGCGGGTGTCCCTGTGAACCCGATGAAAAAGGCGCCAAAAAGTTGATGAAGCTTTTCGTCAGTGGGTCAAGCTGAGTGTCACACGGACCACTGCATATATCGGGGCATGCATTCAACCCATGCACCCGGCTATTGTTTCCCATATAAAACTAACGGGGATGTCATTTTGTGCATGAAAACCTTCAAATCGGTAATTACCGAATAGACGGTTATATAATCAACCCAATAACCCCTAGACAGTCTCTAATGAATGGAAGCATCTTTTTTTACCCCATAAGTGGTGGGCAAATTGACTGCGTGACACTGAGCAGTCCCCGTCAAATGCCCCTTTGGATCGCTATCGTCGAGACACTAGTGCAAACCTATGGCATGTTTAGTGATTCTGATCGATAAGCCAGCCAGAGCTGAAAGTGCTTTTCGACAGGCTAGCTTCGAATCAATAAATCGTCATAGAGATCAAATCTTACATGTCGTAACGGTCGTTTACCAAGACATGCTTGATGCTCGTGCCCGCTACATAATAGTGCTTTATCAGGCTGATGAAGATTCCATGGCTGTGCACCGTTGATCCTATGCTGACTGGCATAAGCCTAGTCTCCCATTATAAATATAAATGCTTCTATGCAAACTTGCTCCAGGCTTTAGAAACGACTTCTCCGCGTTGTTAGCTCCTTTCTAGCTAGTTCCTATTGTTGTGAACACAGCAATACTGATGGGTGGGATATCCTTTTCAGGAAGAAAACAACGTATGTGCCTATGTCCGATGCTTAGGAGAAGTTGAATTCAAAGTACTGGTTGAAGTGATCGCGGAAGTGAGCCCTGTCTGCCCGTTGCGTGGGCAGCCGGCGGGCAGCAGTCTCGTCGGAGACAGAACCACTTCAATCCTGAGTTCTGGCAATTGCAACAGCATCCATCTGACGATTCTGTACACGATGTTTTTGGTAGGTTGCCCACCAGTGGGTTCTAGCGTCTTAATGAAGCGAGATCGGAGAAATTCAGCATGCGGACCGTCAGCGATTGAACAGCAAACACAAACACAACCATAACCACAGCTCATGTTAGGATCTCGCTGATCAGGTCTAATGAGGGGCTGTTGTGTGTACTGGTTCACTTTCGTCAATCGAATCTCTCTGGCTCTGATCAGGAAGAATCGCTATGAAAAGGTTGAATGAAAAGTGTCCGTTGACTGCGTGTCCACCATTCTGGCACTCTGATCAAGACTTCTGACGATGTCTGCTGCAAGAATAGGCGAAAATTCCCCAAATGAAATTCCTCCCCTTTGCGCCCTGATTAGAAAGCCCCAAAGGAGTGCTTGTCCTACTACAGCTATTGGATAACCTGTTATATTGAGAAAGGTGGTTGTAGCAGAACTACAGCGCCTGGCCCTTGGGGATGGAGATTGGGGAATTTAGCCTTTGTGGCAGTTATGCCAGAAATCAACAGCTGGAATTCTAGAACTTTATACCAGCCACTACTGTATCTGATGTCAGATGTGGATAGCTCGCAAAGATCCGTCAGTTGCCGAGGAGTTGGCGTAACATCTGGAACAGGCTGCCACCACTATAGCAATTGATTTTGACGAGGTAGTAGCATAGCTAGATGTGGCTATTGTTATCGACTGTTGGAAGCACTACGAACCGAGAAGCTGGCGGCTGCGTAATTGTGCATGTGAACGTGACTGCAGACCTTACAGTTGCCAGCGGTTGTTTTATACCGCTGTCTAGAAATCTGGGGGTTTCCAGCATAATCCAAAAGTGCCTGTTTTTGCAGGCAATACCGTCGACTTCTGCAGCAGAGTCTTAGGGGAGCCAGGCTGTTTAGCAGTGTCGGCAAACTGTTTGCCAATCCATTTGCCGTCTTCCATGACGTATACACCATACATTGTCAGGAAGTCTCGCAGGTACTTTAGCATTGGCGAAAAAACAGGCGGAGACGCTTCTCCCAGTCGATCTTCGTGGTCACTCTGGAACTACCGCCATAGTTCCGGCTCTGTAAGGGTATGGTTGCGGTGGTACTCATCAAGAAAGCCACGACCGAAGGCTTGTTGCTTTCTAAGTATTCCCCCGTGCGGCTATTGTGCCTGGACGCCCAGGTCCCTCGGTCAATGAGTGGCAGAATCTTGATTGGGATTGGAAAATCTCACTCAAAGTCGCCCAGACTCTTCGCCACAGTTGGTATTATCGTCGGTGCTGAGGAGGACACAGTGGAAGCGAGATACAAAGCGGAAGTTGAAGGTGAAGGCATGAGATAAAGTAGGACAAGAGGTAAATGTAGGTTTCACAGGGGGTGAAACGGAATTCCGTTCGTCAATAACAAATAACAGTAAATTGGTTCTAATCGATGGTTCATGATAGTTGAAAGTGGTGTTGTTGACTAGAAGGTGGGGATATTCCCCCTTGGCCTGTCACGTGGGTCTGGGAGGCTTGGGCCTCTCAGCCTGGCGGGCGTGTGGCTGGAAGTGCTACACGACTCCGTATTCTAACTATCGTAATACTAGAAACTCTCTTTTTATAGTATTAAAGCGGTTGGAATACGTTATCCCTATATAGTTCCGTCTCCTCGTTAATTCGGCCTCCTATCCCTACTTTCTCCCATAGTTACAGTCTTATTACTTATCCCTCTATACGTATCGTTATCGTATTGCTATTAACGAATCTCTCGAAGGCTCGATTTAGTTTGCTCTTCGTAAAGGCATTAGCAAGGTTGTCTTCGCTATTAATCTAACGAATTTCTTATAGTTCTCGTCTTTCGTACGATTATCTTAACGCTATAATATCGATTATAAGTTGCTTTTCTTTGGTAGTGCCTAGCTTTACGAGATACTCGTATAGCGAATAAGAATCGGTATAGATAACTATCTAAATCGTTAATAGGTTAAGGTAGTTAGTAATTATCGCTAGGGTTATAGCGAGGGCGTAGGCTATATCGACGCTAGCAACTATCCCGTAGATCTCTAACGCTAATACGCTATAAGTAACTTATTTACTCTTCGTAAAGCTATAATAAACGAGGTTATTATAAATCGTAAATTCTCTATTATTACTATTAGAGGAAGTATCGTTAGCTAGGATGATTAGAAACCCTAATTAGGAGGAGAGGTCGTAGTTATTAGTAAACGACCTATTAATAAAAATGAATAGCTTAGTTATTATAAGGTCGAGTAGGATAAATGTTATTTTTTAATTAGGCGATTCTATTTGCTATTAAATCCATTAATTTAGTACTTTTGTCAGATTGAGCGCGCTACGCGAGGCTTCGGCAACGCTCGGCAGAACACTATTTCCAAGCGCCGAGCCCCGGGTCAGGGGGTGGCATACCCCCTTCCCTACGCGCCCCTGAAGGGCCCTTAGACAGTTACACACATAACGGAATATACATCGTTCTGAACCCTCAATTCGACAATTAACAGTCTGATACGTGCTGCGTTTACGTTAAACGCCGCTAGCCATCTATTCTACGCATACGAAAGCCCTTTCTACGCGCCCAATTGAACCCCTATCGTCGAAATGTCCTCCTCAAGCGCGAAAATCACCCTGAATACCCCTGCCGACTGGATCCTATGGATCGACCAGCTGCAGTCGAAGGCCAAGTCCTACGACCTCTGGCGATATATCGATCCCCAGCGCCCAGGCGCCTTAAACACGGGACAAACGCGTCTCGAGCGGCGGATGGAGCGGCCGAAGCGCCCCGAAATATACGATCACCCCAAGACCGGCAAAGCCGAAGTGCTAAACGAAGACGCCGACTACGAAACGCGCGCACAAGCGCTAGAGGAGCTCTCGGCAGCCAATCTCGCCCTGTATAAGGAACGTCGGTCTGAATATATGGAGCGCTCCAAGACCCATGAAGCGTTCCTGAAAGGGATTCGCGTGCTCGAAGACTAGGTCCGAGATACAGTTAGCACCTCTCTCCTCAAGAGCTGCTGTACCGCGGACCGCGCACTGGACCGCTGGGTCTACGCGTTGAAGGAACGCGTAGGGATAACCACTCGTGAGAGACGCACCGCCGCGAGCGAAGCATATAAGAGAGCGCTCCAGATACCGGAGCGGAAGCGACTCGCAACGAAGAAAGAGCTAGAAGAGTGGCTTACGAAGTGGGAAGAATCAATCCACGAAGCAGCAGCGGCGGGCGTCCCGGGTACCGAGCTCCCCAGTATATGGTTCCCGGAATTCACCTACGCCGTGAGCCACAGCTACGCCGATACATGGATCTTCTCATACCAGACCGTCAAGGACGAACGCGTCGAAAGCGAGAAACTGAGCGTTGGAGAAGTCCTGTCAGACGCGCGGCGGTTCCTACAAACAACCTCTCAACACAACCCGAAGAAGCAGGCCGGACGCGGAGCGTTTGGTCCTACCACAGAAGCCACTTCAAGAAACGAAGAGGAAGGGGAACGAACTTCCCCCGCGCGCCTAACGGTACCAATGAGAAGCAGCCGGGGATCTCGAGGAAACACGCGCTCCAGAGGAGGAGCTCGCAGAGACCGGTCGCGGAAGAGAAGCGATGGGGAGAGCGAGGGCAACCGGCTGTGCCCTGCGTGCCTGAAACCTCACCCGCTCTCGAAGTGCTGGCTCGTCAACGAACGGGAGCGCCCTGAGTGGTACGAGCCGAGTAGAAAGCTTCTCGCGAACCTCGACGAGCGGATGAGAAAAGACGAAACGCTCGCAAACCGTGTCAGGAAGGTGAGAGAACCAGCGAAAGAAGAACACTGACTATATGGCCGAAGCAAGGGGACCGTCCCGAGTGCCTTCCACACCGCTCCGGAGACATACGAGCTCTTCAGATCGGCGATCCTGGACTCTGGATCAACGATCCATGTATTCAACGACCCCTCGTGGTTCACCACACTGTCAGGAGCGCCAGCAGGCGACTACTTATGGGCAGGCGCTCAGCAAGTGGCTATCGAAGCATACGGAACCGTCGACATCAGAGTCAGAGAGCAGGGGAGCACTGTTACGAAGCTCTCGCGGCGGTGCGTCTCTCACGAGTGGTTATCCCTACGCGTTCCTTCAACGCGTAGACCCAGCGGTCCAGTGCGCGGTCCGCGGTACAGCAGCTCTTAAGGAGAGAGGTGCTGACTGTATCTCGGACCTAGTCTTCGAGCACGCGAATCCCTTTCAGGAACGCTTCATGGGTCTTGGAGCGCTCCATATATTCAGACCGACGTTCCTTATACAGGGCGAGATTGGCTGCCGAGAGCTCCTCCAGCGCTTGTGCGCGCGTTTCGTAGTCGGCGTCTTCGTTTAGCACTTCGGCTTTGCCGGTCTTAGGGTGATCGTATATTTCGGGGCGCTTCGGCCGCTCCATCTGCCGCTCGAGACGCGTTTGTCCCGTGTTTAAGGCGCCTAGGCGCTGGGGATCGATATATCGCCAGAGGTCGTAGGACTTAGCCTTCGACTGCAGCTGGTCGATCCATAGGATCCAGTCGGCAGGGGTATTCAGGGTGATTTTCGCGCTTGAGGAGGACATTTCGACGATAGGGGTTCAATTGGGCGCGTAGAAAGGGCTTTCGTATGCGTAGAATAGATGGCTGGCGGCGTTTAACGTAAACGCAGCACGTATCAGACTGTTAATTGTCGAATTGAGGGTTCAGAACGATGTATATTCCGTTATGTGTGTAACTGTCTAAGGGCCCTTCAGGGGCGCGTAGGGAAGGGGGTATGCCACCCCCTGACCCGGGGCTCGGCGCTCGGAAATAGTGTTCTGCCGAGCGTTGCCGAAGCCTCGCGTAGCGCGCTCAATCTGACAACAGCGGCTAGAGACAAGATATATGCAGGCGACGGAAGGGACAAGGGTCGCCCCGCCGGAAAAGGAAGAACTATGTTCAAGTCACGTGATGATAAGAAAGGAATAAGAGATACGACTCTTGGCATGTCGGCTGCCGACAATCGAGATATCGGCAAGCGACGACGCGGACGTCGGCCTTGGGAAACGGGACTTGTATATAGACCAGGACTTGAGCACCTGCTCAAGCCCTCTAGATAGTTCTTCAGCAATCAACTTGTAATTCATCCTCGATGACTTTCAGCTTAGCTCACAGTTTGTGATATTACTATACCTCGTTACCTAGTGTAAGACTGATCACCTTACCCTAACCCTCGATCTACCAGTACGACATACCTGTATACGACGCAAGACCTATTGTTAGTATCGTAGCCTCAACTTCTGTTAGCAGAAACCCTACTGTCACTAGCTGGCCGTAACATCCTACTTAGGACTAACTTATATATAGATCAGGACTTAAGCCCTACTTAAGGTCCTCCTAAATAGTTCTTTAATAATCAACTTATAATTCATCCTAGATAACTTTTAACTTAGTTTATAGTTTATAATATTACTACTTTATTACTTAGTATAAGACTAATTACCTTACCCTAACTATTACGGCTAGCTATCTAACAGTAGGGTTTTGCTAACAGAAGGTATAGTAAGAGACTAACACTGGTTCGTAGAGGTCGTTCTAGTAGATCGTAAGGTTAGGGTAAGGTAATCAGTCTTATACTATATGTTACGGCCCAACCAGTTGGTGCCTGGCCGGCGTAGCTATATAGTGCAGAACAGGGGATAATGATGCCGGAGTCATCATTACCGAAGCTTTTGCTTTGTGCCACAGTTAGTTGCCCTGACCTGCTCGTAACACAATGATGACTCCACCCCGCGTAGAGGGTTGTGGGTTCAAATCCCATACGTCGCCAGTCCTCCCTGGTCCCTGCGACGCCCGACCGTGGGCAGGCAATTATGTAGATTGGTTCCCTACTAGCCTGGAGTTTCCCTGCTTATACCCGCGATATGTCCGATTGGTCCTCGGCATAGGGACATGCCTCTTAGAGGGGAGACATGGTGTTACGGCCCAACCAGTTGGTGCCTGGCCGGCGTAGCTATATAGTGCAGAACAGGGGATAATGATGCCGGAGTCATCATTACCGAAGCTTTTGCTTTGTGCCACAGTTGGTTGCCCTGACCTGCTCGTAACACTATAGTAACGAGGTTCTTAGTATTTATAATACTAAGAAGTAAGCTAAAAGTTATTCGAGGATGAATTATAAGTTGATTGCTGAAGAACTATCTAGAGGGCTTGAGCAGATGCTTAAGTCCTGGTCTATATACAAGTCCCGTTTCCTAATGTCTTGGAGAGTCTATAGAGTCGCTTGTCGACTCTATCGACTCTCTTCTAATTAGTCCTTTATAAGAGTCTATAGAGTCGCTTGTCGACTCTGTCGACTCTATCCTGATTAGTCGATTATTACATGATTTATAATATAGTTCTTCCTTGCCGAGAGGTTTACCCTTGTTCCCGTGATCCTACGTATATATGTCCTGTCGTAGCCGCCCGACCTAGTAGGTTTGTTAAGTATATCTAACAGGTCGTAATATTAGGTCTCCCTTCGATAGTCTTATCCTTAAGGCTAATATAAGTAGGTCGTAGCTCTTAGGTTAGAAAGTCGTTAATCGTACTTCCTTGTTTATTTATAATGCTAATATTATGTTAGGTTGCGTTTAAAAATCTAAATTAAAGAACCCTATAGCTTATAAGGAACTTAGCTAGCTTATCGATTTGTTTAGGTTTATTATGCTTATCCTTTATTCCGGTTGCGCGGCTGCCGGTATCGACTACATCGTTTCCGAAGTTAATTCTTCTCGTTATTCGCGTTATGTTGCCGATAAGCATTCTTACGATATTTACGGTCCTTCCGCGGCTTCCTGTTACGGCCTAACCAGTTGGTGCCTGGCCGGCGTAGCTATATAGTGCAGAACAGGGGATAATAATGCCGGAGTCATCATTACCGAAGCTTTTGCTTTATGCCATAGTTGGTTGCCCTGACCTGCTCGTAACACAATGATGACTCCACCCCGCGTAGAGGGTTGTGGGTTCAAATCCCATACGTCGCCAGTCCTCCCTGGTCCCTGTGACGCCCGACCGTGGGCAGGCAATTATGTAGATTGGTTCCCTACTAGCCTGGAGTTTCCCTGCTTATACCCGCGATATGTCCGATTGGTCCTCGGCATAGGGACATGCCTCTTAGAGGGGAGACATGGTGTTACGGCCTAACCAGTTGGTGCCTGGCCGGCGTAGCTATATAGTGCAGAACAGGGGATAATGATGCCGGAGTCATCATTACCGAAGCTTTTGCTTTATGCCACAGTTAGTTGCCCTGACCTGCTCGTAACACTTCACTTATTCAGGTTCGGTAATAAAAAATAAAAATTAATAATAAGCTTAAGAAAGCTAAAGAAGAATAGTTAGCTTTTATAGCGAAGATTCGTCGTTTACGAAGGCGTCGTAAGGATATTAATCGTAAAGCGACTAATCTTATTCGATCTAGTTTGCAGCGTATAGAGGAGGTTAAGAATAAGTATCGTTCCGAGGTTCTTAGTTTGCAAAGTGCTAGCTTAGAAACTATAGGTATACTTTATTCCCTAGGTATTATTAGCGTCGTAGATTAGTCTAGCGTCGGTTTAGACGACTAAGGTCTAGAGACGTCCTCTAATGCTAGTATTGTTAAAGTTCTTCCTAAGCGTATTCTAGGTTCTTAGCTAGTTCCTACGAATCGTCTTTGTATCTATAGTTTTTCTACTTAATAAAGTATTTATTATTTCGTTATTCCTCTAATAGTCTAGAATACGTTCTACTTCGTATTTAGTATTATTTATTTCTATAATAATATAGTCTTCGGTATATATACCGTCTAGTACTAATTCTAATAATAAGATATAAAAGACTAGGTAATATTTTATTGTTTCTAGTAGTTTTAACTCGTAGTTAACTTCGGAAATTTTCTTCGTAATTTCGAAAGGTCTTAGTTTTTTAAAGTCGAGTTTGTCGCTAGGTCGTTTCGTTTTAATATTTCGCTATATAAGATAGGCGCTACCTCCTTCTTTTAAAGGTAGGCTTCTTACCTTATATCGGTTGGCGTGTTTCTTTATTCTTTACTATACGAATTCGAGTTTTTAGGGTAGTTTTTATTAGATTTCCTTAAGTTTCTTAATATCTACTACTATTTTTATTACGGTAAAGCTAGTTCGGGGTTTTTATAAGTAGTAGGTTAAATCTATAGTTAAGGAAGAAAGGTAATTCTCGTATACTTTCTCTATTAAACTATTATATGCAAACTATATAGTTAGTAATAACTTAACCTAGTTATCTTAGTCGTAGTTTATATAACTCCTTAGGTATGTTTCTAAGATCTAGTTAATTCTTTCTGTTTATCCGTTAGACTATAGGTAGAAGGTAATACTAAGGCTATGCTTTGCTTTAAGTTATAAGATCAAGGATCTCTAGAACTTAGACGTAAAGACTAATCCTCTATCTAATACTATTTCCTAGGGCAGGCCGTATTAGCTAATAATAATCCTAAGAAAGGTATATGCTAAGTCTTCTGCTATGCTTAATTCTAAGTATATATAAATACGCGTACTTCGTAAATCTATCTATAACTACTAGTATACTGTCGTACTATACTTTAGTAAGTAGTTCTCTCGATTTTAGTAGTTTGACGATAAAGTCTAGAAAGATTAAGTGCTAGGGTGCTGGTAATACTAGCAATAGTTATAATTCTCTATATAGTTTATATCTACTAGGCTTACTTTTTATATAGACTTCGCAATCCTTGATTACGTTAGCAACGTCTTTTCTTATTACTTGCTTATCGTAGTATTGTCTGATTCGTTTCTAGGTTTTCGTAACTCCTTAGTGACCGTGAGCGGGTGCGCTGTGTATCTCCCTGATCTAGTCGTATATCATCCTCCTAGTCATGCTAGTCTTGACACGGTTGCCGATCATTAAGAGTTTCGCGGCGGGTACGAGGTCGCCATTGTCTTTTTTAAGGATAACCTGAGTTTCTTCTAGGACTTCGTCCTATAATCAGGTCTTCGGCTAAGCGCGTCTGCTCTGCTGTTTTCTAATCCTTTCCTATAGATAATTCTAAAGTTAAATTCTAAGAGGAATTCTAACTATCTGATTTGTCGTTTGTTAAGCTTCTTTCGAAGTAGTGAAGTATGCTAGATTCTTGTGATCCGTGTATACTTTTACTTCGTACTTTGTTCCTAATAGTTAGGGTCTCTATTCTTTAAATACGTCGATAATTACTATAAGTTCCTTATTATAGATCTAGTAATTTAGTTTAGGTCCTTAGAACTTCCTTAAAAAGAATCTATAAGGGTATAAGACTCCGTTCTCGTCCCTTTAGCCTAGCTACGCTCCTTTAGCTTCGTTCGAAGCATCCGTTTCGAGCTTGAAAGGCTTCTTAGGGTTCGGAATCTAGATAACAGGTTCCGATATAACCTTATCCTTAACTTCTTAGAACGCTTTCTATTATTTATCTATCTATTCCTAAGGTATATTTTTCTTAGTAAGTTCGGTAAGAGGCAATATCGTTTTAGAGTAGTCTTTAAGGAATTTTCGGTAGAAGTTAACAAATCCTAAGAAGGATAGTATGTCCTTCGG